GCGGGGAGGGTGGAAATTGGGTGGGCCGACTTGCATGTTGGGCCAAGATGTGGTAAGTTACGTTAGCTTTGGGCTGGTGTCACTCAATGTTACTACGGGGGGATGTTACGGTATTTACACAAGTTACGTATCGTACAGTACAATACCATACCTAGAACCTATAGTAGGCTTACAAGGTATGATGCTATAGGCACAGGGTCGTAGCTGTACCAGCCCACCCCGCCATCAATCGTCAGCAGTCAAACATCATCCCCTCCAAAGCCACCGTCGTCGACAGCAGGATCACCACCAGGGCCGGAAAGCGATAGTAGAGAGCTACTCCTATCGCTAGCAAAGACAGGTTATCAAGATGGCGGCGCCCGAGGTTCATCATCTTTTCCACAATCCAATTGCCGACCACTCGTTCTCGGCCGATCGCAAGACGCTCGCAATTGCCCGCGACACGACGGTAGAGCTCTACTCCAGGGTCGGAAATGCCTTCAAATTGAAGGATGAGCTCAAGGGTCACGACAAGACAGTAACAAGCATCGATATTGCGCCCAACTCAGGCCGCATCGTGTCCTGCTCGCAAGGTAACATCACTGCCTTGACAATGCGTTATGCCCAAAGTACTGTAGGCTCACAACAGCTTCAGATCGCAACGCCCTCGTATGGGAACCCACTCCGCAGGGCTACAAGCCGACGCTGGTCCTGCTACGCATCAACCGTGCCGCCACATTTGTGCGCTGGTCGCCATCTGAGACCAAGTTCGCTGTCGGATCCGGAGACAGGCTCATTGCCGTCTGCTACTTTGAGGAGGAGAACGACTGGTGGGTATCGAAGCACTTGAAGAAGCCAATCCGCAGCACCGTCACCACGGTAGCATGGCATCCCAACTCGGTGCTCCTTGCCGCCGGGTCGACGGATGCGCATGCGCGCGTCTTCTCAAGCTTCATCAAGGGCGTGGACGCAAGACCCCAGCCTACCGCCTGGGGCGAGAGACTGCCCTTCAACACTGTTTGCGGCGAGTACCTGAACAACTCGGCCGGATGGGTCCACGCCGTCGCCTTCTCGCCGAGCGGTGATGCCCTGGCTTTTGCTGCGCACGACAGCAGCATCACGGTGGTCTACCCGAGCGCCCCCGAGCAGCCGCCCCGGGCTGTGGTCACCATCAACACGCAGCTGCTGCCCTTCATGAGCCTGATATGGAATGGCGAGGCTGAAATCATTGCCGCGGGCCACGACTGCGAGGCGTTCCGCTTCAAGGGCGGGTCTGACGGCTGGCAACTGAGCGGCACGCTAGAGGCCAAGGGGCGTCCCGGCATGGGTGACGAGCGGGAGGAGTCGGCCCTGAACATGTTCCGGCAAATGGACTTGAAAGGGAAAGTCAAGGACGACACGCAGCTCAAAACAGTCCATCAGAACACCATCACCATGCTCCGGCCGTACGAAACGTCCGGGTCGTCGGTGAAGAAGTTCAGTTGTAAGTGTTCCCATGCCTTCGCAGCTCTTTCGGTATATTGACCCGGTATAGCGAGTGGAGTGGACGGACGTGTCGTTATTTGGAACGTGTGAGGGGGCTGTAGAGCCTGTAGGAATGGCAAGTCCAAAGATTCAATGGGACTCACTGTCTGAGACAAGCATGTTGAACTCGACTACACGTTTATATCCGCGTGAATTTCCCAACATATGTCTTCACGTGAGACGCCCGACCGACATAGCCAGACTCAGAGTTGTCGCCAAGAACCGCTTGATTTTTCTCCTGTTCCCTTGTATGTGCCTGGTTCCCGTTTTTTCCGGGCTTGTCCTAGTAATGCACATCGTACTAGGTAGAGCACGATTTCATCAGGGGGTACCACTGGCATGGTTGGAGCCCGCCTCGCTCCAAGTGACTGTACCATGAAGGAAGAGATTCCTTTAAAGAATGGGCGCATACGGAGTAACTGCAAGTGCGATCCTCTCACTTCGGACCCGGGGCTGCCCGTGTCCGACATGGTATTGCAGCTCCTGCCGAAAACGTGGAATGATTGGGTTCTCCCGTTTGTGCCTACCACGTACATACAGAACTACAGATGGCGTGCTCGGCCTGGTTGACTGCAGATCAAGCATCTACAGCGTAAGCATAGTAGGTAAGGTATGCTTGGGTGGGATGCTTGCCTCAAACCATCGAAACACTTACAGCACTGGCACATCCATGGATCTCTCAACCTGTGTCTCTAGTTCCTCCGACCTCCGACATCCGACATCCGAAATGGCTGACTGTTGCTGGCTCAGCATCACCTGCTGCGAGCTCTGTATGCGATTGTGTGAGACCGTCGAACTTAAAAGGGCCATACCTCCAACTTCGACTCGTCCATTCCATGCTGCTTGATGTTCTCAATTTACAGACAAGCCTAGTGCTAACATACTTACTTCTCTTTAATTTCCTCGTGGAGTCTGAGCACGAGGCAGCGACTAGCAATGGAAGCGCAGGTCCTCTGGGAATTGCCATCGTCGGTGCTGGAATTGGGGGCGTGACTGCTGCTATCGGGCTTCGTCGAAACGGCCACATTGTTCATGTCTGTGATCTCACCTTGCTCATTCCTAAACCGTTGGGACGCGAAGGTCCGGATGTCCCGATGCTAACTCTCATCTCCATGTCTAGCTCTACGAGAAATCCCCTTTGGCCAACGAGTTCGGCGCTGCCGTCGGACTCTACCCCAATGGCACCGGAATCCTGCGGGCCTGGGGGATCTTTGCAGAAACATTCGGCGCGAATTCCATGAGCCGATTCGTCGAGTACGCAAGGGACGGGAGTGTTCTACGCGAATTCCCCGAGCCAAACTGGACATGCTGGAAACATCCCTCCCAGCTTGTTTACCGAGTTGCTCTCCACGAGGGTTTGAAGCAGATTGCCACGTCTCCAGATGGCCCTGGCACCCCCGCGAAACTCTTCACGTCGAGCAAGGTTGTGGCTGTCAATCCGGAGCAGGGAACCGTTACCCTGGAGAACGGCACCGTGGCCACCGCGGATGTCGTGGTTGGAGCCGATGGCGTCTATGTAGGAGCAAACCAATGCCTGGACTAGTAAGAAATGCCTGCTGACCTGTTTGAGTATGTTGATATAGTCCACGACGAGAAAATACATTTGCGACACCCAGCTGGTTAGCTCTGGACAGGCCGCCTTCAGATTCATGATACCTCGGTCGACAGCTGAGGCCGATCCTGTCACAGCGCCACTTGTCAAAAATCTTATAAATACAATGTCAAGTTGGTCAGGGGGCGACCGGTGGCTTGTGATGTACCCATGCAATGACAATCAACTGTTGAACTTTGCTTGTATCCATCCCGGATCCGAATCACACGCGGTTCAAAGTGATGGTAAGGCGACATCATCATCGTGTAACAGCGTTCAACAAAGGATAACAAAAGCTGACACCTCCCAGAGTGGAACAAGCAGGCATCCCTCGACCAGGTGCTCAAGGTATACGACGAGTTCGATCCTTCTGTCAAGGCATTCTTGGCCAAGGCAGATCCTTCAACCATCAAAGTCTGGCAGCTGATGGACATGGACAAACCGCCCACATGGGTCTCGGGGAAGCTGGCGCTTCTCGGGGACGCGGCACACCCCTTTACGCCCCGTAAGTTAATACCCTTATTTAGAGATACAGCCGGTCTACTGACTACCAGCCCAACCCTAAGACATTGGACAGGCGCCGTCAAAGCAATCGAGGACGCCGCAGCCCTTTCCGTGGTCCTACCCCCGTCAACACCCCACAGCCAAATCTGCGAGCGCCTCAAACTGTATGAGTCCATTCGCTACGAGCGGGCTCATAAGATTCAGCACGCTTCGAGGATGACTGGCCAGGACCGTGTAGACGGCAAACCCGAGGTTGACAGTGAGTTGAAATACCATCACCACTGACTCACCCATGGCAGAGAGTCGAACTGACACCGGTTGTGATGTCAAAAAGTGCTGCAATTACAAGAATACCTTTTTGATCACGATGAGATCGCCCATGCAACCGCTGCGCTGGAGCAGTGGGAGCGTTCTAACGCCGCCGATGTCGACAAGCCTTCTTCCAAATAGTGTATCCGCCTCTCGGACTTGGACATATTCGTGCTGCCAGCTAGAGAAATAAGGCCCGAGAACGTGGAAGGGGCTTTCCCTAAGCCACTGCAAAAAGGCGGGTTGGGGGCTTGTACACACCTATCACCCACGAATAGTAGAGGCACAGAGATGAAGTGGCAGAAGAAATAAGTTGAGGACCTAACAAGGCCCTCCTGACAGAATACACCCCCTGAAACAGCAGTAAATCCCGGCCATCATCACTTCCACCAAGAACTTGAACCATGCCCTTCGAAGACAGGTGTATCATCGCAACACCAAGTAGGGTACCTTATGTAACCCGTAATATCAGATAGGCTACACGGTGTACGTTCCTGCTATTAGACATTCTGGCCCGTCCGGGTCCCTCCATTTCCCTCAACTAGACACAGCCACCCGGATCAAGCAACAGTAAATACACTGCAAGGAGTGACAACAGCCCAGACCAGGAGCGATACAAGCGAGAGGCTGCGGTGATACTACATACGAGTATGTCATGACACCATGCGGAAACAAATAATGGACAGGAGGGGTAAAAAGAGGTTATAAGAAGAGCAGAGAAAGGGGATTAGGAAGAAAAAGAACAAGAGAAGTCGATCAATTTCCCTCACGAAAACCCCTCAGCCAACCCCCTTTTTTGCGCCTAAACCAAACCACCGCTTGATTAGAAAGGACAAGTCATGGCGTCGTAACCAGCATCCCAGACAAAACGTAAACAAGACAATTACGCTCAGATGTACAATACCACTGAACTGACAAAACCAAGGGTCTATGTACCCCTTTCCTTCCCAACAAATTATCAACCTCAACAATTACACTCGGAACAAAGCAACGCCTCAGCTCCGCTTCCTCGTCTCATCAATATCCGGCCCAATCTCACTCGGCCTCCTCGGATCAACATACGCCGACAGGCGCTCATCCCCGCGGCGCGCTCCGATGGTGACCCAGACATGTTTCGCAGGAATCTGGACATTGCGTGTCTCGCGCATGCCCGTCCACCGCAGGCGCCGCTCGCGGCTCATGTCGCTGTTGCCGATGCCGCCGTTGGCGTTCCACTCGCGCACAATGTCGCGGATGAACTCAATTTTTTGCCGGAAGTGGTTCGCCGCGGGGATGCCCTGCAGTTCCGGGCTGATTTCCGGGCGGCGGCGGGTCGGGTTGCTCGTGTTTTTGGGGACTGTGGAAAAGTTTAAGAGGGTTTGGAGAGGGTAGGAGAGAACCGCCCGGTCGTCGAGAGCCGACTCCGCGAGGGAACCGGTCTCTTGTAAACGCTTGGCCGCGTCCTGCGGCAAGTGCCAGAAGTGGCACCACGTCCCGGTTGCGTCGAGGACGATTTTGGTGTGGTCAGGGAAGTTGAACTATGTCGTCGTCAGTAAAGAAAACTTGTGCTCAAACGAGAGGAGCTGCTTACCTGCATATGCCCGTCACAGAACATCCAGCAGCCGACGTCGCCAAAACGCTGATAAAAGGTTACAACGTCACTGGGCGCAGATGCTAGATCTGTAATGGTGGGAACCCGCATGGGCGCATCCTCCGTCTGTCCAGGGCCCTCCATCTCCCGCCCGTAGGTTATCATGTAGTTGGCGAACTTTTTCCACAACACAATTCTCTCCCGCTTGCGGTGGTCATAGATATCCTTCCCAGCGGACAGCTTCCCAACCGTGCCATCTGGGTTAAGCGGCACAACAAAGCTTTCTGGCGCGACTCGGACGCGGGAGATGCCGTCCTCGCCATTGTTCTCGTAAAAATAGATCCCTTCGTTCATGGGCACGATCTGGTGCCTGTCCCTGTAGCCCGGCTCGTCCTTGCGCTGGCAGTGCCGTTCTGCCCCGTGCACCAACAAGCAGGCAGGAGGCAACATGCCAGACTTGGATCCATCCTGCGCCGGGATACTTCGGAGAATGCAGCCGACGCTCCCGTCGTTCAATATGTAGCCCAAACCAAACTTGTTGGTGTAGTCAACCCATTTCACTACAATCTGAGGTGGCGACGGCGTCTTCTCCCTGGAGGACAAGATTGCCATGCTGCGAGAATTGAGGGCCCTCTCGAGTTCAGCTTGCAGCTTGCGGAGGCGGTCTAGTACAACATCCGGCCTGGTGCCTGGGACCACTTCCTGGTACTCCGACGGGCTAAACAGAGACAGCTTCTCCTCTTGAGCCTTCTGCCTCGTTGAGGCGGACGGCCGCCTTTGGGGAGCGCCTTGTTCCGCACCCACAGACGTCTGGCTCCTTGTAGACGTGGCCTGGCTGCGAAGGCTCCGTGATGTGCCCTTTGGGTTCGGAACAGCCTCAGTTTGCCCGGTAGATGCCGGCGCCTCTCGTGTTTGTCTTGACCGCAGACTGTTCATCTGTCTAGACGCGGGCTCAGTAACGGTTTGCGCCCTGGAGATACCTGCCGTATTGGCTGGCCTGTGTTGCGCTCTCTGCTGAGCTGCGAAGCTCTGCGGCGGAGCACGAAGCAGACCTGGTGGCGCCTTCGGGACTTGCGGGACCTGAGGCACCTGGATACTCTGACTGAAGCTGCTAAGCTCCTCGGTTCTGTCGGCAAGCTGTAAAGTCTGTTGGGTCGTTTGTTGTGCTGCGAGCCGAGCCTGGAGTCTCTGCTCATTCTTGATTTCGTCAAACGGCCGATAGACGACGCCCTCAGCCAGCGGAATGACCGGTGTTAGACCGTTCTGCTCTTCCTCCGCCATTTCCCTCCAGATATTCTTGAACACCAACTGTGTTTGCGACCACGGCCCGACACCGCATTCTCGGCACATCTCCTGGACGTTCCGAAGGTTGATTGCTTCCATCTTCGAGTTGGCAAGGGGTTCGTAAAAAGCGGGGTTTTCGGGTGCAAGATCTCGCAACTTGTATGTGATATCCGAAGCCATGGGCATGTATCCAGAGGTGAAAAAGGGGTGGCCCACTATCGCATCCGGGTCTGGTCTCCTGTCGGCGTCCTGGAGCATGGTTGCGACAAGGTCTTTTGCCTCTTGGCTGATGTACTTTTGCGAGGTTTCAGATGACGGCCACTCGTAATCTCGGTCTCTCGCGCGGCGATAAATCTCGTCCGTCGTGGAGGATTGGAATGGAGGCTTGGAAGTAAGCATCGCGAACCTGCCCCTTATCAGAATTGCGATTCCCATGTGCATGAGAGAGGGCTTGGCTTACACAATAATCCCCAGGCTCCATATGTCGACCATGTGGTCATGGCCCTTCTTGCCTTTTTCCAAGATTTCTGGGGCGATGTAGTTCGGCGTGCCACACAACGTTGTCCGTCGCATGACCTGCATGTCCTTGCCCGTAAGAAGCAGGGCAGCAAGGCCAAAATCCCCGATTTTTGCGTTCATGTGTTTGTCGAGGAAAATGTTGCCCATCTTTAGATCTCTGTGAATGATTCCTTTTGCGTGCATGTACTTGATGGCACCAGCAATCTGGACTGTGTAGAATCGGACTTCAGGCTCTGTCAGCCCCTTGCGCCGCTTGACCATGTCCATAAGTGAGCCGTTAGGGCATAGTTCCAGGACTAGGTAGGTGCAGTTTTCGAACGTAAAGGCACGGTGGAACTGCACAATGTTCTGGTGACGCATCTTGGAGTGGATTTGAAGTTCCGTTTGGAACTTGAAGCCGTTGTGTTAGACAGGATATACCACCGGAAAACTGTATGGGAACGCACCTTTTGCTCCATCTTCGTCGGCATTTGGCTTTTGACAATCTTTAGGGCGACTCTTTTCGACGTCCCTGCCGCCTTGCCCTCGTAGCAGATGGCAAAACCTCCCTTCCCCAAAAGCTTTCCGACTTGGTACACGGCACCGTCTTTACGGTCCGAGCTGGGCGGTTCGACGACATTGTTTGGTGGCGGAGGCGGATGCTCCTTGTCCTTGACCGTCTTGAGCTGAGCTGCTGCCTTAGTCTTCAGCTCATTCACTCGCGGTACCCGCTGAGCATTCGCATCCCTCGGGGACAGGGCCTCCATGTCAACGCCGCCTCTAGCGCCCATCGCCGGTTCCTCGCTTCGCAAGACACCGAGAGACGAAGGGGAGATGCTTGGTACTTGGCTGGTGACTTCGTCGAGTCCCGAAGTCTCCGTACAGCCTGCCGTGAACAAAATCAGTACTTGTGAGCCGCAGTTGTGAAGCTGCCTGCACAGAGCGCGGAGTTTCATTTTGTCGGGCGCTTGGGGCGCGGATATTTCGAATGAGTCGCAACAGCCTGTAAACAACGAGACAACTTACAAATCAAACACAAGCAGTTCGTGCAATCATATAGATCATGCGCATCAGAAGTGTGGTCTGAAAACGCGTGTAATTGCGCAACGAGAATGCAATTCGCAAATGCCGCTGCGCTGGGTAATTGTGGAAAATGTGCACGCGGCTTTGCTGTGCTTGAAAGCTAATGTTAGGTGCTGGACCTCGCAAAGAATTGCCTGGATTGCATTTGTTTGTGACCCTCTGGTGTCGTCAGAGCAACCAGAATGGGAGTGCAGGGGTCTCGGATAAGCTTCCTTCGCTAACCCAGGGGCCAGCTTTTGGCGCAACACCATTGGCTGTCAGTGCTCCCGGCGAATGCCGAGAATGACTCCATCCCCCGCCGAAGCTGCGCAACAGTCATTGAACATGCGATCAATCGTGGAATTACACCGCAGCATCTTCAGGCCTAGGACCTCCACTGGATAGTCCGTTCCATTCCGTGAAGCGAGGTCTCAAGGGCAGAGTGTTGCGTCACAGAACATCATAATTATAAGCTGAACACTGTCCAATCTGCGAGCACCCAATCCATTGATCGTTGCCGGTCCTTATACTTGGCTGGACAGCTCCCCTATATCATGGTTCCACTGCCGCTGTTCAAGCTTGCTGCGCTCTTTGTGCGACACATCTCCAAGTACGGTGCGGTTCGTTTGCTCCCGGCCATCCCAGGTTTTTCACAGGTCCGAGTCACTGACATCAGCTCTCGGTAGAATCACATAAAACACCAGGCACACGAACACCCTCGGTTCCGGGCATTCGCGGCCCGGTATGGCCAGGTGATACACCAGCTTAACATGCGGCTGTCGGTTGCGCTACTGCGAAATCCGGATGCAGAGCAGAGAGCCAGGGAAAAGGCAGAGGCCCCTACCGTAAAAACAGAGGAGCAGGTGAAGCGGGAAGAGGAGCTTAAGGCAAAGTACGGGACGACGGCAAGACAGTCGCAGTCGACGAAAGAAGCGCCTAGAAGCATATGGAGACGCAAATTCAGGCCGCTACCTGAGGCCAAGGCCGTCGACCTATTTGCCGATGTTGTCGGCGATGCATTTATCCTCGGGGTTGCCGGCGGCCTGATCACGTACGAATACTGGAAGGCCTCACAGAAACCCGACAAAAATAAGGAGATGATTGAAGACCTTGAGAGACGGATGGAGGAGTTGAACAGGAGAGAAGCGGCACTGGAAGAGGCCGAAAGGAGGCAACGAGAGCGAGTCGAGATGATCGAAGAGGCGTTGAGAGCGTTCAGGGACCCTAAGACGAAAAAGCCGCTCTTAGCTGTACCGACACCGGCACCGACACCGGCGGTATGAGAATTGTGAGGGAAGGGACTTTGGGTTTGACCGACAAAGGTGCTCCCTTCTCGCCAATGTATCTCAGGCAGTTGCTGAGCTGCTGCCTGGGCCATCTGTACGATGATGTAAGTATCCTGCGTGTGGGAAGGCTGATCAACGATATTGGCCTAGTGCGATGGGGATGTAAGCCCGCGAGGAAGGTGCGAGAGAGTCTACCGAAGTCCAGGTATTCTGGCCGGTATTGACAGGAGGCGAAACACCCTTCTCTCGACAAAAACTGTCAAAATCTGTGGTATAGAAGCGATACCCTCTTAGCTACTGATAGACCATTCAACACCTCTCCAATCTACTTCTCCAGCCCGCTTACACACATGGATTATCCAGGCGACGAGCTGGCCGCCGCCGACATATTTTGCTTCAGTTTGAGACGGCGTGGGACGTGGGCGTCAGCCGCAGTCCAACTTTTGCAGTCCAACAAGAAGATGTGGAAGGGTATGAAGATTGCCAAGAGAACGATCTCCTACCCACTGACATCTGCAGAGGCCAATTTAGGGACCCATGATCTTTCTCTATGCATTCCGCGCCCAAAGGGGAAGAAACACGAGGCTTTTCAGCTCATCCTGCTGTCCTCGACAGACATTGACGACGCACGGGCAATTGGTCGCATTCAGGAGCTTCATCGCCTTGGCGGCGGCAGCAATGTCGCGGTCGTCTTCCTGCTTGACCGAGACGGGAGCCAAGGCGGCATGGAAGCTTTCATGAGGCTCCATATACAGTGAGTCCTTCAGCCTCCCCGGCAGACGCAATGTCTCACTATCCTGACTTTCACTCTGCAGGATCGTGAACACCTGCATGATGCCCATCATTCCTCTCGCAGCTGTCGATGCGCTGCCAGCCGCCCTCGAGGGGTTTCGGTCCTCTCTCATGGCTTCTAGAACCGCTCACCCAGCGCCGGCCGACGCCACGCGCGATCTGCTGCCCTATTGCACTATCGGCACCCCACTGTCCAGGTACTCAGTAGACGTGCTGGGTATGAGTTGCTTAAGCTTCAGACAGCTGTTGGCTGAGATTGGGCTAGACGAGGGACGGAGAAGGATCCGCAGCGTTCTCGAGCCCGCAGAAGCCGAGAGCTTACTCTCATTTTGGGCTCACGAGTTCTCCACGGCTTGACCTTTCGCTGTCTCCTGTCTATTGATGCTCTCTGTTCAGACCTCGCTGAGGCGGTCAAGAGGCTTTGGGAGTTCCTGAGCTGAACTGTGCATTGTCATGATCTATAGCAATCACTCTCCCTCTCACTGCAGAGCTGCCGTTCAGACGAATTGCGATTGCAGTTGATAGCAGAAGTTTCTAACACGGCTGCCAACTCTATATTCATCGCCATCTCTTCTGGAACCGTCAATCATTCTCTGCCCCAGCCGGAGCCGTGACACTGGGAAATACTCGACATGGCGCAGTTTAATTCCCAGCTACTGCATTATGTAGGTAGTTGGTGTGTGCGTGATGTGACGGCTTATGCAGGCTGTTGGCGAACTGCGTGCACGGTGAGAGTCCAATGACAGTTTTGGATTTTGGGAGATGCTAATTATATCCCGTCACCTGAGTGCAGCTTGAAATATGGAAGCGAAGCTTTATTGCCGTTGGTCTCCGTGCTCACGACCAAAAGGGAGACTTCGAATACCATGGCCCTATCGCCGGCTCTTTCAAAGTATCATAGCCGTGCGAGTGCCCAGGGACCATTTGATGGTCTCTCAGTTTCGGGGGTCTCAACTTCAAGATCGCTTCTTTAAACATTAAATAGTGTAGAAGGGAAACCATCATACCGTTAGCGATCCGATGTCATGTTTAAGAAAGTCATCTCCATCTTCGGACTGTGGCTGTATGATGCGGCGCTGTATCACCGCGATGAGACGATGGGCCACAGGTTCAAGTAGCACATGTGCGAGGGCGGATGATCCCAGACAACATTGGTGCAAGCGGTGAACATATCAACATTCACACCGCAGGATGCAGTACACCAGGTACACAGGGCCTAACGATTGAGGAAAGCTTGGGGCCACACGTTCCTCAACACACAGTCCCACATCCTTTCCAAATTCATTATCCGCATTGGATGATACTCTGCAGAAGGTTTCTTGCATTTCAAGAACGCATCGCCGCAGAGGCAGCGCAGATAGCGTGGGCCGGTGTGACGGAAGGTGGAAGCGTGGGACCCGGCCGTGACGTAGAGAAAAGCAAGCATGTAAGATGATAATATAACCCAATAGTGTTCAACTTGCATGGTGACGACTATGATAGTCAATAGTTGCAATCGAAACTTGAGCAAACTCAACCATGGAATCTATATACGAAGTACCCTCGTTCGTACGTGGTAGTGACGGGTGCTCTGGTGATTGATTATTTTGGTTAGGAAGGTCGGCCGCTTGCAGCGTGGGGACCAATGGCTGGTAAGGACCAACCGCCAGGAACCAGTGACGGTGTGCGCACTTCCGATATATTGAACAAACGGCGATGTGCATATGCAAGAAGGGCTGGGGACGGGCCGGCTAATGCTGACGAAATGAGCAGCAGCACCGGGCTCTAGCTGAGGTCGTAGTGTAGGCGAGGCAGGCAAGATGAATAAATGCACTATAATTACCTCAGCCAGCAGAGAGCGGCATCATCAATCTATTAAGTATCCGTAGACGGTCCGGAGACACAGTCCGATAAGTTAGGGGATCGGGGGATCAAAGCTGTGTTCGCCTCTCGACGGCGTCGCAATGTAACTACTTGTTCGGTACGGTAACACAACGTATACCTAAACACGCATACATCTCCGTATAGCCAACTGTCAAATTCCAGCTGAATATGAAGTTCGCCCAGGAAGCGAGATAGCAGTTGACTGCCTTTGATTGACGTTTGTTGATGAAATGTATTGTACGATAACGCTAATGGACAAATTGTCAAGAGAGGTGTCAATAATGGAAGTGTCGAGTTTGAACTGTCAATCCGGTGGCGGACGGTACAAGCCGCATCGTGCCGCCGCCACCCCCGGTCAAAGTACTGGTCCGTGCTTTCCGTCTGATCCCTGAACTTTTTTCGACCCCCGCTCAAACAGCTTGTGCCTCAGCTTGCCGGCAGAAGATCAGACCGTGGTCTCAGAGTTGAATCTGGGGCTGCAACCTTGGAACTTGTCGAGAACTGCGACGACACCCTTGAAGAGGCAGCATCAATGTTCATTGTGAGTTGTCGATGTCAAAGATGGCCCAGGACAGAATGCCCTCAGCGACGCTAAAGAAGGGAATGGCTGCAGACCAGCCTCCTCAAGAAACGATGCGAACCTCGGTCTCTAGGGCACTGCGGGCACTAATGTACGCGCACCTAACAGTGTCTTGCGGAGTCACTGCAAAAGCATCCGGCACTGGGCAGCAGGTTGGCACATCCAAGGAACTTTGAGGATACTTGAGTAGCTCGTCAGTCGCAGGACGGTTACGGAGTCATCGTTTTGTTCCTTGGGAGGAGGGGGAGCTTGCCAAGCCATGCAGAGGCCAAGCGGGTCAAAGCGTACTGAATCACGATTGGCTCGAGTCTCTCCTGTAGCCGCCCTCGGCACACCCAATCACGCCAGACATTGCAGCTTTCTTGCCATTTCCCCTCAACGGGCATTCATAGCGCTTTCCCATCAACAACCCAATGCGAGGACCAGCAGAGCGAAGACTGACCGCTAGCTGACCGCAACCCTCGACGGCATTGCTCTTTTTGGCCAGCCCGATTGGCAACGAGTCGAGCCGGGGTTGGCAAATGCCCCAATTTGTGGTTTGCCCTCTCGCCTTTGCTCTCTGTCGCGGGCATGGAAGATGGGAAGATTGCAGAGCAAATATCTAACCAAGCAGCTTGCCAATGAATCTCACGAGTTCCGTACCTATTGGTGGTACAGCACTCTCCAGCAGGCCGCACCTTAACGTTACCCGCCGCCAGCCCCAAGAGCGGTCGGTTGCTGTGGCCAGAGGTGGGGGAACCTGGTTCCTTTTGTGCTCGATGAGCCGCCCGCTGCCCGCGAACATCATTCCGTGGTCCAATGTCATGGCCGGGGGACTGCGCTGCGAGCCGCCTTTGCAGACACAGGTGGCCGTCTCGACCGTGGCTGGTATTCTACACATACACCATGGATTGTATCTCTAATCCAGTTCCACCCCCTCCTGGCATTTTTGCTCATGTCAAGCTCGTACTCCACTGCTTTACTCCTCAGACACCCCCCTTGGCATGGGCGTGTCAGAGGTTCTCTGGGTTCTCCACCCTTGACTTACACCTGCACATCGGCCCATCTGGGGTCTCGCGAACTGTCAGGTACCTCACGGGATGCCCAGTCGTCTCTTAAACTCGTAAAGTCCCGGATGTGCGTCGATCAAGCATTCTTTCCCCTCTGTACATACATATACATGCAGAACCCCAACACCCCCTTCCAACTCAAAACCTCCCCTTGGTAACACGCAGCGTGTCTGATCTCCATCGAAACTTAATGCGAGGATAACGAGGATAGCCTGGCCTTTCACATCAAAGCATTACCGCCACAATAGAGCACGGAGAAGCCCATCTGATTCAAACCCCCGAACATCTCAAGCACATCCCTGGCGGCGTCGCCCTTGATCCGAAGGAAAATCGCATCTGAAAGTCAAAATTCCCATCCATGCATCCCCAATGCCTGCCGTCATTATAGATCGGATCACTAGGACTTGGACCTCGAACCAGCACAACTAGCATCTGCCCTACACCCGAGACGCATCCACACCCCCCCGCTACTCGTCTGATACACGAGCTCCCGGACCACGGTGCAAGCCCTTTGGGGCGTGTACCCTACGCCTACTCTATTAGATCCCGTCCATCACCCGAGATCGCCTTGCTCCGGCCTAGCCTGCCGACCCAATATCAGTCCCACGACGCCCCGCTGGCTTTGGACGACCTGGGATTCCTTTGCTTTGCTTCCCCTGCCCTCCCTTTCTTCGCCGCCGCTGGTCGATAGCCCTCTTTCATATCGCCATTTTTTTTCTAGGTCCTGCCCTTTCAGGCCGCCAGTCAACACCGCAGGTCCGGAACCTTGCCTCTCCTTCCTTGGGCTTTGCCTTGTATTACTGTTTAGTTTTTTTGGGTAACGAGGTTGTTGTGTCGGGCCGCCTTCGACCGCTTCACCTTCGCTTTTCCGGAATTTGGGTCTGCTTCTTCGACAGGGAGACTGTACAGTGGTATTCTTGGAGTGAGGAAAGAGTATCGGCGAGTTACGTGAACACGGCAAGCAAGAGGAAGGAACTTGGAAGGTTGTGTTACCGAACGAGATCTATCTGGAACGACGTCCCTCGATCTATCAATCTGTAACCGGGAACCATGGGAAAGTTGATCAAGAACCACTGGGCGAGGCTCATCATCTTGGCCGCAGCGACCTGTATGTGACTCCGGACCAAGAACAGAATTTCGGGACAGAATGCTGACTGTATGCCTACAGACCAGGTAGCTGCCGCGCTGGAAGGTTTCTTCTGGCCCAAGATATTCTGGGACTTCGCAACGAAAACGCTCGACCGAGCTGTCAAACCCATCCCGGTGCTCCAGATTATCAACCTGCTTTTCGGGCTCATCCTCCTGGCATGGGAGTGGCCGCTTGGCTTCCTGGCCGGTTCTAGCTTGCATCGCAGCCTCGAGGCCCGCCTCGCGTTTCTTCCCCTGACAGCTCTTGCCGCGGCCTTGATGTATCAGGGCACAAATGCCGCCATCTACCAGGTGATTGGGTTGGCCGTCTACTTCTGGGCGTACAGTGAAGGCGAGGTATGTCTTGTGTTCACAGGAGTCAACTCATAAACCGCATCCTAACTTAGATGATGGATAGATGATCTGCGCGAAGCCATGGACTTTACCCCAACGGGGCGCCAGGACCGCCCGTGTATAGATGTCCGGCCTATGATAAGAGGGACGCACATACAATTATCCCTGTCCATATGGTTCCCATGTCCGCAATCCGCTTTTACAATTGTCAGTCCTCGCCATGCCACAATCACTCGAGCTCGGTCAACCTCGGCGCTTTTCGAGATCGGTATCCTCAGACAACACGTATCTACGAAGGCGGAAGGGCGTTCAGAGATGGCTGGGCTAAAATGGTCGGGGATGTGAGCCAGACAGCGGGGAAAGAGAAGGACGCAAACCGTACATATGACAATTACCCAGGAAATACGCATCCCATTCTTAGACGGCACTCGGGCAGCCTCTATACTATTTCCACTATACTCTTCCATATACCATCTACCGCATTTTGTCAAAATTTTTGTTTTGGAAATACCGCATAACACGCCAGCCTCGGTTGATCAGCAGACCTGAGAGCAGTGGCGGAGGGGATGAGCATTGCGGGCCTGGCGTTTTCTGGATTTGTGTATCAAATAAGCTGGAGTGAGAGGGTGTAGCCAGACGGAGGGCTAGTGGACGACGATGATATGGTTCGGCAGAGGCGAAGGGGAAGGCAATTGTTGAATGTCGTCGGCCTTGTCCATGTGCCTGTGGGCTGGACGCAAAATCAGTGGTTAAGTTATGTTGATGCCGACAACCGGCAAGTAGCAAGCTGCATCAGCTTGTGAATAATGGAAATACTACGGAAGCATCTCAGTCCATGCCACCTTCTCTTCACCTTCGCCTAACCAGGTGAACCTAAGTACGGACAGGTTTTGCTGTCTCTGAGTCTGTATACACTATACCAGGACGCGAGTGAGCCGCTCCGTCGATTGAGGGTGGGCTATCATCATGACCTTGTCTTGTCTCAGATTGTAACCAAGTACATACATAGTTGCACATACTTACCTATCTACCTACCCTATGCACTGCACTCCAATGAGCAAAATATCCAAACCCACGGGGTTGGTTGCCTGCGAGGCTGAGAGCAACGATCGGAGTGCACAAGCAAGCGCTGCTCAAAAGCCTCAAAACACAACCCACGAACCAAGCCTGGATCAATCTCTTTCCTCAGCAGGCAGTGCCTCGAAATCCACGGCGGCAGACGACACTCTGCGTCGACAACTCAAACACCACACGAATCCTCTCCTCCTTCGGATCTCGAGTTCCCGAAACACTCAGGGCGGCAGCCACTCAGGTACGGGAAGGCCCATGTCTCACACCACAAATGAGTCTCAGCTGAGTCAGCTCAAGGGCGGTTGCTGGTGACACGTGACTCGTTTATTCGGACTTTGAAATCGAGGCAGGCACTGCTTTTCGAACTCGCAGCTGATTCCGTATCACCACACACACCATTTACAGAGCACCTTGTACAATACACACCGCGTTACGCACGATCCTGCTGTGCTACTTGATTGCTTGCTCGTTCCACGGCGCTCATTGACCCAGAGAATGATGGGTTGGAAGTAGCACAACCCTCACTTAATCTGCTCGTAGCCTCATAGGTAATCAAGGTGAGCCCGATTCCTTTCAACTTTCAAGCGTCACACCCCTCCAGTCGAATCAGAGCAGGTCAATTCGTGAAAGATTTTAATTCTCGTGAGCTCGACGGTTCCTCTAGAGATGTGCTACTAGTGTTCTGCGTCTTGCAGGCCTGTTGCAAATCATTGCAGACAGATCTTAGCCACAAGGTGTCTTTCTTCTCTGTTCCTTCCATGGAGGTCCCAGGACATGACTGCCTCATCAGATACCCGAATCTCCTTCACTCGAGCTAGGAGCCGACTTGGGAGTCGTCAACCCTATGTAAGGAACGGACGCGACAGGGCTGGGGGGTGTCACATATTCTCTAGTGAGGGATGTAAGGGCCGTTTGAATCATTCCTTCGGCCTTGACGCTCGCTCATCTGTAGTTGAGACATGTCAGCTTCAACTTCTGTTATCCCACCAACGCCGCGATCGAAAGGCCTGGGGGATGGTGAAGCCACCATCTAGCCGCCAAACCCTGGTGCTATCGAGGGAACCCTCAAGTGGTATTGTACCCCAGAGAAGCGGCATTGTGTGGCCCCCAAAGACGGGTCGGTGAAAGCCAAATACCCGGAGGCTCAGCAAACGCGCCGGTTCTGCAGCCGTCGCTTGCCGCCCATCAAGCCTCAGCAGTCTTGTGCCGCCTGACGGCCCGCACCACACCTGCACCGAGAGGGCGTGCTCATGGCACGAGGCGCAGCAACGCCCAGCTCAGTTGGGGGAACTGGGCGCTTAACGGTGGCCGCCATCCTATCAAGCGGTACACCATAGGTGTTCCTCCTGGTGCAACACGGAGTATTCCGAGGGGGCCTGCTTGGCCTGGTAGGACAGAGAGGAGGGCAAAGGCAAACATAATGGGCAAAAAGGGAAAGTCATGCGGTCATACCTCAAATTCTTGCAGGCTCCCTTTCTCCAGAATTTTCAATACGGCCTCGTCCTCCTTCGAGGTGCCAAACTCGTTCTCCAGCAGGGCCTTGGAAGCACCCTCCAGCATGCCTTGGGCGCCATGCCTAGATTGTATTGACATCAGTTACCCGTTGACTGATATCCTAACTGGATAGGGGGAAGAAAAAGTGATATGTTGTTGGCAAAGGAGAAACTTACCGATGCGTAGTGAACACCTTGAACGATGACACCACCTGCGCCAGCGGAACCGACCGGTCCTTGAGCCACTTCTGGTAGTCCTCCACGCTGTCCAAGAAGACGATAAAGTCCTCGTCGTTGCCCCTGTAGTGGACCTTCACGTGGTTAACGTCGCCGCGAGTCATTTTGGTTCGTTTTGTGGTTTGTATATCCTTTCGAAGTAGAAGTGATCCGAGATACTGCACTGAGTGTCACTGCGTCTGTTTAAGAGTAGTCGACGCGTAGGATGAGTAGCAGAAGGCGAATTGATTGTTGCGGTGAGGGAACTGAGGATATCGATTCGTTGATGCGTAGCTGGAAAGAAAGAGCACTAAACTGATTGTGAAGCTGCTTCCTCAAACTTTGTTAATTTGGTGTTGAGTGTTTCTTTGCTCCTTCCTACCCCTCGTAAATAAAGACATCACCAGGCAGGACCATCAGGTGCTACGTCATATGTGACGATCGAGCAATCACTGAGAGACATTGATTATCCCGATTTCCCGCTTTGGATACTGTGCGGATTGTGAAAGCCGATACAGTAAGCATGCATTGTGAATTACAGTAACGCAGCTAGTAGAATATATCATGAATTCAAATGCAGCAATCAAGAGACAATCCGGTGGCAGTCGCCAAGTGTCTAATCCTGATAGCTAATCTATAAGCCCTTTCATCCTAAAAGCTTTTCAAAACTGAACTGGCAGTGCTAGGGCTTCGGGCAAGACGTCTTCAAGTTGTACTATCAATTCCAAACGATCATGTCTCATACCATATGGAAAACACTGTATCAAGCGATCCACATGTTCCTGACTGCAGTGGGCCAAACGAACTAACGTCTGACGTCACCAAATCAACGAGAACTGCTTCGAAACGTACTTCGTACCTTCATAGAATTGTCCGAGTCGCCAGTGATCACTCGTAGCGTACCTTATTGGATTGCGGTGCTCGTAGCAGCCCACGCTTGCGCAAGAGAATACCTAACTTACGACGCAATATTTGCAAGGAGACCGCTCGACGCTGATTTAGCATACTGGACCTAGGAATAGTAACTGTGCTGACACCCACCAATACCGGCCCTGTAGAGATACTGGGCAGCTCCCTTCCTCGACAGTTACAACTAAAACCACTGCAGTCCTTGGGAAAACAAGACAAAACCAAGGTCATAGCCATTCCCAAAGCTCTCAGCAGAGGGACAAGGAATATACAATGTTAAGGCAAAGCGAGAGTGCGGAGAAGGGTGTCGCATGCTTTTGTCATACAAAATCCACGCCGCCCGTCCACCTACCCTAGTCCAATGTATGTGTATCGTTTTGGTCTCTCATCGAAATATGTTACGAATGCTCCGGAAAACCGCACCGCGATGCCGCCGCCCTCCTTTCTTGGCCTTCTTACCCGGGAGCTCATGCAAAGGGCCGAACGCCTTGCGCGAGCCGCCGTTAGGAGCCGCACAGTACGTCTCCTTTTGCAGATCGCCACTAGCCGAGGATGTCTCGCTAAGAGTTGAACGCTGTAAGCTCAAACGCGGGGAAGACTCCGTAGAAGGCCGGTGGAATTCGATCGGCGTCGTTGGCCGTGTCTCGGGGATTGTCTTGCCTCGACGACGACGCACCAGTCCGATGGGAATTGCGCATGGATCCGACCCGGGCGACGCCGCCGACGGAGCCAGAGACGGACTGGAACGTTCCGTTTCGTCGGGAATCATAGACAGCGGCGACATGCGTACCTCTCCCAGTTGATGGGACGCGGGCGTTTCCGGGCGTGGTTCTTCTTTACTTCTGCGGCTTGTCTCTTCACCACTGACAGGGCTGCTACCTGCGCCCTTCAGTTGCAGCAGGCTCGGAAAACTGCTCGAGCGCTTCGCAAACCTACCAGTGATGCTCACCGAACTCAATCTTCGCATCACTGAAGACGCCGATGCTCGGACCAGCTGCTCGCTCCTGGATCGGACCGTCATTCCAGGGAAGGGTAATACATCCCTCGTCCACACATCGGCCAGGAGAGCCTCCAGTCGCGCCCTCTCGGCCCTGGAAGGTGCCAGCACAGGTATACGGCTGTTGGTTGTGTATAATGACTGAGACCTGTTGATATGAGAACCGTTGCCAGACACCGCCGCCTCTCTGACGGTGGTGTTCTTGAGAATGACCTGGCATAAGGGAGACTTGGCGCCAACTGTGATTGTTCGATGCATCGATATCTTTCTAGCAGCGGTCCCTGTGATGCGGGTTAGCTCATCCGCTTGACCAACCTTCGCGGCGGATGGGACCTACCTTGTTTCCTAAAAACAGTACCCAGAGCTCTGATGTTCAACGAGAGACTTTCGAGCACTTCTGGCTGCGCCTGATCCTGGCAATTGGTGACAGCAGCTTTCTGGTTATCTTCCAGCCGTGTGCGCCATTCCAGTTCCTCTTTATCGGTGCATGCTGTCAGGATTAGTTCATACAGCTGCTGGCCGCATACGAACACCAGTTTCCATGAATGCTGCGCTGTGTGGCATTGAAGACCTGGAACCCCTGTCAGCAATATCTGGATAGGCCTGCCATTAAGTGGTGTTCTTACCTCGCCCATTATCTACTTCTTCCAACTTGGCATTTGCCAGAAAGATACAAGCCTGTATCGCGTAGACATGGTCGGCCTTGCCCGCGGTCGCAAGGCAAAACCACTCTCGATACAGTAGGGCAATCATGTACTGCCCACTCACCCCTTCTTTGGTCTGCCAGCAGGCGTGGAGAGCACCGCAGAGTTGTGCGTGGCCAAATGATCTGATACGGTTTCTTGACGCTGCATCTAGCTGGTATGCTTGGGTCAGTATGTACTCAAGATGTTCCATCAAAATCTCTTACCTGGTTTGGGAACACAAGCCGGTCCTGGAGAATCCACGTCCTTTCCAAGGCTGATTTTGCTCGGGAATCGTCCGTCGCACGGTTGATTTCAGCAGTGGCTTCCCGAAGTCTGATGAGCGTGTTTTCAATCTCCAAATATGAGCAAGGGCAGTCAACCACGGGAGTGTGCTTCAATAATTCCCAGAAGAGCAAGGGATATTTGCACACTCGTTGGATCGGCTGTCCATATCAGCTTGAGTTTTCATACATGGTAGAAGAGCGTTCACCTTGACCAGGAGGTCGCCAATTGTGAGGCTCTTCCTTGAATGGTCGCCCTGGCCGTCGGGGACGAGGGATGCAGCAAGGAGCTCCAATCCTTTCTGATACGAGAGCCAACCAGGCATCGTCCGGTGTGCCGAGGCAACATCTTTGATCATCAATTTGTATTTTGCCCCATACTCTTCGTAGATGAAGAATCGGTGCATCTTATGTCCATGCAGAGATCAGAAAACAGGTTCATGACCCGGCCATCGCCAAGGCAAGTATTTACTTACCTTCTTCGAGAAGATCCTCGCGACTTCAGCGGCGGTATGGGGTTCAGCCAGCATGCCAGTAACCTCTTCCATTCGTGAAGTGCCATTTTTGGCCTCCGCAAGGACACCTGGAGATCTCCAACGGTGAAGTTCGCGTGCAGACGCGCTCGATTCGGCGTTTTGCAAGGGGACACCTGGCTGAGTGTATTCCGAGTAAGGCACAGCATGGTGGAGCTCTCCAAGAATCTCCTCGTGAAGCTGCACAATGTCGTTGAGGTTCTGGTTAACGGACAATCGCAGTCCCGGGGGGTTAGCTGGTAGCGAAGCAAGGATCGTGACGTAGACCTGTGATTCTGTTAGAGTCAACGAGACATTGCTTAGATGCAGACATACATTCATTAAGAACCGTACATCGCCGATGTAGTTCTCCTCAGTGCTAATCAATTCCTCCAGTATACGGCGCCTCTGCAAGGACCGTTCCCTAGTAGCAGGATCTATGGCAGGTTGCGGTTCCAAACAAGAACTATCCAGAGAGATCCGTGGGCCACTGACGGAAGCTCTGCTGCTGCGATCCGTCCTCGAACGGACACGAGATAACCGATATATGTCCCTCCTCGAGCGAGTCAACATGCTCACATTGCCCAGAGACATACTGGCGCTTTTGGTTGCCGTCACGAAGGCGAAGGACGAATCTGAGGAGGACCGCCGGTTGTGAGTGGGCTTGTCAAGTGTTGGAGAAAAACTACCTTCGGCTATGGGAATGCAGGAGGGGCGGTCCCCTTCACCATGTTGCATCTCCTGACGACGCAGGGCATGTTTGTGCAATATCTTAGCCCATCTTTGAAACCGTTTGTCCCGTCCGAATACCAGTTGGCCGCCGTCGGGGTTGGCCCGCGTGCTAGTGTGAGAGCCGTAATCTGCATTCTCTGACAGGGGCTTTGGCAAGACGATATCCTCGACAGCTCTTGTGGAAGTATGATCCAAAGCACACTCATCCTCGATTCTCTCCGATGATGGCGATGGCCTGTCCTTGGAGCCAGCGGAGGTGTCCTTTGCAAGAACCAGATCTGGGTTGCTGATATGATACGAGCAGGAGCTGTTCGAGACGGCCGAGATGTCGTTGTTTCTGCAGAACTGCTTGAGACCATGGCCCGAATGGGGTGATGGCTGTGCCAAAGGGAGCAATCTTGACCCGACATCCGCGGAGGCCATCATGCAAGATTAGGTTCTCAAGAAACAAATTGCTTCAAGCCGGTGTCCAAACAAACTCGGCGGGGCCTCCGATTTGGAATTGAGAAGGGCCAGCCAACCGATTCAATACATGATGCAGGAATGATGCGCCAGAGAAGGAAGGTGAGGGCAGGATAGCGAGAAAAGAAAACAACACACGAAGAGAAAAAAGAAATTCCACTGAGAGATGCTGGTGGGGAGTCAAACAATAACCGAAGAAAAGATGACGCAGAAATCACCTACTGACCCATTGAGCTATGAGACATGACGGTTGTCGATGCGATCGGAAAGAGCTGGACGCATTGCTCAAGACGGGAGCTCTGGCCTAGCAATGAGGCCGCTTTGGGTAACCAACATCATGAGAGACGTACGTCGATGGCAGCCACGACCATCACTGAGCATCTCTATCTGAAGGGTGACGGCCGCTTGTTCGAACTTTTGAGATTCAGCTTGCTGGCACCGAGACGCTTGCCTGATTGGAGCGGAGTGCAGATTTGCTTGAGGCTCGCATCCAGCCACGTTAGCTGACCGATTGGATATGAACACAATCGGGCATCATCCCCCCATGACGACGCGCGCAAAGGATCTGGCGGGAGCGCGCAGATGTACTAAAACATGACGACGTCGATGCAGGCGCAAAGTGCCCAAGCCCTTCCGGTCTCGGTTAACTCAAGACGAACACCGCTACTTCGTCAACCTGCCCTCAGCTGTGGGGTGTTGCACTTGAAAGATAAGGACAGACGCTCTCAAGTGCTAAAATGCAGCTTGGACTTTGGCACATTGGATGGCTCGGATGGATTTCCGACCACATTCTCGAAGTCCGGCTGTGCATCCATGGGGCTGCTGCCACACGCCCTCGCACCTGCAAGTTCGACTGTGGGAGCACTTCCGTCAGTTCCATGCCTTGAGGCGGACGTGAGGCTGCACCAGTGGCCGTTCGGGGTTGCGCCTGCTCTTTTCAATATGCTCCGAATACGGTTATTACGTACTATACTGTATACACTGTACGTACCGCCGGAACGGGACGTCCTGAACCCCGCCTTCAAGTTGCCAGAGCTCAGTTCGCCCCGCCATCACCGAGAGTTATCGCGCTGGACTCGTGCTATGACCCCACCTTACAGTCCAGAGCTGCTTTGCTACAGAGGCTACCTAGAGTTGCTTTGCGCGTTATTCGTGATAGACTGCCAGGGTTGCCTAGACTCTCCTCCGAAGCCCCAGGCTTGATCGCCATTTCAGCATCAGCGCTCTCGACTTCCAAGACAATGGAATGAACCTGCTTGCCGGTGCTTTTCCAGTAAGGGTCTGCAGCAAAACATGAGCAACCTCCATGCGCCCACCATCCCTTCAGGGCCCACCACGGCCCCTGTCACAAACGGAAATGCAGCTCGACTCTCGATCACCGAGCTCCAGCGCAAAAAGGACAATATTGAAGGGGAGCTGAAGGCTTTGGGTGGTGTCCTTGATTCGGTTTGTCGCCGCACCCTGGGTGCAAGAGCGATCCTCTAACAAGGGGTTGCAGCACGGCGTTGACATGAACACGAGCCTCCTCACCCGCGATGGGTTTCCCCGAGCCGATATCGACGTTGCACAGAGTACGAGAGCATCGTCGTCGAGTCTAGACTGGAGCACACAGGCTGACCACTGTAGTTCGGACCACAAGAGCACGCATCATCCACCTCCGGAATGACTGGAAGGATCTGATGGCTCTCATTGAAAAACGACTCCACGAACACTTTGCCAGTTTGGAGGACGACGATAACGAGACCGCCGCTCCGACCAACGCTGATATTTCGATACCGAGAGACACGATACCCGGGACTCTGGACCGGCCCTTTGCCAAAGTCAATACGGTTGTTGAGAACAGTCCGGCTGCTACGGCGGGGCTCAAACCTGGAGACCTAATCCGGAACTTTGGTTATGTCAACCACGAGAACAATGACGGTCTCAAGAAGGTAGCTGAATGCGTTCAGGGCAACGAAGGAGTAAGTAATCCCACGACCACGCCGCCAGCCCTGTGTCGGGCATGGGCTGACCACATCGCAGCAAAATATCCTCGTGAAAGTATCACGAAGCAGTGGGACTTCACGGCCCCAGGAGCTCAGGCTGACATTGACACCACGGCGCGACTGGGGCGGTAGGGGGCTGCTTGGATGCCATATCCTACCGCTGTAGTTTTAGTGGGCTTGGGTCGTTGGGGCTGGCAATCACAGGAAGAGTTGGGCTCCGTCGCCTTGGGCCCAACATTGGGAGGTGATGTTGAACACGCCTTCGCCCAAAGTAGCATGAGCTCGGGCTACACTGCCTTAAGATTAGGCAACTCTATGGCCGGTGAATGAAGCCTAGCATTCCCTATCGTGAAGACATGGTAGGGAAGGAGTAAGGATTGGAGCTGTGACACATAGGACAGATACAAACTTGGTGACAAAATGGCCTGACCGGTGCTTAGAAATATTAGACTTGGAAGCTTACAAATAAGTTGATGCTCTGTACTGCCAGTTGTATATGTGCCTGGGCATCGCTTCAAAAACCACACCAAGTTTCGCCAACTTGTGTTCAACCTGGAAGACAGTGAAAGTTGGTCAAGCCCGCGGAATACCAAAAGTCGCAGTCTCGCAGAGTGCCTCTGAAATCTGAATGGCCGCGCATTGACCAGCAAGAGAGATCACGTGCTTCCAACCACCCCGCCGCCCAACGAGTTTTTTGTCAAGGCTCAAGGCAGCTGTTGGTCCCCGCGAGCCGCCTTCTGAAAACAACATCACTCTGGGCTCCATTTTGATTCTTGCAACCCGACTGGCACCTGGCACTTTTTCCCACCATCACCACAACCAAAAGGTCCGTTAATCCCCTCCCATCGCTTTACAACTTCTGCCGAAAACCATCTTTCTCCGCCAACCGCGAGACACCAAGATTCTTTGTTGCGCAGCAAGACTGATTTGCCGCGCCTAGATATCGATTTTCTCCGTACTTCTCTAATCGTCACACATCAACACATTATGGCTGAGGTCGCTCAGGTCCCGACCTTCAAGCTCGTGCTTGTTGGCGATGGTGGTACAGGCAAGGTAAGTTTCCTGCTGCAACGCTCTTTCCTTATCATAGCTGTATCGGCATCGACTGCGGGGTTGGGTTCCTGTGAACTGGTGTGCTAACAGGTTGGCGACTGGATTAGACCACCTTCGTCAAGCGTCACTTGACCGGCGAGTTCGAGAAGAAGTACATGGCCACTCTTGGTGTCGAGGTTCACCCTCTTGGCTTCACAACCGTAAGTTTCCCTTCTCCTACTGCTTGGCGAGCACCCCGAGCGCCATGCTGACAGTCTTGCAGAACTTTGGCCCAATTCAGTTCGACGTGTGGGATACAGCGGGTCAGGAGAAGTTTGGTGGTCTCCGTGATGGCTACTACATCAACGGCCAGTGCGGCATCATCATGTTCGATGTCACATCCCGCATCACCTACAAGAACGTCCCCAACTGGCACCGTACGTACAAAAGGCCACAACAGAGTGTAGCCCTAGTTCTTTGTGCTAACAGGACTTAACATCAGGCGATCTTACCCGTGTCTGTGAAAACATTCCCATTGTTCTCTGCGGCAACAAGGTCGATGTCAAGGAGCGCAAGGTCAAGGCCAAGACCATCACGTTTCACCGGAAAAAAAATCTCCAGTATTACGACATTTCGGCCAAATCGAATTATAACTTCGAGAAACCGTTCCTTTGGCTCGCCCGCAAGCTCGTCGGTAATGCTGCTCTGGTAAGCCGCTGCACACCCTCTTCTATTGGATATTTTAGTCTGTGAACTAACGCCCGACCCAGGAATTCGTTGCTGCGCCTGCCCTCGCTCCGGCCGAGGTAGCAGTCGACCAAGAGCTGCTTGCGAAGTACGAGGCCGAGATCCAGGAAGCTGCCAATGCCCCCCTTCCTGACGACGACGAGGACCTCTGAGCGTCTTTGGACCCCCACGGCTCTTTCAAAGTACGTTTGGAAGTGGTTCGGGATGGTAATGCCCGTTATGAAGGATAAGAGCATCTTCCGACGCACAGATGGCACTACAGGCATTTGGGACGGGGCAATCAGGAGGGCTGGGACATATGCGGAAGGGAGGCCAATTCGGAATTCTGATGAAGGGCGAGCGGCGGCCAATATCTTTTCTTGACGACGTTTGGTTGAGCCCCGTAACCGACCTCAACCAAACCCCTACGGAAGCTAGATCTGAACATTGCTGCTACGGCAGCGCTAGGTAGATCAATTTGAGACGCACTTCGCGTCATCACGCCAGACAAAGAGTTTCCACTTGGTTCCAGCAGATCGAGTGAACCCCACCTAAGGCATTTTGGGCGGGTTTGGGCTGTCAGGCGGTGAGGCGGTGAGACCCCGCTGTGGGTGGTGGGGGCGCAAGAGACCATGACATCAAAATGCGGCGATGTTGTGCAGCTTGCGTTTGCTTTGTCAGCTCAGTTTGCCTGGACGGAAATGGAAAGTGTGTTTGTTGCCAATGGCAACGGAAGCAGTCGCTACCGGTACGGTATTGTTACCACTGCACGATTTGCTTTCCTCACCCGGGGTCAACTGCTCGTCGTTGTATGTATGATGTTGATAGCGCTTGATGCTGCCCTCTTCGTTTGAATCTTGGTGGTCTTCACTTCATTTCTTTTCTCTCACAATCAAAGCTGTAAGTGCAAATTTTGAATACCATCAGAGTTTGGACAGCGAACACGCAATCCACTGCACCAAAGGCAATCAATTCTCTAGAACAATACGGTCTTCAGGAAGCATCGAAAGGTGTGTAGACGAGCGGTGCTCAAAGTCCAAAACACTACACTTATGATGCTAGATGCCCACATCGTTTCCATAGAACTATGTACGCTATTTGATGTTTGGGATTTCTCTTGTACTCAGGCTGAGAAAGTCGAGCCAATTCAGGGATGAGACCTGACACACATACCTTACCCTACTCCCTACTCCCTACTCCCTAGAGGGTTAGACTCGGCAGAGACAACCTACCTTAGGGAGAATGTTGGCCTAGGAATGGTTACTACGTATTATAAGGAATTCTGGATTCAAGCAAGGGTTACGACGTTACAATTGCAAGACTTTGTTGTCTCTACAGTAGGTACATACAATACAGATACCTGCAGCTTCTTCTTGTCGCCATGCTCCTCTAACTTGACTACCCCTGGAATTGGATGTTGGGACTTGGGAGAGCAAAGGCACCGGAAGACAAATTAGTGGAGATCATCCCTAGGTACCCAGCCCTCGATACATGATCAAGTCCAACCATATGAGAGCAGCAAAACTTGTCGCTAGCATTATTTCCCATGGCTGGGACCTACAAGGCCTACATGTATTTCTCACGCAGACAATCGCAGGGAGTTTTAGATGGTCCATCGTGTCTCTATGCACCATGATGCACTCTTCTTATCAGTTTATGCCCGGGTTGAGATGGCAATCACAGGACCCACGACGAGAGACAAGGGAAACGGCATGAGTTCATGTCAAAAAGGAAATTAAGGTGTATGTATTGAAATATGTTAATAAATTGACATTAAGGGCTTGCCAACTCGGAGGACCCCGAGCCAGGTCAAAAGGTGCAGGCGGGACGACTAGTATCCAACAAGAGTAAAAAAAGGACATGAGCCATAATCCAAATGCCACCTTCACTTTATATAACCCAAATCCATTAGACGCCCGGCACCGAGAAGCCAGCAGCCTGCGGCCAGTTGCCCAGCTTCGCCGGGTCACCGCCGATGCGGACGTAGGTGCCGACAGCGGGGATGCCGCCGTCGAGCACAAACATCTGGTACCACCCCGGGGGAGCAATGTTGGCCGTGGTGGGGGCGTCGACGGTGCAGGAGGTGCCCGTGCACTGGACGCGGGGCATGAGGGTGCGGGCGCCCATCGAGTTGCCGTGCGTGCTCGACACGGAGCCCAACAGGGTCACGGTAATCTCGCCGTTTTGGGCGGGCGCGCCCAGCGTGAACGGGATGCCCGTCTGGCCGTGCGCCCAGTCCTTGTTGGTGATGCTGAAGGTCGGGCGGGGCTTGCCGCTGAGGAGGTAAGGGGGCAGGAACACCTCGACGCGGTACTCCTCCGGGTTCTTGCCGTCCTCCGGGTTCGAGCCCGAGATGAGCACGCGGCCGTCCAACAGGGTGATAGCCTCGCTGTGGTACATGCGGGCGATGGTGGTGTTGGCCATGACGGTGATGCGCGAGCCGAGAGGCTTGTTGGGGTCGTACAGCAGCGCGTTGAGGTTGGGTTGGGTGCCGAGCCCGAACCCGGCCACGCCGTGCTGCGCGCCGTTGGCGATCAGGTAGGTGCCGTCCGGCAGAGGGGCCATGCAGCTCATGACGCGGAACGAGGGCATGCGCTCAATCTTCCATTCTGGGTTGGCCGCCTCTGGGTAGATGGACACGCAGTTGTCAATGGCGTTGCCGGGGCCTTCGGTGGAGCCGCCGCAGATCAGCACGCCGAGAGGGTCGCTGTAGGGGTACTTTTGCGGGAGGAGCACGGCGGTGCCCTCGAGCGGGTACGTGCGGCCACCCTTGTCGTCGTTGACGGCGCCGGGCGTGTTGGGGAGCGTCTTGATGGTGGCGAAGGTGACTGGGTCAAGGATGCGAGCCTCGTTCCAGTACTGCACAAAGATGCCGCCGCCGGGAAGGACGCACAGGAACGGGTACAGGTTGTTGGGGTGGGTGCGGTCGAGCCAGTCCATGTAGAGCGGCGCCTGGCCCGTGTAGGGCAGGATCTCGATGGACGGGACGGCCTTGTCGTTGGAGCCAATCAGGCCGCCCACGACCATGACGGAGCCGTTGGCCATGACCATGGCCGTCGGGTACCAACGGCCGGCCTGGAGGCTGAGCACCTTGACGTTCTCCTCCCAGTCGTGCTCGGGCCAGTAGATGCGCGTGCCGTACGTGGAGTCCCCGGACCAACCGCCAACGTTCAGCTGGCGGCCAGCCTTGTCGGGCAACGTCACGCCAGCAGCGCAGAAGACGTCGGTCTTGACATGGAGCTCACGGAACGTGTTGGTGGCAGGGTCCAGCTCGTAGGCGCCCGTCTCATTGCCAGGGCCGGTTCCGTACTTGGAGATGAACGAGACCTTGCCAGTAATCGTCTCCTGGGTGATGAGGGGGATGGTCGGACCGCTGAGTAGGTACTGGTACTGGCCGGCGCGGTAGTCCTGGGGGAAATCCCACGAGTAGAGTGGGGTGCCCGTCCAGAAGTAGGTTGTCAAGCGGCTGAGACCGCCGCAGATGGCCGTGGCGTTGCCGGCGCAGGTGATGCCGCACTCAGACTCGGGGCGGAAGGTGGCGCCGGCCGTGGCAATGTTGGCCGGGTCGCCGCAGTAGCACTCCTCGCCATACTCGAGACCGGCGGCCATGTAGCCGAACTGAGCGCACCGGTTGAGGCACATATTTGGCGTCATGGTGCCGGGGAAGAAGAGCTGCCAGTAGAAGGTGCGCTTGTCGTTGAGGTTGTCCTCAACGCAGCCCTGGTAGGTCCAGTCGCCTTCGAGGCCCTCGGTCTGGGGCGCCGGAGGAGCATACGCCTTGGGGGTGCCGTTGGACACGATGCTCAGCCGGTCACCAGCACCGCACTTCTGTGTGGCGTCACCAGGGCAGTTGAAGCTGCAGTCCGAGTCGGCCGTCTTTTCGCCGCCATTGTAGATGGCATTGCCGCAAAAGCATTGCACGCCGTACTCGGTTCCCGAGATGCTGTAGCCGGCAGCCGCGCACGCGTTGGCACAGGTCGCGGGGCTGTTTTGCTGGCTGTCGGGGATCTGGTGCGGGAGAATACGGCCCTGCTTTCCGTCGATCCAGCAGCCTTGGTAGGTCCACCCCTCGGGAACGCCAGTGACGACGGGAGCCGCCGAGGTGGTCGAGGTGCCGGGGGCAGTGGTTGTTGAGGTCTCCTGCGCGGTGCCGTTCTTTGCATAGACGGACAGGCGGTTGCCAGCCCCGCAGTACTGGGTTTCGTCGCCCGAGCAGGTCATGCTGCAGTCCGCAGCCGGCGCAGGCACGGAGCCGGCGTTGAAGCTGTTGCCGCAGTAGCACTCGCGCGCATACTCGACGCCGAAGTAGGTGTAGGCTGAGCAGTAGACCTGGCAAGCCTCGAGCGTCATGTCATCCGACGCGAACGTGGCGGCACTCAGGGCGCGCATGCCAGTGGCCTCGGTTCGGCATCCATTCCAGACGTAGTTGCCCACGGCCGTGGGTTGAGACGGGCCGTCAGCGGTAGCGGTGACGGTGGGGTCAGCTGTGGCACTAGTAGTCGTAGATGTCGCGCCTGGGTCGTACTGGTTCTGGTAGTTGTAAACATTAAGCCGGCTGGGGCCGCCACAGATCTCGCTGCTGTCGCCGTTGCAAGCCATGTTGCACCCACTGCTCGCCGGAGCGCCTCCGTTGGAGATGGTATTGCCGCAGAAGCATTCACCGCCGAACTCAACACCAGCAAGGATATAATTCGCCGCGCGGCAGGCCGCCGTGCACTTATCAACCGTCATCTCGGCGCTGGGGATGCTGCCCACGCCGTATGTGAGTGCCCGGCCCGTTGTGCCTTCAGCGTAGCACCCCATGTGGACGTAGTCGTTGGAATTAGGCTTCGGTTGCGGCCCGAGAACGGCGTCCGTGTGGAAAAGCGTGAGCCTGCTGCCGGCACCGCAAGGCTCATTGGGGGCTCCTGAGCAGGCCATGTTGCAAACCGAGTCGGCGACCTTGTCGGCGCCTGCCGCGAGGCTGTTCCCGCAGAAGCATTCTACTGAGTACTCGGTTCCGGCATACGAAAAACCTCGCGACGCGCAAAAGTTGATACAGGCCTCATTTGTCATGGCCGCACCGTCGGCATAAGTAGCCTCATTTATCGTCCTCCCAGGAACGTCGACATAGCACCCTTCGTACGCCCAGCCATCTGGCAGCTCCGTGGGCACGGCGAGCTGGGCAAACGCAAGGGGAAACTAGAACAGGCATCAGAAAATATGGCCAAGCTGGCAAGGGGGGAGGGCTTACCGAAGACAGGACGAGGGACGAAAACAACGTCCTTGCCGGTGAGGCCTTCATGGTGAAGACTTGGCGTGGCGATCCGTGACAGGACGCCAACACGGCAAGAGACAGGGCAAAAAATAAAACGAGTGTCAGGGTCAGAAAAAGACCACAGGCAGATGGAAAGGGATCGTAGGGAGAGAGGGAGCGGGGGATTACATTTCTATATACTGCTCGGTGTCTACTACTACTTTTACACTAGGCGGGGATCTTGCCGAGAAGGTGATGTGGTGAATGGTAACACGAACAACGCTGGGCTCCTTTTTTTTCTTTGGTGGGAACGGGGAAAGGCAGGAATAGGCAGGGGGAAGCCACCTTGCAGGGGGGAGAAAGGCTCGCCAAGCAGTCAGCGCCAGAGACATTTTCATAAGGGATGTGGGCTCGTGGGCTTGGGTCAAGGGAACAAGCGAGGAAAGAACCCACGTCTTTGGGCGCTGGATTTGATTGCAACAGGGGTCCTGTATACGTACCACACGGGCACACACACAGCCCTCGAGGCGGCAGCCGCAGCTCGCAGGGCATGGAGGATGTAACTCTGGGCTGCAGCAACGGTCGCCCTGTCTGGCCGGCTGCTTATCCACAATATCCATCCAGGATGTCCTCGGGCTCGGATCTCGGACTCCATTTCCCTCAAAGCGACTATTTTCTTTGGCGCCGAAGTTGAAGCCAAGCTATTGTAAATACTCCCAGCTGAGGTTGGTCCGTAGTTAGGTAGGTTATAACGTTAAAAACATATGGGAAATGAAGAAGCCCCTTTCCCAGGTTGGCGGGAACTTTGCTGCCCTAAAAGCAGGCGCCCCTGGGCTGGCTGGCCCTTGCAGTCCGTGGGAAATAAAAATGCAGCTTCTCTTTTGTTCGGGCTTCACTGGGCTGACCCTCTGCAACGCAACTGATTGGAGAATACATACGAAGCTACTGCCAAGATAGGATCGAATCATCGAAGGAGAAAGGCTCAGCTCCCAGGTACTTTTTCGCTCTGTATGCCTGAACCTTGTTAGTGAAGTTGTATTGTAGTGTATCCGTAGTGAGCCGTGCAGGCTGCACAGATCGCGCTTTCTTGGCTGCCCCGCCGTCCATGAGCCCATCTTGAAGCGCGAGCCAATGCGAACGCGGGCCTGGATGGGCTAATGTGATACCCGCTCCGTGGCGGCAGGGTTCCTGATCAATACGAGAATCTGACGAGACTCTTGCATATCGGTAGCTTATGCCCATTCTACCTCCGTACAAAGGTAGGTAAGTAATGTCTTCTCGCCGACAGCATTGTCAGCATTCGCTGGCATTGTCTACACTCCAGCTATGAATACACGCAGCGGAGGTTTTACACGTGTCGTGCTTTATGCGGTCACCGCTGGCCCCTTTTCTCGAATCGCTAGCCTCCCCGGGCTATTGAAGATGGGCCATTTCTTTCTGGCTAGTGTTCGCGCTAAAATACTAAAATCAAGGCGATGGAGCTGATGATCCGATCTTTTTCTTTTCCTTCCCATATCGATGCCTTATCAAAGATTCCTCTTCAGGAACCAGGATTGCCTTACAGCAAACCCCAGTCGATCCGTCACTGCGGTAATTCCGTGCCAAAAGGGTCGAGCGCCTCGCCTAGCGTAACGGATAACTGGTTTGCCTTTGCCACGCTGATGGCGGCTATTGAAAGCAATCATTGTTCGAGAGAATCGAGACCTTTTGCGGAGGTACCTTATTGCCAGCTGAAATGACGGACATGGTTAGCGCCTTGGTCTGGCCATGCGTCTTTTTCACTTCAGCGTCGTGGATGTGGAAATTCGAGGCGCATATAAACCGCGAATGGCAATTCAAGATTGCCGGTATGCTTCGGTCTCGGTACATAACTTGGGATGGTCCATACCGTTTTCCCCGCGGGGAGCCGGACGAGGTCATGCAGCCATCTCCTTCGTAAAGAACGACCTATGTGCACGAGTACGGAGTAAACACTATACTTTGCTGTCAACGTCCTGCCGTCACCGATCGATGTCTCAGGCGGCTGATGGCCGTCATTGTTCTGGCCCGAAATCGACATCCTCCTCTAGGTCCATCCATGTGCTTGACACCCGTCACACCTCGAACTATTTTACACTAGGCTCCGTCGATGGTGGAGTAAGTGCTTCGCCGTCTGCATTGCCAGAGATTCTTCGGCATGCCACCCGACCTCGCCGACAGGTGTGCTTCCCGAGAGTCTTGTGTAAACTTTGTGTGCCTTGCAGGTTGAGGTTGATCGACACGATGGGATCGCAGATCAACGGCAACATCCTTGTAAGACTTGTCAGCCCTGAGACGAGGCATCAGAAGCTTCTCACTCATATATACTGTATGTACAGTACATACTCCGTACATTTGACATTTCTCTTCACATTGCAAAGATGATATTTTTCGTACAGCTTTCTCTGCATTTGATACTGTAAACCCACCGCAAGAGAAACAACAGGCGTCGTCGAACCTGCGCAATGGATCCATTCCTTTAACCAGGATCGCACTATCGAACAAAGACGCAGTAGCACCCTTACTATCTTGGGACTTTCCCCAGTTGTTGGGTTCGAAGCGCCGATCAAAAAAAAATCCGAGTATCGCCCGACTTCCCCATCTGTAACCTAAATCAACCCTCACCATACAATTCTGCATGCCGCCTGGCCGGCAACCACGTCGCTCGCTGCAGTGCGACGTCTCTATTGCCTTGGGTCGTGCCAGTACGAGGTTGGATCATCTGACTCGTACATACAGTTACTCTCTACTCTTACAGAGTATGCGACTAAAACCCAGGCAACAACAGGGAGGACCATCTTACCCACCATCATTCATCATCCAAACCTTTTCAGCCCATCCCGCATCAGACGAGATGCAAGTTTTGTCTTAGGGCTGGCAAGGCAGGGAGCTTGCATTCTCACCGCAGTGTAGCGGTTCGCATTGCTTTCCTTTTCGCTGGGCCTCATCGGCCCACTCCAAGCTGACTTGTTGACCGACTTTCGGTTGTTCAACCCAACCAAACCGGCAGTATTAAGAGAACAAGGTGTGTCAGCTGCGCGGGGTTGGGGATGATGGGACTCACCTTGGGTAGGTACGAACAAGGTGCTTCAAGATATTATGTAGTGCCTGGCCAATCTAGATCGTTACAGTTTTTCTCTTTCCGCGTCTGCAAATTTATATGCATACGCGTCATGGCTTTGTCCCTGTCCGGTTCCTCGAGGTTTACTCTATCCGATACTAGTAGCGTCTTCCATCCAAGGGCCGTGCAACGTAGCAGTAGCTGATTGTCAACGTTCAGATATCGGCCCTCTCAAGCCATGGGATATACACCCCTTCGAGTGCCTGGCTATTTAATTGTAAATGGAAACATTATCCCGATCAACCCGTTGTCTTGAGTCAAATCCCGGATTCGAGAGCGGCAGAAGCTCTCCGCCGATGTAAGGGGTGGTTCCGTGGTGCCTAGCCCCTATTTAATTCCATTCTCTCATAGGTAAACCCCCTAGTCTGAGGCCAGCTCAAGCCCGGATCATATACCTGTACCTCACCTAGCAGCTGCTGAGTTAGGTCTCATGGGAACGTCGAGGGCGTTTAAGGGGCGGGCAAAAGGGAGTGGTTAGCTTCATGCCAATGGATTGTGTTGTCTATCATCATCTGGCTGTCATCAAATTCGTCACAATACCCAGACCCAAACTCGAATCCAATCCCCCCGATATGCACCGAAAATCAACCCCTTAGAGTTGAGACGCCGTACCAAAGTGGTATCAAAAAGGAACACGATTTCAAAGAAAAGATCCAACCTTGAACCCAGAGCCCCCTTTGACTCTTTTCCCTTTTTACCTTACCTTATCCTCCTTCCCTTCCCACGTCTTACCTAGTAGTTGAAGAGGCACACGCCTACCCCTGCGGTTCAGAAATCAGAACCCTCCAAACAACGCTCTCAAACGCGGCACGCTCCAGGCTGGCGCCGTAGTGGGGGCACTTCACAACGCCGGCGAGCTCGCGCTTGAGGGCGTCGAGCGCTCCCGGCCGCCGCTCGTCTGGAAGCAGCGCGTCGGCGCCGAAGCGCGCCACCAGCTCGAACCACGCCTGCACAGGCGTGAGCTCGGCCCCGTCGGCGGGGTTGAGCGAGCACGCCAGGCCGTAGAGCGCGCGCAGCGTCAGCCCGGACGTGCGCCACGACCATCGTGATGACTCGGACGACGACATGGGGCTGTTGCTGTCGTCATTTGGGTTTCTACTACTGGTTCTGCCCGCGGTGATGGTGGTGTTGGCGGCGGTGGTATTAATGGACGGAGGAGAAAGAGAAGCAGATGAGGAAGCGGGTATCCGGGAGATCATGTTGGCTGCTGACCTGGGGAGCAGCCGAGTGCGCGAGGCGGCCTTGAAGATTCGCCGCGGTGCACTCCGCAGGGCCAGGCTGCTCGCCATCAGCGTGTGCCCGTTGGCCGAGTGCCCTATCAGAGGGGCGCTGGGGACCGGGGCGGGTTCGGTAGCTGTGGGAGTAGCGCTGTATAAGGATGGATGGAAATGGTCGCGGCATATGTGCTCAAGGCTGTTTGCGCTCTTGTTAGTTGTCTTCAGTTCGCTTTTTGGGCGCGTAACGAGGAAAATAGGCTCACGCAAGGATGAAGTTGATGGCTTGTTGGGTTTGGGATGGGGTTAGTTCGGGCAGGTATCGGTTGTCGGTTGGAGGAGAGGCCTCATCGGGGCCGAGCACGCTTTGCTGACGAGACACTGCGGTTGAGGACGGCGGGCTACTGATGTAGTAACATGGTGCGTTCATGACCTCGTCGAAACCCAGGGTGAGGGTGAGACCTTCAACCTCTTGCTGCAATCCGGCACTGGCCTCGCTACTGAGCTGCGGTGGATCGGGTGTCGTGTCCAGCAGCGACACCCCCTGATCCAAAGCTAGCTGCCAGTCTGTTCTCTTGGTGGTTTGCTGTATCTGTGCGCGCATGGCTTGATTTTCGGCCAGGAGGCCATGCGTATCACGCTGCGCAACGGCTATCATCTCGCGAAGGTGGGCGATGTCCATCTCAAGCTGCTTGACATAGTTCGCCTTGCGTTGCCGGTGTTGGGTTTGCGCTTTTCTTACTTGAGCCCGACGCAACTGTGCCTTATCCAGAGATGCCCCGGCGTCTGGCTTGTCATCCTGGTCGTCTCCTGCTTGGTTTGTGCCTTTAGTCTCGAGATACATCGAAGTGGTAGCAGCTTGGTATAGTTATTAGGAAATGAAATCAACGCGTGTAGATGTAGCAAGAGATGGAGGCCCCTATGATACTGTCGAACGATTGACCGTACATTCGTCACGGAAGATTGCATCTTTGAGAAGCAGCTCAAGACACGTTCTCGTCCAGTCCATCAAGGTATTCTTATCCGCGGATGAGAACCTTGAGGGTTTGAGCCTGAATCGCCCCCGCAACTCCAACTCTGGGTATACATTCTCTTCAGACACCTGACTCCGACGTGTAGCATGGTCTCCTATATATGCCATAGCAAAAGGCGAGCATCGGGACTTGAAGTTTGACCGAGGACAGGATCAACATAGCAAGCCGGAACTCACCTGCGTGACCCGTGTCCTCGTGAGGTCTGCCATCGACGAATCTGATCTCCCTGCCGCTGGATTTCTTCCAGAATGCCGTAAAAGAAGGTCGATCAAGATCCCGCGCGTTGTCACCCATACTGAGTAGACCTGATTCGCTTGCCTTTTGCACCACTTGCTCTGAGGTTAATGGAATCCTGGCCTGTGTTTCGCTAGGCAATCGATCTCACAACTCATTCGCAAAGATACCTTCTCCTGTAGCTATCGTTCCTCGTTTTCATCTCGTTTTATCCCGCTCTGGTTCGTCACCCAGTCCCTGAAGAAGAATTCTGTAGACGACCCGGGTTGAGTGAGTAGGCAGGCACGTACAGGTATGTATGCCAGTATTTGAGATGTAACGGAATTAGCCAGAAATGCCGAAGGTGAAAACCGAACGATTTCGAGCAAAGAAACCGAAGCAACCTGGAACGAAGGGAGGAAAAGAAAAGAAAGCAATAATCTCAGCCTTCCAGGTCGCAATGAAGCGCACCCTGGTGGCAAACAAGCCTATGGAAGGGGCGGTTGTCGCATCTGTAACACCTGCCACCCCTGTGCCACCGAGACAGTCAGTCAGCCCTGTCAATATCCGTACACCGGCAAGCGTGTGCTCGCAGGCCGAGGTCACAAGCTGACCAACGCCAGCCACACTTGACAAGATGAATCCAAACCGTGTACCACAGTCGCCAGAATGCCTCAAATCGTCCTAATATTCACGTCGCCTACAACTCCGATAACATGCGATGCCGTAATCTGGCACAAGAAAACATCTCGCGCCAATGCTATAAAACCCGCCAAAGCAGATCCTGATACCCTTTTGAGTGACCCAGCGCCAATCTCTTGTCTACCATTCCCAAGTCAGTCCATATCAATCATAGCCTTCCCCGTCATCTGTCGCCGTGTCCTCCTGAAAACTACGACCGTCGCCCATGCCGTCTGGGTCATCTCCCAGGTCGCTATCATCGTCATCTTCCTCTTCCTCATCCTCTTCGTCAACGTCAGCTTCCCTATCTAGCACCGCCATGGGCCGCCATGCTACGTAGTTATTCTGCAGGTCGAGCCACCGCTTGGCTACTGGTAGCTGGAAGGGGTCAAACGGAAAGCAGGCTTCTAGATGCGCCAGCTTTTCGTCGTCGCACTCAAGCCCCGTGTCACGCAAGGCGCCGCCTGCCGCGTAGCTCCCAGTGAAGAATTGCGATAGGTGGATGCTCTTGTTCTTTTCAATTTGGGGGTATCTATGTTCCATTAGTTGAGACTTTTGTGTGGGGAGGCGAGATCACTAACATGTAGATGAGCCGCAGATGGTGGGATAACCGCGCAAACTCCTCGACAATTATTGGCGAACAGCACTTGAGAGGCTGTCCCGGAGTCAGCTGCAATTCCCGTGTAGATCCCAAAGGTCGTAACTCACGTTGAGCTTGCTAGAGATATTCGCCTGGAGTCTTGACTTGAGTCCCGTCATCCACGGCAGATCCTGCCCAATGAACGACGCCGGGTCATCCCAATCAAGGCTGGGAGGTAACATATCTCTATCGATCAAGTCTCGCCAGCGGAAGCAGAAGATCTAGCAGGTGAGTTAGCTGGGCGGCACAAGGCCCGCTCGAAACCCACGGTCAAACTTACATAAAGTAAGCCTTGAAAGTACGCACTGAGCATAGTCAGCATTTACGGAAACCACAACGCAGCATTTCCGAACGAGCTTACTAGTACTGGCTATACCGCCTGACATCTGGGCCGCGACAACTGGTATGTGTGGCCCTGTAGTGATCGATGTAATCCAGGAAGGTCTTGGTGATCAATTGCACTTGGTCGCTCTGAACCCTGGCCCCACGTGCAGTGAAGCTTGCCTGATAAATGTGAGACAGGGGGATCAGCAGCAATTTTGGAGAGACGCACCAAATAAGCAACCGCAGCCTGCTTGACGACGGGAGGTCGATTCGACTCAAACGCGAGATTGAACAGGGTCCCAATAAACATCTCCATTAGCTGGTTGGATCTCATGGCGAATTTGAAGAGCAAATATTGTGTATGGCGGGATTTCAGATGCTGAAACGTACTCGGTCAGCATCGGCACCCAGCACCGATGAGGGCCAAACCAGCAGACATACCGGAAGAATGACATTGGAGAAGTCGCTCAGCAAGTCCTGAAACGCTTCAATTGCCTCGGGACTGTCGGGATCCTCAAATATTGGCGTGTAAATCGAGAACAGCAGATCCAGGATGGCATCCATTGTCTCCAACTTGCTCTTGACCATAAGAACGCGCTTAGCCTGCTCGCTCAACGCCTCGTCTTCGCTTAGGACGGACTCGGCGTCGCTCTCTTCGTCCTCGTCTTCGGTCTTAGCGTCCGAGGCTTCCAGCTGCCTTAAGACCGCCCTGGTGGTCTCGTCGTCATCGTTCTCCAGGTCAAGTGTCATTTCAACGTCCAGCTTAACGAGCCGAGAGAGAATCAGCTCCATGATATCCCGTTCAAGCTCGGGTCTCGAGGATTTGAGACGGAGGAGATGGTCTATGTACTCCATATGCGTGGCCTTGGACTCCTCAGAGTAAGGGAATTTGGATGACACCAAGTTGAGAATGATGTGTTGACCGGCTGGAAAAAGCTCAAGGAGATATTTCAGTCCTAGGTGCAGCCATTGCTTCTTGATTTCTGGCTCGACGGGCGGGAAACCGGGCACGCTCGAGGGGTGACGTGTTTGGGTGAATTTGTCCACCATCATGGTGAGCACCTGCGTAAAGAACGATCCTTGGACCGATGAAAGCGCAGCGAGAAGCTGGATATATGCCCTTGCGAAGTTCTCATCTCGTTCCAACCAGGCGCACCGGAGGATGCTCCTGAGCAGGCCTGAACAGGACCTTCCAAGCAAGGGGGCATAGCCCGTCAGTGCGACAACGTAGACAATCAAGTCCTGAGATTTTGAAAGCGCCTCATCATCGCCGGGAGATGGGCGGCTGGAGACAGGCGCAAAGATCTCCTTCAAGCCGTCGTAATCCTCGTCGTCCCCGGCGCTGTGTCGCTCTAATGCCTGCTTCACCTCGCGCTTCGCCTCTTCCAAGCTCTTGCTGCTGATTTCCTTTACCATGTTGAGATCCTCGTTGAAGACGACTGTCTTCTTTTGCCTTTTTGTTGGCGGCTCATCCTCGTCTGCTCCGTCAGACTCGTCGGCTCGAGATCGCGTGCCTAGGACGGAAGTAGGCTTTCGAAGAATCGGTTTGATGGGAGAAGAAGATATGATTGGCGCAGAGTAACTGCGCGAGATGGCCGAGGCTGTTGTCATGGTTGCTGGTCCTGTCACCAGAGCTGCACGGGAGAGACGGATTATCGCGGTCGCCGGCGGAATTGTGAGGACAAGGTCAAGAAGTGCAGGGAGTCCCTTGGCGCGGCGAGGTTAAGTGCGGCAGGCGGCCGAACATACTGTTTATTCAACTTCTTCAGCAAACACAAAGACAATGCGAGCCGCTCGTGGAGTTGATAACCTAGGCGAGACTCGCCACTAGGTCATTGAAGCAGATAGCCCGAGCTCTTCGATAAATGTTTCTGCCGCCGTGCCGCCTTATCGATGGAAAATTGTTGGCGATTTTTGAAAAGTGACATGTTTTCCCCGCCAATGGGCACGTGCTCGGTGGGGCCTACTGCCTCCTCTGGAAGGCGGTCAGACAACCGGTGCGAAACTGCGAACGCCACAACAAGGGACGATTAGTCAGCCAGCACACCTTGTGAAGGAACTCTCAACGCCTGTCCCACAGCTTCCAGGTTCCTAGCTTGTGAATTGGATACGTTTTGGTTCGTCACGAACGACAGAACTGATTTAGAGCTCGTGGGCAGTTACTTTCTCAACTTCAAATTTGGACATCCTTGGTCAAAACCCGTCTCATTATGGAAACCCGACAAAATAGCAGTACATAGTAACTGATGCTTCGTAGCGCCTCTGCGATCATCGCCTGATCCCGACAATTGACCTGATTGCAAATTTACTCGCTACCTCAGTACTCCAATATTCGGCTTGAGCCACTAATGCATATAATAGCAAACCTAGGGGTTGATGGGGCCTACCGCAATACTGGAGCAAGATATCGTACCCAGCCTACCGTCACCCGACTCCTCCTATCCATATCCCAAGCTTGCACTTTGTCCTAGAGAATCTCTATTCGTACCGTAGGGTATCTCTTCCCATACCGTAGCCCCACTCATTTTCGCTGACCGCCTTCCGCATTCGCTCACCGCCCACCCATACCGCCTACAGCTTACTGTCATGCCATCAACTTGAATTGAGCGCATTCAATTGAAGCCATTCTTCCACATACGCAACAGAGCTCAATTGAGCTGATTCTAGCCATTTGGCACCCTCTTTGCGAAATCGCATGCGTTTTTTCTGGCTGACTAAGCTACATGACTAAGCTGCGCCCTGCCCAGTGCCCTACTCAGCGCCCTGCCTGCGCCCTGACCTGCGTACTGCCCTGCCTGCGCCCTGCCTTCCTTCGCCGGCGACGACGTTGTTCGCGATGTTGTTGTCGGCGTTGTTGCCTTGGGAGGCTGCCCTGCTAGTGCCTCTGGTATACGCGCCCTCTGCCTCTGCTGTACGTCATCAATTGATTGGCGATAGCGATGTCGCTGTCGCTGTTGCTGTGGCTGTCGCTGGCGGTCGCTATCGGTGTCGCTGTTGCTATTGCTGTCGCTGTCGCTGGTCGCTACCGCTGTCACTGTCGCAGTCGCAGACGCTGGTCGCTACCGCTGGTAGTCGCTACCCCTGGTCGCTGTCGCTTAATGGAAGAATTGAAGGCTGAAGAATTGAAGAAATGTAGGTGGAAGAATTGAAGGTTGTATGGTGGGAAAGTGGTGATGGAAAAGTTGAAGTGGTGGCTGTACTGATGGAAAGGAAGGTGGTGGGCGATATGTGCGGCAGTATGGTGGGGCTACGGTATGGGAAGAAAAACCCTACGGTACGAATAGAGACTAGTAATGCTTGATGCTTCATATACTTTCTGCCAGACGGCATGGCAGCGGTATATGCAGAACGAGCTTTCTGTGCGTCTGCGCTCGTACTTATACACACGAGGAAAGTGAGAATAACACTCGGAAAATAGAAAAAAAAATACGGAAAACTAGTTTCCAGTAAAAACAACAAGGAAGAGAAATAGGACATGAACAACCGTCCGGTACCGTGGTGCTCGCGAAATGGCTGGAGTTGTCAGGAGGTAGCTAATACTCTTGTCCCGCGCCATTGTGCCCTGGCTGACTTCCGTAGATATTGTAGCCCTGGTTGTCACCACCTTCTTGCTGGCCTCCGAGGCCACCGCCAGGGAAGCCGGCTTGAGAGGGATTTGACCCGCTGGCGCCGCCATAGCCTTGACTATTGGGCCTGTTTTGCTGGTTCTCTCCCCGGTTCGACTGCGACTGCTGTCGGCGGGCGTCAGCACAACGTATTTAGGGAGCAGACACGGGAGGAAATATCGCTTGCCTCTCGGTATTTTGAAAGGTAGATCTTCAACGCCTCCGAATAATTCTCAAACCCGAGGGAGCTCATGGCGAATAGGATATCCTCTCCATTAACGGTTTTCCTCTTTTCTTGATGGCACTTCTCGGAAGCTGTGACCCGGTCAGATCATCCGAGCCAAGGATTGCAGGAAACTGGGTGCAAGACGTGCTTACCTTCGCTGGTGATGAACGAGATGAACTCGCTCACGCATTCCTGCATGCACTCCTTTGCCTCTTTTGCAATCTTGGCATTTTCAGGGAGCGCATTCTTCATGATACGGGCCACTGGCGCAAAGTTTCGAATGTTAGCATCGTATAAGTCGGCTTTGTCGGCTTTGGACGAGGAAGCGCGGCGCGCTTGGGATGACTTGAGCGGCGAATGGCTCGACATGGAGCGATTGGTATGCGCCGCTCTCTGATAGGCAGCGCAAAAGCGACACCAGTCAAAGGGGGTCTTGATGGCATGCAAGCGAAGCGCAACCTTCAACGAGAGATGCCCACAACAAGCGCCCGCGAATCATGGCCGAGCCGGAGTATGAAAGCCGCGAGGAGGGGGTGGGTGACGTACCATTGGCTATGGGCAACCACCGGTCTTGCTCTTTCACCTCGAACTCATAGGTGAGGGAGCTCGAGTGTGGGTCTGTGGGATCGTTCATTTGTGCTTCCTCGTCGGGTGACGGTGCACCTTGTTCGACATCTTTTGGATTGGATTGGGGAGAGTCGGACATGTTTGGCTACCTGCAGCGGCTGCTGGCTTCTTGTAAATTCCTTGGACTGCCAGCTCGCACAGCTCGATTAGAGTGGGTGATGTGTCGTTGGACACGTTGCAGGGTTAGAGGGCTTGCGGCCCTTCGTCTGGCGGCCTTGACCTGCAGGGAGCTGCGTCAACTCCGCGTGTCCCACGCTTGCTCGTACAAGATACCCTGCCAGACCTTCAGGCTGTGACAGGTGCCTTGGAAGGGGCTGGGTCGACGGTGGGGTGCAGGGAAGCTTGACAGCCGGCAGAGAGCCCCAGTCTGGGCAACGAGAGCCCGAATAGGAGCCTTGAAAGAACGTCGCGCGGGGTGGCGCAACTGGAAGTGGGATGAGATGCTGGTAGGCAGTGCGGGTCCAGCGGGGGAGTGGTCCTCTGACTGGGACTAGAGACAAGCACCCCGGAGTGTGTCGCTACCTTCCAGTATCGCCCTGTCACAAGCAGTATGTGTGCGTGCGGGCGGGTGCCAGGCGTGTCCGATCTGTCTCCCAACTGTGTTCCGTGCCGCCGGGTTCGAAGACCGCACGACGGCTCTCCTTGGCGACGCAAGCTGTATGTATGCTCTCGCGTCGGCGGTTACACCGACTGCGATGCGATGGCCGTGGTTGGCTACGTAAGTTCGGCACAGGACAGGACCGTTTCGAACGCCCAGGCAGGGATATTATTGTCTGTAACTGCCCACTGGGGAACTGTCTGCAGGAGTCGCGTCAGAGAAGCAGTAGTGCGCCCGGAGACGGGAAGCTCCTAGAATGCCTGAGTGACGAGACCGGAGCCCGGGAGGTGCTACGAGAGGCGCGACGCGGTGGACTGCGATGGCATGCACACCAAGGTCAGGGAGTGTGCTACGTACTTGGGAGTCACGGTACCTCCGTGACCGGTCGCATAAATTGGGGCTTGTCTCTCGTCTTTCTTGGACTTGTTGCTGGCTAGCCTGGTGCGGCGCCTCCTACTGGTGGTGTCTGAGTTGGCGGCTCTAGTCCTCGGCTTGTGTGTCTGGGATGCAACGAAGGCAGCGCGCGTGGGGTTGTTGGGGTGAAAGATCGAGTGTGGTGGAAAAGTGGAATGCAGCGGAAAAAGCGGGTCTTGGACCAAGCTTAGGTACCTGGCCGCCCCAGCGCCATGACAATTGAACAAGCTCCATCGCCAAGAATAGGCGGTTAATGTTGCCGTTATTATCGATACGTAACGTCAAGTTTGTGTGCTCGCAACCGCTGAGGCGCCAAAGGATGGACATCCACATTCGCTTTGAAGATCAAGGCTTATCTGCGCTTCCCCATCCTCATCTTCTCTCATATCTGATTATAGAAGTCCATCTTTTTGCGTCTAATCGACCTCCGGCTTGGCATTGTTGCCAAGTCGGTAGGTTGAAGCTACGAATACAGGGAGAGGACATACCGCCGATTTCCGGGCCACGACAGGCAATGGCATGACACACGCCCCGATCTGAAGTACCAGGAACTTGGTCTCTCCTCCTTCCGATACCGAAGTTGATCAGGCGCTGCGCCTAGTGTACGGAGTAGGAGCAAGTTGGGTGGAACCGCATGGCTCAGGTCTGCCCCCAAGCAACAACTAGAACGTTCCCGTCAAGAGCGGTGTAAGTGCAATCATGGAACCAGGGTTCGGTCAGCAAGATTCAACACATATCAGGATCGGGAGCGGGGCAATGTCCTTCCTATCTAGATCATGTCTAGACACATCCATCTGTGGGCATGGCGTGCTGCTTGTTTGTACGAGGAGTCGGCTCGATGTGATGATGCCCCTGACTCTGTCAGCCGAGATGCCAATGAACAGGGATGGTGGGTGAGCACTGTGGATGATTCGACAATTGCTGCTGAAGGGAAATATGCAGGTGGTGCAGGAAGGCTGAGGCGAGCCTAACGGGTCTTCGAGGCCGGGTTTTGGGCCGAAAGGCTGGGCTCGAGATTGCGGGGTTGTCACGACTGGTTGGTATTTCTCCGTTTGGCGGGCCGTTGATGATCACAAGAGCCCCCAAGGCAACGTTTGCTAGGGGGTTGAATGGTGCAGTTGATCTCTCCCAAGGGCCAATCATAGAATTTACTGCTCTTGAAAGAATCTCATTGGGAGAATTTCCGACTTTGAATTAACCATTGGGCCGGGACAGAAAGTCTGGGGTGGCAGGGGCCTGCCGAAGCGTTGAACTTCCAGCGGCACTATCAAGTTGCTAGCGTTGTGATTACACTACATACAATACAACACCTTCGGCCATGACGCTCTCGACAAACACCTGAGCAGGTCACTGCAACAGTTCCGAGTTAGTTTCTTGTTGTCTACCTCACACTAGTCCTGCAGCATGGAGAGTCCGAAAGCACCTTGAGCCCCACCAAAGGGAGCCAGGAATGCCAATCCCATCGCAGCCCAACCGTGTGCGAGGGAGCGCCAGTTGGGCACCACAGCACATCCTACGTACTAGACTGCAGGCCGCACAGCACGGTCTTGAACAACTCACCAGCACACCCTCGGGACAATAGAAGACACTTCAGCGCTCGAGCCGTGCCAGCAGATTGCTTTTGATTTTTGCACCCGGCAGTCATCCCTCCGTATGCTCAGGGAGTTCGGTCCATGTTGACCCCAAGGCGAGAGGAGCGCCAGCACGTACTCGAGGCGTGGGATGGCTGGGCTATCACGATGTCATCGCATGCGGCGTTTTCCTTGGAAATGCCATCTCCATCTCAAGACCTGCGGGGCCTGCTGATGACATGGCATGTGTGCGTTCATGGCTCGCGAAGCCCATGACCAATTCGTTTCATGACTGCACAACTTGGACATTGTTCTTCTTCTGTAGAATATGTTAGAAAATGAATGCCACGACTATGCAGTCTATGTAGAGGACGGTGTCTGCTTCACATACCTTCCACTTCTCAAGCTCGTCCTGTTTAGCCTTGTACTGCTTGACAAGATCATCAAGGACCTTCTTCAGACCGTCGGCATTTGTCCTGAGAGCAGGGACCACATCCTTGACAGTCCGCTCCACCAAGACTCCGTTGATCATGCGAAAGCATTTGCGATCCGCCGGGAGCGGTTCCAGGGTTTCAAGAACAAGTCTGTCTTAGCGATTAGACATGAGCGGTGAGGAAGAGGCATGAAGCGGTGTGATGAACGCCAAGATGACGCAACGTGATCGCATTGCGGATTGAGATGCCGGGCTAGGTTTGGAGAGAATGACCAAGGGAGACTCGGGCTCACTTGTGCTCTTCAGCCTCTTGCTCAACATCGCCAATTTTCTGCGCAAGCTGCTGCAGTGTGTTTTTGTAAGTGGTGTACTGCAGTTGAAGGTCTATAGCAACGTGATTAGCAGATGTTTCCTTGATGTAAGTACGAGCTTCCGACCTTGTTGTCTCTTTGCTGGTGCTGCCTGCGACGCCATGGCTGCTGTGTCAGTCATAGACAGCTTAGCCTCTGCAACCTGGAATCGACGTCGTTGGAGTGAGCATTTGACGAGTCTTGATGGACCAGTTCAATCAATCGAGACACGTATTGTGGGCCCTGCGTACAAGCGAATAATTCGATTTCAGCCAATGAGGATGGATCGAGTCGATCGACCCTCAGATTTGTCGGGCCGTCAAGCCTGAGTTTGTCGCCGACTCGCCGTGCCTACACCAACAACACCAACGAAAACGAACTACCACAATTATCGCGTATCTCGGGGCTGGCTGAGCACTCCTTCTACAATGCATCCCCTCCTACATACCAAGGACAACAGCGGTGCGTTGTTCTCCTCTCAGGCCAACATTGAGTCGCCTTCCCCGCCTAACATTACTATGAGCTTAGGTTGCGAGCAGGTGATGATCGCGCTGGAAGAATGCCACGCAAAGGGCTTCCTATGGAAGGCTGCCGGCATGTGCAATGATGCCAAGACGCAGCTCGTCGATTGCTTGCGATCGGAGCGGGTGAAGAATCAAAGCTTGAACCGAGACGGCGTCCAGGATAAGAAGGCGCGGATACGACAGAAGTGGAAGGAAATCGACGAGAATTCTTAGACTCCCCTAGCGGGTCTACTTGATCGACAGCTCGCCTGGTATCCATCTTCGATTCGCGGCAATCTCGCTTCTTCGAGGTCTGACCCGGACGATTGATCGCTGCAGGGGCCATTGGAGAACACAACACTGCAGTTAGAGGGTCGATGTTGGCGGGGCCGTTGTGCGATACTTGTTGCAGAAGCAGTCAATGTATAACATGGCTCCAAGGAACCAACATTTGCCCCGGATCATACACTATGACACCTATTTCCTAGCCTAGGACATTGCTTCGAACTCGTTCCCCAGCACCCATCCTTTACAGGGTGCGACGAAACGCATCCCCGAACGTAAACAGGCCGTACGCGGCGAACAAGGAGAGCATGATAGGGACCGGCTTCTGGAGTCTAATCGCCCGTGGGATCGCCGATCCGCCCAGGACAATGGACGCGAGAAGACTCAGTTCGATGCCGTAAGGCGCGTTGTTCGAAATGCGGTAACCTCCAAGGCCGTCTGGACAAAAACTTGTTAGTTCTAGAATGATTTTGATCCGAGCCAGCGGGCATTCCGGAACACACCGGTAATGCAACCGAGGAGAACTTACAGAGAAGACCGACAGCTGTGCCGGCGATGAGGCTGGGCTTGCTCCTCGTCCGCGCGTATCCGAGTGCTCCACCGCCGGCAGTGAGGGCCGCGAGAATGTACGATGGGAGTTCCAGGCCCTGCACCAAGGTTAGATACGGGTATCAAGAGTGCTTGCGGGATGTCTGACCATTTTGTCTATGATTGACTCCTCTGTGGATGGAAGGCAGATAAGGTCCGGTCCCTTGACTGTCTGCTCCGGAGCCTATGATGGAAGTCAATTGGTAATCCAGCATTCCAGCTTAGCCTGGCCTCGGCAGCTCCCGATGGGGTTGGATCCACATGGACCGCTCGGTGTGGGGATTGATGTGGGACTTGCCAAGCCATCTTAGGGAGCTATGGGAGGTACGATGGACTTCGTACTTCTCAGCAAGAGTCGACAAATCCCAGAAATCACATCTTCGGTATCAGCATTGCCAGGACGGGCGGATGCCTTTGTTAGTCCTCACACTGACTGGCGCGGTGCAATGCTGGATCGGTCTATGGATTGTGCACATCAGACAGATCCACGATTTCATCTTGCGGAACGGATGCCGGAGCGGATCCGCAGAGATTGTGCAGCTCGGTACTATCTTCAGGCGAAAATCCACATGAACAAACAATTCAATTTGATAGGTCCTGTGGCGTAATTGGAAGCGCGTCTGACTACGATCACCAGCTCCTAGCGACTGATCGAGTAATCAGGAGGTTCCAGGTTCGAGCCCTGGCAGGATCGTTTTTGATGGCAACTCGTCTGCCAACTCTTTTTCTCTATCTCATGTGGGACCCTCCCCTTTTTCGCTTTTCTCCCTGTGTGAAGGGTGAACAGGTTTCTGTGAGGGGACACCGCTGTGTTTTGGCACAGGGCAGCAGATCGCATCGCTTTATGGCCTTCTCTGAGAGACTGACGGCTCGAGCCTGAGAACGTCGAAGCCGCCGAGACATTAAAAGGACTTTTTGACAACCAGTTGCCACCTCAAGGCTGCCAGGCTTCCAGAAGGCCCAGAAGTTTGGCGGGTTGGGCAGGATATACCTTAGACATGCTGATCGATTAACGCCCTTCCACTGCATTCGTTCCGGGTGAAGTTGCCGGTCAGCGCCCCGTGGCTGTGCTGCTCCGATTTTGACCTTCGGCTCGATCTTGATGAAGCACCGCTGCTCGCTGGTTGGAGCAGCGAGTAATTGTGCAAGGGGATTGGATCGGAGATTGCCGTCGGTGCAATGATCTGCCCAGGAGTCAAAAGACTCCAGGGGTTCTCGCCTTACGGCCCTACAAGGCTACGCTATTTGCACCTACAAACTACAATACCTCGTGAACAGGTAGCCATGGCATGATGGGGGTCTCGCGAAAGATATAACTAGGAGTCACGAATAAGGTCTTGCCGAACTGGCGAGAATGGGACTGGGAACAACGAAGCAGATATTATTGCAGCAACATAAATGAGTGTGCCTTGCCCTTTTGAGGCCTACGGGGATGCGGCTTGACACCGTGCCACACCCTAAGGTAATTGAGGCGGTGAAATGCGCCCGTTGTTGGCAAGATGGATGGACGGAGCCTCAGCCGGACTCGACTGCAACTCTGACGCGGGGTCCTTGACTTGCCAATTCCGCCCACTGCTCTGCCCAGTCAGTGAACAATCAGCACAGCCCCAATACAATACAATACAATCGATACCCCTTACAGGCCTCGAAAGAACAAGCCCTGCATTTGCGAATCATCAAGCGACATGGCAACGCTTTGAGCGCCGGACTCTCAAAGTCTCGCTGCTCATAGACTCTGTTTCTCTTTCAGCCGTCAGGTCTGCCCGACCCACAGTTCGTTGTCGCATCCCGCAAAAAGCCATCCAGGTCGGCGGAATAGCCAGGCAGTCCGATTTTCGACTGGCTTCACTGGTCGCCGGTCAAGGTTTCCGGAGCTTGTGGTGGAACAGCTGGCGTTCTTCGCCTTGGCGACGTTGCGGCTTCGCTGTCATCAATTAATTACCGTGCGTCGTTGAGTACGACACGACTGAGATCCGGTCGTGATGGATGCGCTCAACAACGTCTTCTCATGACGGGAGTTAGCCAGTGACAGGGAATCTTGCAAACAACGCACCCACCTCACCTTACATACAGGTACATACTGCCGAGTGACTTGAGTCCAGCCTGCTGCCAGGCGCGCGGTCAATCAACCCCACGGGTTGCCTCACTGCGAGATTTCCCGACAATCGACTTGAGTGGATGGGATTCGCTCGCGATCTGAATGTATTTTCCGATTCCATTGTCTGCTTCCCAAGCGTGACTACATTGTTTCCGGGTCCCGAAGCTAAAATCATTAGTCAGTTGTCTCTTTGCTTCTCAAGTTCAAGGCTGCCTCTTGCCCCGCCGGCCACACATCCTCTGATTATTACTGGCGCTTATCTAGGCCAGGGGCAGCCGTTGGCACTGCGCCTCAACCTTCAGGGCAGTCAGTTGTGTGCTGCTGTTGCCTTGGTCATCAGCCGGTTCGCGCCTGTAATCACGATACGAAGGTACTGTACAATACAAGTGATACAGCACCACGCGATCCCATCGCTCTTCACTTCATTGCACCTCACACCCCAGCGGCAGCCATACCTCGACAAACTCGCCTGAATTATTTTTTTCTTTTCTGAAATTTGCGTTCTTTCTGCAGAACTGATTCAAAGCCGTCCCTTGTTTTCCCTGAATTGGGACGCATCCTTCTCAACCAAGTCGTGCCTCTCTCCCACCGCACCTCCCTTTCCGGCTCAACTATGACTCCAGCCTAGTCGATCCCCACGTAGATACATACGTGATCTTGAAGAAGTACAAGCACAGCCGCTTGCGCCCCGGAGACAATATAATACCCTGCGCCGGCCCGCTTGATTCCTTTTCTGCAAAAATGTCCACATACACCTTATACCCGCCGCCCGTCCCCGACACTGCCGCAGCCCGCCGGGACCGGGTTGAGCAACCCCGCGGCATCTCGACGCCGGAGGGCCAGCATCACATCTTGCCCTCCACCCCCGGCCACCTAGCCGCCTTCTCCCCCCAGCTCCAGAGCACCTTGGCCTCCCCTGCATTGAATACCAATACTCCCGCCGAGTCTGTCTCAACCCTCAGCGTCCAGTACCAGTCGAGCGAATTCAGTGAAGGCGACGACCCCTTTTTTGGCGTCGACTTTAGTGCCTTGGAGGGCGCGTCACCGTCCTTTCTCGAGGATGAGATATTTCCGCCTGGAAACACCGGACCCCTTGCCGACGAACTTGGAATTCGATTTATACCCACCACCACCCAGATTGTGCACCAGCCGGCCCGTTACCTCCCGCTAAGCCCCGACAAGAGCCCCTCGCTAGGGTCGCCCAAAGTGCAGAGCGTTGGAAGAACCGCAGGAGTAGCGCTTCCAGAGCTATCTCCGAGCTCTGTCGCCCCGGAGGATTTGTCGAAAGTTCCACGGCCATATCCTGCGCCGGAAAGCAAGCAGCCTAGCTTCCAGCTAACTCCAGGGACAAGTAATAGCGGGGACTCTAGTGACGACGGCATTGCTCCCACCGCCGCTATTATGCAGAGCCAAAGCCCTCGCGTCACGGTTTCCCATTGGGATAGGGACGATGTCGGATCATCTCATACTTTAGATGCAGAACAGCAGTTGCAACGCGGCGACCCGGCGCTCTTCATTACGCGCGACGAATCTGGCCGCTGGATCCCAGATCAGTCGACGGGGCAGAGTGGCCTGGATCCCTCCATCCGTCCTGCCGCGATAATGCCGAGCATAAACGAGCTGGCTAATGAGCGGAAGGTTGGGGTGCGGAATCAAGAGGTGAAGGTCTGGTTGGAGAAATCAGCAGTTGTGCCGCACTCCTCTCCACAGATCGTGGAACAGCCAGCAGACGTCCCGCGCGATGGAGACGACAACATTCCCCAAAAAGACATTCCTATGGGCAACGAAACTGAGAATAACCCTGTGCCTGGTCAGACATACTATGTGGAAACTGGGGGCGAACTAACCCGTGAAGACCTGGATCTTATGCGCCGAGCTCGCAACTGGGCTGACCCGCCAGTCCCCTTTCACATTTCCCAGCCTGACGCACCCTACCAACCGCAAACCTCCCAAGCTGCCATGGAGAGGTTCCAGCGAATGTGTCGGGATAACGACTCGGTTGTTTCTAGAGCCGCAACGTGGGGAACACGAAGGTTCAGTTTGCCAAGCAATGTTGATGCTGAAATTGAAGTCGCTGGCAATTTCCTGAAGAAGCTATCTCTAAGCCAGAGAAGCCCTAGGCGACCCAGTATCCTGGAAGGCCTGCGTGGTTTAGTCAGGAAACCGAGTGTAGGTACGACCAAACGACCACGTGCTGATCCCGACGATGCCAGCTCCTTCAACACGGAGTCTTCCACCGATCGAAAAGAGAATCCAGTCAAGCTCGCGCCCCCGAGTCCTACACCAGGATGGTCCAAGAAGCAGAGTGTCCCCAGCATCAACACGGCGTTCGTGGACGTGGGAAGCAAAGTAGCATCCATCGGTGTGACCCATGCTCGAAGCGGCTCCATCAGCGCGACTCCCATCACTTCACCCAGGAGTCCTCTCAATCTTAGTGTGAAGAACCCCCTGACTCGCCTAAGGAGCAAGTCGGAGAACACACAAACATCCAGTATCGCTGAGTTGTGGAAGAAGAGTGGCGGACCGCCGGTCTCCAACTTGGGGAAATCCAAGACGATCGCAGCGGAGGTCGATGATGAAGACGACGATGATGATGACGCCTTTGAAGATGCCGGAATGAGAGCCGAATCAGATAGGCTCATCGACGACATCACGCCCAATCCGGCAGGCTTCCGGGAGCATATCCTTACGCTCAACCCCGACCTGAAAACAACCAACAGTTATCTCGTCGACCGCATCGCTTATCATCAGTGTGTCCGATATAAAACCCTTCTCAATCACAGAGTTAAACATATGCAAGCCGTTTCCGCCAAAAACTGCTCTTGTGGGTCTATGTGTGTAGCGCTGGGGGGCAGCGCCAACATCATGGATTCGAAGGGTGACCCACGCGGTCAAGATCCCTTATCTGCCAAATTTGATGCCTCGGATGGAGATATCACACCGTTGGAAGGCGCCATCAACCAGGAGAGTTTTCCGCCAGACATTCCGATGCCGCCAACAGGTACACTGCCAGCAGAGTTCGAATGTCAGTTGTGCTTCACAGCGAAGAAGTTTCAGAAGCCGTCGGACTGGACGAAACACGTGCACGAGGATGTCCAGCCCTTCACCTGCACTTGGGAACGCTGCCGCGAACCCAAGATGTTCAAGAGGAAAGCAGACTGGGTCCGCCATGAAAACGAAGGCCACCGTCACCTTGAGTGGTGGATTTGCGATGTCGACGACTGCAGACATATCTGCTACCGGCGTGACAACTTCCTCCAGCATTTAGTGCGCGAACACAAATTCACAGAACCCAAGGTGAAGACCAAGGCCGCCATAAAACGCGCAGGTACCATCGATCCAACCTGGGCGAAGGTGGAACAGTGCCACCAAGTCACGAAGGAGCAGGCCCAGAACGAACCGTGTCGGTTCTGTGGCAAGACATTCCCGACGTGGAAGAAGCTAACGGTCCATCTGGCGAAACACATGGAGTCCATTAGCTTGCCCGTTCTCAGGCTGGTTGCGAAGAGGGACATTGATGAGTTCACCATCATCAGCCCTGTTCAAGACCCGCCTCCTCAACCTTTCCCGCCTGCCTTCCAAACCAAGCAAGAGCGTACTGCGTTCGATCCGCCTCCGGGTATGCCTCAGGGGCGATCAATTCGCCAGCCTGATCCCATGTCATATTCAACCCCTACGCAGCAAGCGCAGCCGATGATGTACCCGATCGCCCCTCCCGGATACGCCGGCGGCATGTACAACCCCGGCTATGATAGTCTTTCTTCGAGCATGGCCCATTCACCAATAGCTATGCAGCCCATGGGCCAACCCGTCGGCAACAGTTTCCAGAACCTCAGCACGCAGACGTACGCAAACATGCCGGGCACGTCTAGCCCGTACATAGCGGCGCAGGCGAGCAGCAGCTACATTTCACTGCCGCCCGATACCGAGCCGTTCCCGTCGTTCGATATGAACGCGCTGGGACTGCACGACCCCGGTCAGATGCCGTACGTTGGCAACTCCGGGGGAAGCGGCGCGGGCGCGGGGAGCATGGTGGATCCGCATGCGGCCGACATCTTCACGCCGCAAGGCTCCGTCTCACCCTACTCCCACTCTCCCCACCAGCCGCAAGGAAGGTTCTATCCCCAGTGAGATGTACTGGGGCGAACTATTGTGAACTTGTGCGGGCTTCAAGTGCTTGTCTGGTTTCATGTCCACCCGTCCTTGGCCTTATGGCTGTTGTTTTACTTGATACCCTGTCCTACTGTTCACCGCTGTGAAATCTGGTCCCGTTCGGGCATATACCCTGATCTTTTCTGGGATGGTTTGAGCCTTCTTTGGGTGTGTTCTTTGGCTATTGGGGTTGTGGTGTGATGTACGTGTGGCTCTGGGATTTGTTTCTTGTAAAGGGCGGTCTATTCACGGTTTGGTTCTGGGGCCGGTACTATATTGTCCTTCCGGGTTCTTGCTTTCTACTTTCCTTCACTTGGCGACGGCCTAAGCGGGTTGGAATGTGCTGGAGGTTATGAACTGACGGTACGAACGACGACAAGCAATGTACGTTTGGTAGGCTTTTACGGTGGGGCGGGATACGGAGGCTCTGCATTGAATAACAAGACTGAGTTGGCCTGAGGACTATCCCGGACCGCCTGGTTCCTCTGCTTGTGAAATCACGGGACAGTATATCCTCTAGACACACGAGAAAGCGCAAGAGTTTGGCGAGGTTTATATCGGATGGACCAAGGAGAAGACGGCGCAAGAGAAGGGACAGAGTCGAACTGGACATAGTCGGTTATAGTCCGTATTATCAACGGTATCAGGTTGCTGATGGGATCTTCAAGCTCGGTACCGGCTTCGAGGTGTGTTTGCATAAGGCATAGCACGGGATGGGCGATCTACTACTCCTCTTATTTATTGTCGACGGTTCTCAGGAGCAAGTCGGGTTCCTCCCTACGCGATCGTGCAAAGACGGGTCGAGGGGACAGAGCCAGATTTATATTATAGTTGATATTGTGGTATGATGCATACGTGATGATTCCTCCCCTGCCATCAACTACGCATATGTACACGTACAGTACACACGTCAACGTGTCAAGTGGTCTGTGTCCAGGGGTAGGGCTGCGAGGTGCATAACGTGATGCACTTGGTGCCTCGACTGCACAGTATGGTACTGTATATGACGATTGCCAGTTCGGCTAGCGCAGGGTGCAGCAGCTGATGGAATTCTTCACTCGGCTTCGGTTGCATGAGATGATGGGACGGACGTGGGCCAGATGTTTGTCGTTGACGAGACTGTTGACACTTGACCGGAGCCCGGACACCAGAAAAGTCAAAGACTAACATGTCTCCCTCATGGCTCAAGTAGGTAAGGTAGAGAAGACCATGAAGTGAATAACAATTTCCCGTTGGTTTAAAGGCACCCGACCTCATGGTACTTTTGTAGACGGTCTCGCTCATCCTATTATTCCCATCCAAGAATCGTGATGGAGTTTCAAGATGGTCAAAAACGCACCCTGAGTGGCGCCGTCGCTAAACAAAGTCGGAGGCCCGGCCGCCAATCGCTAATCGCACCCGCCAAAAGGGAGGCAGGGGTTGTCACTTCGGCGGTCCATTTGGCACTAACGTTTCAGACGACCACCGCCGGAAAGCCCAAAGCCCGTCCCTGAAAGACAATGTGGGGCCCGGCGTGCCAAGCGACAGTGTCAAACGTCAGCGAACTCCAGGGACTCGCACATTCCGCAACCTCGGTTCCTGACTTCCAGGTTCCGATTCTTGTTCCTCCCTCTCGTCCCGTCGTCGAGACGCCTCCGTGCTCCAAGCGACTGGAGATAAGTGGTCGCAGAGCGTGCGACACGCCCACCATCAAGATCAAGTGATTGGAATGGATTCGACTCAGATCTGTGTACAGCAATTAACTGGCATGCGTGGGCTATGCAAGAGTGAATCGGACACACCGATCGACGCCCGGGAAAGCCAAGGGCTCCCTCCCTCCGCCAGTTTCTGTGATGTATGTACGCATGTTTATGTACATACAGTACATACTCCATCTCCATCTCGGTTTCAGATACCCGCTGGGTCCCTTTTGCCATTCTCTCGGTTATCCCTTTTCCTTGCTTGCTCTCACCCCACTGTTCTTTTCTTTTCCCTCCCTTTGGTTGGGCTTTTCTGGCTTCGTTTTCTTCATGGTTGGGTCCATCTTCTCGCACTGGCTGGCGCCAACCTGACATTTTCATTCTTTAGAGTTGTGCTCATGCCTTAAGCCGGGTGTACCGTTGAACTTCTTCTTTTCTTCTCGAGGGCAGCTTGTTACCCTCTTCCTTTTACGCTCTTCTCTTCGTTCCAGGTTGATCCTCGGCTCTGTTGAACTTGGACGTTGACTGTCCTCCTTTACGATCTTTTGACTCATGTCTGCTTCTACACCGACTGGCTCCGTGGACACTTATCTTCTGCTCTGTCTTAAGACCAAATTCAAAGGCATCAAGACTACGAAAACTGGCATAGTTCTCGGAAAAGAAAAATAGGGAAAAGGTTCCCTGGGGAATATTGGCCGACGAAACAGATCCCGGACCTCGAACGGCATCGACAACCGATATCGAACTAGGTCTAATTTGAACGGGATGGGTGGTTTGAGGGACCGGCTCCTGAGGGCTTTGGCCGGAGCTGCTCTAGCGAACGGGGTGTTGGCCGTGGACGTCCTCGAGACGGTGGGCTTCAGCAACTGCAACACAAACACCGACATCTCGGTGCAGAAGGTGGATATCAAGTACAACAACGACAACAAGACTGTTACCTTTGATGTGGCAGGGAGGAGCGCCGCGGTACAAAACGTGACGGCCGTACTGAACGTCACGGCATATGGCCAAAACATCTATTCTAACAGTTTCGATCCCTGCAATGCGGCCACGTTCGTGGAGCAGCTTTGCCCTGGTACGTCTCCCTCAATGTCCTTCACATTGTGCAGTGACTGACTGTGCAATAGTTCCCGCTGGTGAGTTCTCGGCACGGGGATCACAAAGAATTCCCGACGAGTTCGCAACCCTGGTGCCCTCGATAGCGTTCCAGATCCCGGACATTGCGGCCATGGCTACTCTGCAGCTGCAATCCAAAGATTCAGGCGAAAAGCTGGCATGCATTCAGTCCGAAGTATCTAATGGCAAAACGGCGAACGTACCTGCCGTGTCGTACGTGGCCGCTGGTCTCGCCGGAGCTGCTCTGCTCCTTGGTGGCGTCTCAGCAGTCGGGGCAGCCTTTGCAGGGGGCAGTGCTGCCGCTGGCGGAAGCTCGGCGGCCGGCGGTATGGGCACGATAAGCCCGACCTTCACCGAGGTGTTCGGCTGGTTCCAGGGCATGGCGATGAATGGTATGCTGTCGGTCAACTACCCTCCCGTCTACCGAAATTTCGCCAAGAACTTTGCCTTCTCGACCGGCCTGATCCCATGGACGCAGCTCCAAACATCCATCGACAGTTTCCGCGCTGCCACTGGAGGCAATCTGACAGAGAACAGCGTCGAGTATGTGATGAACGCTACTCTCGTCTTTCCGGATGGGTCGACACACACGAATGGGCCTGCCTTGGTCAAGCGAGCATTCGACGAGTTCGTCCGTCTTGCTGCCAGGCAGATAGATACCAGTGTAAATGGAACCGCGAGCGACCCGGCTGCGTCATCGGATGATCCCATGTCAACCATACGCTTGAGTGTGAGCGGTATCCAGGCGTTCGCCGAGCAAGTGAGCATCCCTTCGAGCAATATCTTCATGACGGCGCTCTTGATCGTGGCCATCATTATTGCGGCCATTGTTGTCGGGGTTCTACTTGTCAAGGTCGTTCTCGAGTTCTGGGCTTTGTTCGGCAGCTTCCCAAAGTCACTGGCGGGCTTCCGCAAGCATTACTGGGGCTCCATTGCGCGCGCCGTCACTGGCCTGATCCTTCTTCTCTACGGCATTTGGGTGCTGTACTGCATTTTTCAATTCACCCATGGAGACTCGTGGGCAGCCAAAACGCTAGCCGGCGTCACGCTGGCTATCTTCACGGGCATCTTGACCTTTTTCTCGTTCAAGATCTGGAGCACGGCTCGCAGGCTTAAGAAGCTCGAGGGCGACATCGGCGCCCTGTACGAGGACAAGAGCATTTGGGTTAGGTACAGTCTGTTTTACGAGTCGTACCGGCGCGACTACTGGTGGATCTTTCTACCGACCATCGTCTACATGTTTGCCAAAGGCTGTGTCCTCGCAGTTGCTGACGGCCATGGGATGGCGCAGACAGCGGCGCAACTGATCATTGAAGGCCTCATGCTCATCCTCCTCTTGTGGAGCCGCCCATACGAGCGCCGCTCAGGCAACATCATCAACATCGCCATCCAGACGGTGCGGGTGTTGTCAGTGGTTTGCATCTTGGTGTTCGTAGAGCAGTTCGGCATTGCCCAGACAACGCAGACGGTGACGGGCGTCGTGCTGATTGCAGTGCAGTCAGCGCTCACAGGAATCTTGGCCATCCTGATTGCCTGGAATGCCATCATCGTATGCTGCAAGGAAAACCCGCACCGCAAGCGCCGAAAGGAGATGGGTAAGTGCTCCCCGATGGCCTGTGACCATGCCGATATGCTAATAGCCATAACAGAAAAGATGCAACGTGACACGCTCACTTCCCTCGGCGCGCGCAACTCACTGTTGTTCGACCGCCCGAAGACGGGTTCGGATGTATCCGACTCCCTTTCCCTCTCCAAGACGGGCTTCGCCATCGAGACCAAGGAAGTTCCTCGCTCGGACGCTCCAGCACGGTACTCGGATACGGGCCTAAACCCCATGTTCGCGTCCCGTGCTCCGGGCGGCGGCTCTTCACGGCCGCTCACACCCAATTCGCCCTTGCCAGGGCCCAATGCGAGCCGCGAGAACCTGGTGCTCGGGGCGGCGCCGCTCGGCGGTGGTGACACGCGTCAGCCAACACTACCGAATGTAGGAGGCGGCTTCTCTGCCGGCTACAATGGGCAGAACCCGCGTGGCTACCCGAACACGTTTTTGCAACCCGGGTATGGGCCAGGCGGAGGATACACTGGCGGCGGCGGCGGTTATGGTTACCGTGGACCATATGGTGGCTACTAACAGCGTAGTGTATACATATTGTACACCATCTTTACTGTGATTTACTGCATAGCGTCATACACATAGGCAATCGAGCATCAGCACAAGAGGAATGTAAATACCTATAATAAGAGGTACAAAACAAAGTCTTATCAGCAGATCTTCAATTGTAGGACTGAGTCCAGCCATAGGAACCCGCACTGTTCCCGCATCTTGCTTGGTGTGATTTTGTGCCCCGCTTCCACTGCCAGTGAGGGGCGTCACAGTGCGCCTTCCCATGAACGCTATGGGAAGCCGAACAACCACCAACGACAGGACGGCGGTGACCTCACCTCGGCTCAGTCAGGGAAAGCGACTGCAAACTAAGGTACCAATCCAGAGCAAATACCGGTCTCATTACTTGGCAGGCTGGGTCCAACTGGCTGATTCATTTGCTGGTAGCGTAACTTGACTGTTATACGGTGATCTTGCACAGGACATATCTCGATGTGCTCTTGTGTTGGTTAAACCTATCACCAGGACACCGGTTCCAAAACCCTTTCACAGTCTCAACGGCATATCAGAGTTTGTCGAATCCAGGCCAGCGAGACAACAAAAGCAGTGATGGACACAAGCTTCCTCTAACCCACATGCTTGATATCTCTCCAGCGCCATCATCGCAGACCATGAGCGAGCTTCAAAGGAAGTGGGCCAAGGCAAGACTCAACTCCTCCGCCGCGCACGCCATGGCGCCGCCACCAGTACTGCCCGGGTTCGATGAACTCGAGGAGGACGGCTTCAGCTCGGCCTCTGTGCCCAACACCCCGCAAGACGACGACTCGTCGTCCGCCTCGTCATTATCGTCCACTGGCACTGTGATTCCCTCGCCCGGCCGCGCGCTGTTTGCTCGGCCGCAGGGGTAATTGCCATCCCCCCCATTTTACACCTTTCGAACCGCAATTATACTAAAAAGAGAGGTTGACAGCTTCCCAGGCGGCCGCTCGCTCGATCCGATCCCCTGGACGACCTACTTTGAGCGCGAGCTGTTTCTCCCGTCAGACGACGGCACCGTGACCTACCACGCTTACCTAACATCACCGGCGCCGCCGGCCGGGCCGGGCAAGACCGGCGGGCCGCTCTTCGTGACCCACCACGGCGCCGGCTCCTCGGGCCTCTCGTTTGCCGTCCTCAGCTCAGAAATCCGAAAGCGCCTCCCCACGGCAGGCATCCTCTCGCTCGACGCCCGCGGGCACGGGCTCACAGTTACCAGCAGCTCCTCCAACTCGGAGGGTAACGCCCACACACGGCAAACGTCGCAAGGAGAAACCGAAGACCTCACCCTGTCCCGCCTCTCCGCCGACCTCCTCGCCGTAATGAACCTCACAAAACGGGCCATGCACTGGCCCGCGCTTCCACCCATCATTCTGGTAGGCCACTCACTCGGCGGCGCCGTGGTGACCGAGCTGGCCGCTTCGTTGCCCTTACCCTCCACCGCATCATCATCATCATCAACACCCCTCAACAACAACAACAACAACCCCCCTCCAACCGACAGCAGCAGCAGCGACATAGACCTGCTCGGCTACGCGGTTCTGGACGTGGTCGAGGGCTCCGCCATGGACGCGCTGCAGAGCATGCAGGCGTACCTGGCGACGAGGCCCAGCGGGTTCGACTCGCTGCGCGACGCCGTCGAGTGGCACGTGCGGTCGCGGACGGTGCGCAACGCCGTCAGCGCGCGCGCCAGCGTTCCGGGACTGTTGGTCAAACATGGGGTTGGCGGTAGCAATAATACTGATACGGATCCTGCTAATAGTAGTAATAACAATGATACTAGTAAGGAGGAGGTTGTAAGTGGCAGTGGTAGGGGTGGTCGTGCGGGTGGGAGCGGGAGGAGAGCCGCCGCGAGAGCGTGGAGGTGGAGGACAGACCTGGCCGCGACGCAGCCGTTTTGGGAGGGCTGGTTTGTCGGCCTGAGCAAGAAGTTTCTGAGCGGAAGAGGGGGCAAGCTGTTACTGCTCGCCGGGACGGACCGGCTGGATACCGAGTTGACCATCGGGCAGATGCAGGGTGAGTTGTTCTTCCACCCTTTGAGCTGCGGAGATGTTAAGCTGACTGACTTGCTGTGGGCTGCTAGGTAAATATGCCCTGCAAGTGTTTCCCGAGGCGGGGCATTTCATACATGAGGACCTACCGGAGAAGACGGCGGTGGCCCTGGTGGACTTTTATCGCCGCAATGACCGGAGCGCTCTCGTGTTGCCGCCAAAGGTGTCGGACTTGCTGGCGCAGGGGAAGAAGGTGTGAGCCTATCCATATACTAGGCTTGTGCTCATTTTCTGATTGCGTGTTGCCCGAGACGGGCAGTGCGTGGGTTGTACCAGTTATTTGCTGTGATACCATATATATTGAGTCCAATGGCAATGCCATGCTGGTGACTAGTTGCCCGTCCGCCGCTGTCTGACCGTTCTATCACGTTCCTGCTTCTGCTTTCCCCCAGGATATCGTTGCCAAGCCAGAGCCCCTGAAAATGCTATCCACCCTGTAGCGCCGTGCCTAACCCAACCACTCTTTATGCCATGCATGACGGAAAAAGGAATTCAGTCAAGTAAGATCTACACGGCCACGGGGGCAGCAGCCACCGCCGCTGTCGCGGGAACCTGCTGAGCCACCTCATCGTCCCTCTTCCTCTCCGCGCGGACTTGCTCATCCGCCCCATCCTCCCTCTTTCTCTTCTTCGACTCCTGCTTATTCTGTGCCTTAACCTGGGGTTTCGGTCCCTTGGCCTTCTTCTGCTGCTTAACCTCAAACTCGCCAATTTTCTGCAAACGGTCCGTATCCTTTGCCCTCTGCTTCATCCCTCCATCGTACCCCAGCGCCTCCACGATTTGAGTGTACGACCGGCACTTCATCAGCTCCCGGTAGACGGGCGCCTTCCCCGGCACCATCTGTGCCAGCAGGTACTTTGTATTATTGAACTTGTTCTCCACCTCCATGGCGAACCTTACGTACTTCTCAGCCACCTCCTCCCAACGCGCCAACCCCCCATCCTTGGCGCTCCGGAAACAGCTCGGATTCTTCTCCGCCGCGGTGGCAATCATGGCGCCGTCGACGCCGAACTCCTTGACCAGCTCCTCCGCCTGGTCTCTCGACTCGACGTCCCCGTTCATGAGGCAGGCGACGCCGGCCTCGCGGCACACGTCCGCGATCATGCGCAGCTGGCCGCGGATGGCGCGCTCGCGCGGGCGCATGGGCGTGGTGCGGCAGTGCACCGTGAGGCCCGTGATGCCCGTGGCGCACAGGCGGCGCACGAGGGCTTCGGTCTCGGCGGCCGTCTCGAGCAGGCGGATCTTGACGCTGACGCCGATGCCGAACTCGGGCACAATGTCGCGCACCAGCGCCTCCAGGATCCCCGCCAGCTTGTCGGGCGTCCGCAGCAGCGCCGCCCCCATCCCGCCCAGCACGCTGAACGGCTTCGGGCACCCCGCGTTCACGTCGATCCCCGCCACGTCCCCCGCCACCACGCGCGCGGCTGTCACCGCCCGAGCCGGGTCTGAGGTGCCCAGCTGGAAGATCAGTTTCTCCCTGGCTAGCTTTGGATCGAGTCGGTAGATTACGTTTCCGTCTGCTGCTTCGGAGGAGGCGTCGTCGTCGGGCGATGAGGAGGGTGGGGGGAGGTGCGCTTGCGCGTGCGGAGTTGGGATTCGGGTGTACTCGACTAGCTTGGTGCGAGGGTTGATGCGCCGGATAGCGCCGACAAGAGAGTGGTCGACTGTTTCTGGGCCTATATGGCTTGGTTAGTTTCAAGAACTTTTCAAACGATGAGGAAAGGGGGAAAGAAAGGGGACACGCACCCCATACCAAGTCGGCACCGTAGTGCAGCGCCAAAAGGCGTGACGGCAGCTCGCCCGAGCGCACCATGGGTGCCAGAACCACCTTGCTGCGGTAGTCGACGCCGCGGGGAGGGATCGGGACTCGCCGGGGCGCCGCGGCCGCCACAGCATCTTGGGAGCTTGCCATGATGGTGTGTATCCCCCGTATCAGGCGGGGGAACCGAGACATGAACTGTTGACGAGCGCAGGCTGGGAGTTGATGCGATGGTCTATGTATTAAATCGGGATCGAGATGTACCGCAGGTTCGGACGGAGATGAATCCGAGATACCAAAAAATATTACCAGTCAAGTTCCTTGTTGAACCAGCTCAAATTCGAGGCCAAACCCGCTGGACGAGTAACCCGCCTTCTGGCGGCAACGTCGCGATACCACTTGCCGGTATTGCGAAACTAGGTGCTTCTCTGAGTGGAGAGTTTACCAAAATCTTCTAAGCAATGATGTTAATAAGCTGCTTTGAGGTTTGCATCTGGCGTCCACCCAATCGAAGTCTCCAGCGACGCCAGGCTCACTGTACTGTTTAGATGCATGGAGAGCCTCGTTTGAGACATGCCATTCTTTCCGTTATGCACGTAGTGAGAGCATGGCCCAAGCCCCGAAGATCGGCATTCCACAGTTGAATTCGAGTCTTGAACAACCCCAACCCTTAACCCACCTTTATCTCTTACAAATCTATCTTCATCCTCGACCCTCACATGTGGTGGCCGTTTTCAACCCGTATATAAAGGTAGACAAAAATCAGAAATTACCTAGGATCCAAGCTCTTCCTTCTAGCCGATTAGTGGTCGAGCGGGATTACAAGGTCTAAGGTCTACTCTAATATGCAGAGATGTCTATTCGTGTTGCTGAACAACACCGACTGTTTGATACCAGGGCGGCAACATCTACTACCTTTCGCACATGGGCACGTCGCCGTTCGTTATCTCGCTGATGAAGGCAGGATAGGGATCGAATAACATAACGTGAAAATGCTCAACCGATTTCACCGACTTGAGCGCGGCCCAGTTCTTGAACCACACGACCTAGGGTTGTATGTCAGTGCCACGGGCTGCAAAACCTAAGGTGATATTGCAAAAACCAACATGTTCCTGGGGCATCTTGGAGAAGGTCTTGCGGACATAGGCATCGATCTCGGCGCGCGCCTTGTCGGTCAAATCGCCCGTCTCCGGGTCTTCCTCGAGCGCAAACTTGGTCCAGACTACGAGATGGACGATGCGCTTGTCAATGCCATACGGCCAGTCGTTGCGCAGAATTTTGACGTCCTCGTCGTGCTCGAACGGCCGGCCCTTGGGCACGATGGGGAGCGACCAACCGAGCCTGTGCTTCAGAATAAAATTCATGACGCTACCATGCTCCTGCTTGAGCTTCCACGTGAACGCCATGTAGCGGCGAAGCTCGGACGGGACTCTCTGGAATAGCTCGAGTCGGTTCTGCGCTACCTTCTGCCGCACCACCTCCCAGCTGTCGGCCTGGAACTCGCTGTCTGGTGTGCTGATGATGCCGAGATCCTTCTCGTTGAGATTCCGGAGGAAGTCGGGGCACTCGGCGGTCCTCAGATGCTCGGGAACGTTGACCTGCCAGTACGGCAGCTCCTCCGCGGTACTACCCATGCCGGTTGTTGCGACTGGGGATGCGCAAGATGGGATGTCGTGCTAACGCACTGATCTATCGTTTTGGTGGTCCGAAGTTGAGTCTGCAGGTCCACGGTTCCTGACTCAGGGACTGTGTTGCGTGATAGCCAGCCCAATGAACTCGCCGGTCGTCAATTATCAGGATAGAGCCAGCAAGCCAGGTTTTTAAAGATGAGGAGAGGCAACTAAAAGGCAACTGATCAACTCGAAGGGCGTGTCGAGGAATACGATGCAGTACATACACGAAGAGGCCTACAGAGCCTATCGACCGAGAGTAGTCTAGACTGGCCATACCAATTCTTTGGCGCGGGGCGAAGCAAGTGATAACCTAGCCAGAAAATGCGTCAGCTTCCTGGTTGTTCTCAACCGCAACGACACAGCAATGAGCCGTTCGAGTTAACGTTACGATACTAGCAATCCGTTTGCCGGCATCCACCGTAGGTAAGGTAGGTACAGTAGTAGGCATTCATGCTGCAATCTAGACCCTTCTTTGACACCTGGTTACAGCACCAAACTCAAAGATCCATGGCACATACTTAGCGCATCTATGCATAGAGCTTACGCCCGGTAACTGTACAGTACCAGATAAGTACGGAGTAGCTGATGAATTATCTCATGTATTGTGTCCGCAGTTCGTCCGCAGAACTGAACTTGTACAGTATTGTATATCCGTATCCGTAGCTGCTTGTCATGTTACATATTCCTCCGTGCGTGAGAGCTCGTCATATACCTTCCACTTACTTCGTACCTAGCTAATGCTTGCCAAAAGTCCCCTTCCAATCGATTCAGGGGGTGATACTCCGTACTTTGTATGGAGTACCTCTAATTGTGTATGGAGTAACGGATTCGGGATTTCCAAGAATCTTGGGTAACGTTGCCCGTAACGTTAACTAACCAGGTACTTTTACTGTCCAATCTGATCTTGCAATAGCATCCTGCAGTCTACACTACAAATGCCGCTTCTGTTTCACCGCCGAATATGATGGAAACCGTCTCGGAAACCAACCTTCTCGCACTTGTCGAGGAGAGACAAAACAGCTTGTCTGCAGGGCCCACGTGGGGCACTGAGCTGGCGGTCCGGGATCGCGGCTGGGAACGCGGCTGGGGATCCATCACTGGCGGTGATGCTCACAGAAGTTGGGAATCTTTCGTGGAGGCACTCAATCAAAGCAAGGTGGAGCTCGGCAAGAAGGAAGAAGATCCGAAAGCATGTATGGACGGGCATACAGTACATCACACCCAGTTGCGAGATTTTCTCTTGCCCCTTTACGAGGAAATACAACATTTTCGTTGATGGGCCTTGCTTCGGTTGTACTATCAAATATTACAACCCACCTCCAGCTTGTCTGTCTCCGTCAAATGTTTGATTTCCTGCTAACGATGGATAGTTTCGGCGAATTACTGACCGAATTTGAGCTTTTGCTGCACTAGCGGTTTTCATTGCCTTATCTCGCGGATGTGGCGCTTCAATTGAACGGGCTCCCCTAACGCAGTTCCCTGGCGAATTATTGAAGCGCCTCAACTCCCATAAGAGCCCGCTTCAAATTTCCCGGTTGATGGCCAGTGGATCGCGGGTGATGACGGCGAGCCCATCATCTGTTTTTAGCTCCCGTTGGGCTGAGCGCATTAGCTTCTCGATCTCATCTCACGCCAACAGGGGTTCGCCCGAGTTCCAGGAAAACACAACCTGAGATTGAGAAGACCCAAGTGTGGCACCCTGTTAATAGTCGCTGTATCCTACGGCGTCTTCTGGGCGTTGCCTGGTTCAGAAAGGGGAAGGCTTGGGTTGGGAGCATGGACGATGGGACCAACCTCCTGTCAAGATCTTGTTCAAAAAGAAGAACAGATGAAGCCTGTTTCGGGAAAGTTAACTATCGGAAAATCCAAAACCAATGCCCTGACCCCTCTCCAACCTCGCCGTCTATTCCGCGGGGGGAGTTTAAGCCGCAAAGTTATCGTCGGTTGAGCCTGCCTACATCGGGAACATATCTGAGATGACGGGATGATCCGGACCTGGGGGCAGGAGTCCTGTCTGGATAACGTAGGTCACTCTGCAACTTACAAAACGGGCCGCAGTTCACTTCAACTTGCCTGCAAATACATCCCTTACCTCAGTACTTCGTACCTACATCTCTTTTCGCAGTGCCGTAGCAATGGATCTTGGTTTCTGGTTTGTTGCCCTGTGCCGCGGGTACCCAAACCCAGCTTGCAATGCGACGCCACATCCAAAGCCGATCCTTGTCTGGCGGGAGCGGCTGCGTGGGTACCTGATGCGCTAACAAGATTCCAATTGAAGCTCCGGCGATTGATGGGGGCACTGATAAAAAGCATCCTGGCCCTGGGGCAGCAAGGTTACGAGCTGCCGACCGCTTGTCCTCATTCTCACCGTCCTTTCCCTCCTTCACTTATATCCACCTCTCCCGGCCAGTCTCGCACTCTGTGCTCTGTGCTCCCTAGCTGCAGCTCTCCTCCTGCTCGCTCTCTCCTGGCGTGCTACACTCCACGGCATAACGGTAAGCATCACAATCTTTGATTGCCAAGCTGTCTGGAGCTCCCCTTCGACCCCTCCATCCATAGCCCCGCACCTAGACAGCTTTTTGCCCGATGTGATTGCTGCGTTTGCAGTTCCACTGCAGCTTAACTGCTTAAGGGCTGGTCCTGGTTGATCCTGTTTCTACCCCGATGCTCGCCGGAGCAACCTTCATTACGTCAATCGGCTAATTTGTTGTGTCGAGAAAAGCAGTTGCACCTCCCGAACGCCTGGAAGTCTTGCCCGCATCCCCATCGTCATCTGCGCACACCTGGCTTCGCGAACAGGACGCCCCATCCTCAGACGCTTCCTCCCGCAAAATCCGTGCTTAGGCTCGATTTCGAGTATTGTTACTCATTTCGAAAACATAGTCTACACAACGTTTGGCGAAAATGGCAGCACAGGCGATTAAGAGCGCTCTTCCCTCGCACCTCAAGCCGTCCAACGCCGGCAACAACGGCGACGAGGCCGAGTTTGCCAAGAGGCATCATGGCAAGACGAGGTCGCATATGGTGAGTCTCGTGCGTTCCAGCTCCAATGTCCAGGGACCATTTTCTTGAGAACCGTTGTTATGGCCCGCTTCTGGACCTGGACCTGCCTCAAACTGCCAACGGAGGAATGGAGAAGAAGGGGGGCTGAGCTGGCACTGGCACTGCTTGTGGCACCCGCCCAAGTGGCTGGGCAATCTGCATTGCATGCTTGTCACGAGGTCACTGAAAAATCGATACTATAACATCGCCATACCCCCTTGGTTTGTTATGGTGGGATTTTCCAAAACATCGTGGTGAACCAACAACGACAAGATTCAACAAGCCCCTCCTGGGGTTATCTCAGAAACTGGAAATTGTGGCGGACGGCACGGAGCTTGACAGGGCTACATGTTCATTCAGACGAACTCCCTCGGTTGAACCTCGATATCCACTCGCCGACCACGGCATCATGATGGAGGCGACCGTTTCTGATGTTGATTTTCCACTATCCAAACGTTTGGGAACAATGACGTCAGGCTAACCGAGCACTCGGTCCAGGCCTTTGAGAACACATCGACCAACATTGCGGCCGCTCAGATGCGCAATGCCCTGACGAACCTGGCCGAGACAGTCAAGGACCCAGAGCAGAAAAAGGCAAGTTGGGCTCTGAATCGCCAACCGGGCCACCTTTGAGGTCTAACGTGCCGAGCAGCTGTTCGAGACCGAGATGGACAACTTCTTCTCCCTCTTCCGCCGGTATCTGAACGACAAGGCCAAGGGCAATGAAGTGTAAGTGCTGTCATTGCACTGACTGGCCTGGCGCAGAGCTGACCAAGACGCGCTACAGTTCGTGGGACCGTATCGCGCCTCCCGCTGAGGGTCAAGTAGTCGACTACGAGTCCCTCGCAAACTCCGAGTCGGTCAGCTTTCTCAACAAGCTGGCCGTGCTCAAGCTGAACGGCGGTCTCGGCACTTCGATGGGCTGTGTCGGACCCAAGTCCGTCATCGAAGTCCGCGATGGCATGTCGTTCCTCGACATGTCTGTCCGCCAAGTTGAGCACCTGAACCGCACCTACGGCTCCAATGTCCCCATCGTCCTCATGAACTCATTCAACACAGACGAGGACACTGCTGCCATCATCAAGAAGTACGAGGGCCACAACGTGGATATCCTCACCTTCAACCAATCCCGCTACCCCAGGATCTACAAGGATTCGCTCCTCCCGGTGCCCAAGTCCTTCGACTCACCGGTGCACGACTGGTACCCGCCTGGACACGGCGATGTTTTCGAGTCCCTGTACAACTCGGGCATTTTGGATAAGCTCCTCGCCCGCGGCATTGAGATCATCTTCTTGTCCAATGCCGACAACCTCGGAGCTGTCGTTGACCTCCGCATTCTGCAGCACATGGTTGAGAGCGGGGCCGAGTACATCATGGAGCTGACCAACAAGACCAAGGCCGACGTTAAGGGCGGTACTATCATCGACTACGAGGGTAGCGTGCGCCTGCTTGAAATTGCCCAGGTTCCCAAGGAGCACGTCAACGAGTTCAAGTCAATCAAGAAGTTCAAGTACTTCAACACCAACAACATCTGGATGAACCTCAATGCTATCAAGCGCGTCGTCGAGAACGACGAGCTCGAGATGGAGATCATCCCTAACGGCAAGACCATTCCGGGCGACAAGAAGGGCGAGTCGGATATCAGCATCCTGCAGCTCGAGACGGCTGTGGGAGCCGCCATCAAGCACTTCAAGAACGCCCACGGCGTCAATGTTCCCCGCCGCCGCTTCCTGCCTGTCAAGACTTGCTCTGACCTCATGCTTGTCAAGTCCGACTTGTACACGGTCAAGCATGGCCAGCTCCAGATGAGCGCCAACCGCTTCGGCGATGCGCCTCTGATCAAGCTGGGATCAGACTTCAAGAAGGTTTCGGACTTCCAGAAGCGCATCCCCAGCATCCCCAAGATCATCGAACTCGATCACCTAACCATCACGGGCGCTGTCAACCTTGGCCGCGGCGTTACCCTCAAGGGCACCGTCATCATCGTTGCGACAGAAGGCCAGACCATCGACATTCCACCGGGATCCATCCTGGAGAACGTGGTTGTTCAGGGTAGCTTGCGCTTGCTGGAGCATTAACGTGTTTCTTCCATGCGCATGGGGAATCGGGATTGTTTCTCATAATCTGCTGTCGACTGCGTTGTCTTGTACTGCCTTCTATATCTCGACTGCCTTTGCATATACTTCAAAGGGAAAGGCCGGGGAGGATTTACTAATACAGACGATGGAAGTCTAGTGCAGGTGATGCGACCCATGAACTCGAGGGTGCGCAGACGTCGAGCAGGGAAAACCCTTGAGTTCCGGAGTGGGTGAACAATAGAAAGGAGGCTCCCTAATACATGCCTACCAGTCATAGAAACGTTCCGTAGTGGTAGCCTGTCCCGGTGCGGGACGAGCGTTCCTGGTGTAGTCTTACAAACATAGCGTTGTGTTAGCCGCTCGCTCACGATCCCCTTCCTCAATTCGCCGGTCTGGTAGTAGCCCGCCTTCAACTGTAGACCCCTAGCTTGTGTTCCTGTAGTTGACAGTGTATCTTTCGGCCAATCCAGACATCGAGGACTATTTAATCGGTTCCATGCGGCCTTGACGGCAAGCATTCATTCCTGGTACTCGGAGATGGCTCCAAAAGACAGGTCTGCAGTGTCGCCGAATTGCGTTCAGGGCACGTTACATGCAAGATTCAGTAACCCTCATTTACAGAACAATTCGTCAGTTTCGTGTCAATAGATGTTTCCTACAGCCTAACCCGACCAACCCTCAACTCCAACTAGAAAGCCCCATAACTGAACCAGATCAGAAAGGTCCAAAGACCTCCATAATGCGCTACATGACCATTCCCCTATTCCGGGCCACATGATACATGCTATTCAGGATGTCAACAATCGCCCAACAACTTAGGGCGCCCCAGCCGCAGAACAGCTGAATCCCTTTAGATACACACACCGACACCACCTAATATGCCCCTTGCTTCGCCTCCAAGCGTTGACCCGCCTCAATCTTCTTTTCCCTAAACACTCTTCAATCAACCAGCCCCAGAGGAAGGACCGGACCCGGATCCCGAAGCAGAATCACCACCACCACCCGAGCCGGATTCTTTCGAATTCGAGTTTGAACTCGAACCAGACCCGGACCCGGCGGCGCCAACCTTCTTCTGCTGCTGCTGGCCCCCTCCCTGGCCTCCCTGCCCGAGCCCCAGGCTGCGGCTGCAGTCGGGGCAGTACCAGGTGCCGTTGGGCTCGCTCTTGAGCCCGACGCAGCCCCAGTGGAACCACTCGTAGGGACAGTCGTCATTGTCACAGGCAACCATATTGCCGAAGGAGACATTCTGACATAAGCAATACTTGCGGTCGTCCCCCGCCTCCTCGTCCTCGTCCACCTCCATGGCGTCGCTGTTGTTGTGGTGGGCGGCCGGGCCGTTGCCGGCGCCGGTGTTTGTGTTGCCGCCGGTGGCGGAGGAGGCGCTTAGAGGGTGGTGGTTGTTGCTACCGTCTTGATCGCCGTTCCTGCTGGTCTCGACGCCGCCTAATCGGCGGTGCGGCGGGCCGCTGCCAGCATTGGTACCGTTACCGCCTGCGGCCCCTTGGTGCGGGGTTGAGGAGGGCGAGTGGTGGTTACTGCCTTCTCGGGCCGAGCCAGCGCCGGCGCCGTTGAAGCTGGCCTGGTTGGATGCAGATCGAGATATTGTGGCCGGTGTGCGGCGTCCGCCGGTGCGCGCGTCGCTGTCCTCGTCGCTACCCGTCTCGGCCTCAGAGAGCTCGCTATCCACGGTCGACGAGGGCGAGTTCTTCGCGGCGCGCTTCACGCGCGACAGGCCTGACTTGTGAGCTCCGTTCCCGGACGTGCCCTTCTTGCGGCCTGCCGTGCTCGACGGTGTACCAGCCTTGCGGCCAGCCCCTGAACCCGCGGCTTTGAATGTCGCGCGGGGCCCCGCGCTGCCTGCACGCTGTGAGCCGGTAGCTGTCTGGTGGCCTTTTGGAGTACCCGGTCCGAGTGAGGAATGCCGTGCTAGACCGCTTGACGTTGCCGGGAGATTCCCTAAGCCGCCGTTCGAGCGGGGACCACGCTTGGTTGCACCCCCGCTAGGACCCGCCGAGCTCTCCCGCGCCTGACGGCCCATGATCATGCTAGCCGCTGGGGTGGCGGGGGCGGATGCCGAGCCATGTTGTTGTGCCTGCGCGTTCCGAATCTGGGCATTGGTGACACGCACCTGTGAGCCGCCGTTCGTGATGGAGTTGAATGCAGAGGCGGCTGGATTGCTGGAATTCGCACTGCGGAGGCCGTTCTGGCCGTTCGTCGTGTTGGCGGCACTCGGGCGGAGGAGGGAGGGGAGCTCGTCAGGGTCGGTGAAACCGGGCTCGCCGCGGTCGTAAAGTATCTTGATCTGCATGTCGAGTTGACGGATATGCTTGTCTATGGTCTGCTGCAGCTTTTGGGTGAGGGCAATCTTCTCGTTGGACAGCTGTTCTGCCTGAGCATAATTCTTTCTGATGGTCGCCCGATACTCCTCCTCTTTGGGATTCGGATGGTGGCTGCCGTGTGCCTTGATCCATTTCTGGATGCGACCGTCACGGTCCTCGATCTCCCTGACCAGCTTGTCATACTGGCGGTCCTTGTCGGCAATTTCGTCCTGCAGGAAGCGGAGCTCCTCGGGGAGGTTCTGCGTCCTGCTGATCCACTCGTCGAGGATCAATGCCGGGTCGAGTGATTCGACAGGCGGCATCTTCCTGACAAAATCGATGGACAGATCGTCTCTAGGCATGGTTGTTAACCGGACCGCGCCGCGCGTTTTGCCCCGCGTCGCACCAAAGTCAACAACTTGAAGCTCTGCAACAACGAAGCGCGCTCACGAGCCTAGAGGACCCGGAAACGGCGAGAAAACTAGAGATTAGAGGGAACACTGGTGCTATACAGGCCCAGTTCTGATACGCATGAGAGAGAACGCGCCCTTTCTCAGACTGAAAAATGGGCGTAGAGAGCGCAGATAATGTGTCGCAGAACGAAGCGAGAAGCGAACTAACGTTGGGGCCGAATACCTAACGCAATTCCGACCCGGTTCCGTCCTCTCACAGAAACCGTCCTTCCGGGAAACGCTGATCAGGAGAGAATTCCGCGGGCTCACCTTCAGAAAAGGTGGTATTTTTCACGTGCAGATATCTGCAGCGAAAAAAAACAAAAACATCCGCAAACAGGTCGCCCCTGCCCCTGTCGCCCCAGGGAGCTGGCGCGAAACCTGCGTCTAGTCAGATCGAACTGGAAGGCGAGGTAGGGAATCGTGTGGGGAGCAGGCAAGAGCGAGGTTGACCCAAGCGAACATTGACAGTCCACACTCCACAGTGGAGGATGCAGAGTTGGCATTCGATTTGATCGGTTCACGTGTGGTTGAGTACTAGTGTATGTACAATGCAATACAGTACACTGTAAATATGAATTTAACCACGTTACCATACACCTACGAAGTACGGATGTACTGTGAGAGCAGGTGATAACGTTGTGTGACACATTCGCCCGAGGATGATACCATTGTTACAATACCTTACAAACCGTAATGTAAAGTTTCCAGTGTACGCGTACTATACTGTAAGGAACTTCAAGGCATGCAGGCAGGAAACTGCGCTAATCTAGATCAAGGCTACTGTGTAGCGTCAACATGTCCAAGATCTCGGAAGGCAGGGGTGGTTGCCGTAACCTGCGATTGGCGGAAGGCTTCAACTCAAGATGCTACTCTCGGGGACTTAAGAAACGTCGAGATGTGTGAACCGACCTGACTGTTCATAACAGAGAATACCATATTTTCATTCAATAACTTATAGATACGCCAACTTCTGGTCAAACTCAGTCAAGGTCAGTTTAACTTAGCCCAAAGCAGTTCCGGCAACCGAGTTTGCGCGAAGCATTCTACCATACTTGTGTGTCGCAATCGTGGCAAAGCCACCGAGCACCACATCCCAGGACAATCAGCATTCAGTTTTCTGCCGCAGCTTTGGGTCGCATCACGATAACTTCATCAGTCGACGCTTGTCTAATAACCGGCAGGCCTCATACGGCGCGGCGCGCCATGGATGCCGTCGCTTATCAATACAGGCCGCCGAAGCCAAACTACCTCCCCCACTTGGCGAACGATGTCGATGAGCCTATCGTGGAGGAGTACAACATCCCGATGGGCAAGGCCGATGACCGGGAAAATGCCATCTTCTTCAACAAGATGAAGTTTGCGGCCCAGGAGTACGGCATCGTCCGGCCCAAGGGCTACACAGTCTCGTTCCACGCCGCGCCCGAGATGGAGAAGCATCACTTCGGCCAGACCCATCCCATGAAACCATGGCGTCTGACGCTGACAAAAAGCCTCGTCACATCTTATGGCATGCCTTTTGCCATGGATAACTATCTATCGCGCGCGGCCACATACGAGGAGCTCAATGCTTTCCATTCCAACGAGTACCTCGATTACCTGGCAACCGCCGAGCCCGAAGACCAGCCTCGGGATATAGACAACCCGGACAAGGAAGTTAAGTTCAACCTTGGCGGGAGTGACTGCCCACTCTTCTACGGACTCTACAACTACTGCTCCATGTCAGCGGGCTGTTCGCTAGATGCGGCACGCAAGATCTGCAACAATCAGGCCGACATCGCCGTCGCCTGGGGCGGTGGCTTGCATCACGCCAAAAAGTCAGAGGCCTCAGGCTTCTGCTACATTAACGACATTGTCCTCGCCATTCTACAGCTTTTGCGAATTTACCCGCGGGTGCTATACATCGACATCGACGTGCACCACGGTGATGGGGTTGAGGAGGCCTTCTTCTCGACTGACAGGGTCATGACTGTCTCCTTCCACAAGTACCAGCCCGAGGTGTTCTTTCCCGGCACAGGTAGCCTGGACGACAACGGGCCCAAAAGCGAGCACAACCCAGGCGCGCACCACGCCATCAATGTGCCCCTTAACGACGGCATCACTGACGAGCAGTACGAAGCCCTCTTCAAGAACATCATTGGCGCCATCAACGAGCGATACCGTCCCTCGGCCATAGCTCTCCAATGCGGCGCCGACTCGCTGGCGGGCGATCGGCTCGGTCGCTTCAATTTACGGGTACAGGGCCACGGGGCCTGCGTGAAGTACTGCAAGAGTCTCGGCCTGCCCATGATCCTCTTTGGCGGCGGCGGCTACACGCCGCGCAACGTGGCGCGCGCGTGGGCGTACGAGACGTCCATCGCAATCGGCGCGGACACGCGTATCCCCGAAACCATACCGGAGCATGCGCCCTGGCGTGAACACTTTATTCACGACACGCTATTCCCGACGCTCGAGCAGAGCATGAATGAGCCGCGCCACAACCGCAATTCGGACAAGCGGCTGCGCGAGATTGTCGCCCATGTGCACGAGCAGCTGCGCTTTGTCGAGCATGCGCCAAGCGTCCAAAGCCAGATCATCCCGCCCAACCTTGGCCCCATCAGAGATGAGGTCGAGGAGCGGCTGAAGGAAGAGAATGAGGAGAGGACTGAGGACAAGAGCGACGGGATGAGAAAGATTAGGGAAGAAGGGATAGGAGAAGCTATGGAGTTCTAAGGCCGATTTCTGTCATGTCTGGAATTCTGGATACGGCCTATGATATGACCTTGGATGTATACAAGTACCTAGTGAGCCCAACTCTAGGATGCGTTGTGTCGCAGGTCCCATCATCAATCCAAATCGATGCTAGACTCGCAGTGAATGGCAAATCGTAAGACCTCTCGTCCTCGTTTGAAATTCATATAGAATGTCGAGAATGTGTATTGTATGTACTCCGTAGCCGCATGTCGGGAGTTGGGACAGGCCAAATAAACTACGAGACAAGGCTATGCTTGGCATGGACCGACAATCGGGGTTCATTGGATGGCCACTCAACACAAATAGCAACACTGCATGTCAGGTGGACTTCCCCTATACATACACGCTAGTGTAGCAGTTGATTGCATCATCACAAAAATTGTAAACCCCCCTTCAGCTCCCAAACCCCATCTCAAATGAAGTTGGAGCTGACGACAGGAAAGAATAGCCCTAGTACATCTATACTTTGTCTCAATGGAGACGCAATGCACGGAAGGTGGTGACCAGAATTGAGAACCATGGAAGTGAGGGGGCAACCACATCCGCATCGTCAAGTGACGAGAAGAGAAACAGTTTGAGAGCAATGCAACAACCCCGCTTGGAGGCAATGTCCGCCCCGGAACAGCATGCTTCCCCAATGGCCTTTTTCTCTTCCAACCTGCTCAGAATATTGAGACGTCCTACCAGTTGAACAATTCTTTCTTTCCAGCCGCCTATTGCTGCTGCCTTCAAGGTTCCCGAGCAAAAGCGTGGTGAGCTGCTTGAATATCTTGGAACCTCCCTCGAGGTCCCACCAAACACACACCTTGGCCTTGATTTCACCCCTGCATAACCCACTGGTCCAACACATACAGACACAAACCATAAAACACTACAACCCGGGCGATTCTCAAGCCCCCAATTCAACCATATCTCTTGAAATTCTCGTCCAAGTAGGAGGGACGCGTCATGTCACTACACCGCGTCTCGTCGATCGAGACGTTCACTACCCTCCCCGCAGAGCAGCGGCTGAGAAGATACTCGGATGCCTCAACCCGCGCCCGGAAGTTGACCTTCAACCCCCTGCCGCAGGAATGGGATCCTCAGGCCACTCCTGAGCAGCCACAGGCTGTTGGCGCCTTTGAGGTGCCCAAGTGGAAACGACTGCGTAGGTTGTCCCTGTAACACCATCCGCCAAAGTCTCATCACAGTGCAGTTTTAACAGTCTCTGCTCGACAAAACAATAGTCCAAGTCGGTCTCGCCGTGGTATACTGTTTCTTTGCGGCGGGTATTGTCTTTGGGTACGCGGCTATCAAGCCGGTCTTGAAAGCAGAAGGAGCTTATCGAAATGTGTGCTCTACTCCGGATGACCTGCCCTCCAGCGAGGACACTTGCGTTGAGATGCATCTTAACATGATGTTCACGGTGGCTGCCGTGGCTACCAACGTCGCCGCCTTGCCGGTGGGAGCAATCCTTGATCACTACGGCCCCAGAGTCTGCGGCTTGCTAGCCAGTGTTTTCCTTACGGCGGGCGCTCTCTTGATGGCGTTCGAAGCCCGGGTGCCATTCGATGGGTTGATGCTCGGATATCTCTGCCTCGCATTGGGCGGCCCCTTTACGTATATAGGCTCCTTCCAGCTGTCGAATGCGTTCCCCCGCAACTCGGGCTTCATCCTAGCGCTATTAACGGGCGCTTTCGACGCGTCGAGTGCTTTGTTCCTGGGTTACCGTCTCATCTACCAAAAAACTGAGGGCGCACTTGGCCATCGGCGCTTCTTTCTCGGTTATTTGATCGTGCCGGCTGTCATAGCACTCGCGCAGCTAACCCTGATGCCGGCGCAATCATACAAGACGATGGGCGAGCTGGTCAAGGAGATGGAAGAAGAAGAGTCCGTCGCAGATGCTGGGCCATTCGACCAGGTAGACGAGGAGACGGCCTTGCTCCAAGAGGAGCAAAGACAGCACAGAGCCGACGTGATTGAGGGCATCCAGAACGTGCTCGGGTCTGCCGAGCCCGACCAAGAAACACGGCGCGAAGAGCGCCGGAACGACATCTCGGGTGTCTGGGGAGTCATGCATCCATACTCTGCCTGGGAGCAGATCAAGTCGCCCTGGTTTATTCTCATCTGCCTCTTCACTGGTACAGTCTCCCTTATCCTGACCCTTTTCCTTCTCTCGGAAAAGCAGAACAAGACGCTGACCCTCACTTGAAAATTAACACCAAAACAGTTGTCCAAATGACTCGCATAAACTATTTTGTCGCTACCATCCGCCCGCAATACGAAGCCCTGCTCGAATCACACCAACTCGCGGTCCAGCTCAACAATTTCTTTGACGTTGCCCTTCCGCTAGGGGGGATACTTTCGATACCCTTCATCGGCACCATCCTGGACCGCACCAGCACGCTCACAGTGCTCACTATCCTCGTGTCGTGCGCCACTGCCATCGGGCTGCTGGGCATCATCCCCCACGCGCTCTGGGCTGGGTACGCCAATGTCTGCCTGTTTGTCATCTACCGCCCGTTTTACTACACGGCTGTGTCCGACTATGCCGCCAAGGTGTTTGGGTTCCGCACCTTTGGCACCGTGTACGGAACTGTCATCTGTCTGTCCGGCGTGTTGAGCTTCTCCCAGGCTGCGCTGGATTACCTGTTTGAGGAGGTCTTTGCCGGCAATCCGGTGCCCGTGAATGTGCTCCTCTTGGGACTGGGGCTGGGGGTTGGAGTTGGATTGGTGGTGTTTGTGGGAGTGAAGGTGGGTTGGGGAAGGAGGAGGAAGATGTGGGATGGGGACGCGAGGGTGGAGAGGTAACACGAGTGATAGGATGTTTATTGTTTGGATTGAACGATGACGAGAGCATTGATACAGCACATAAGCATGGTAAAAGTAGGTCATGGAAAGGAAACAGACTAAGCAAGGACTTCAAGTTGTACCTAAGTGTTGAGCAAGAACTTATACAGTCCCCCCCTTGTTTGTTCGTTAGCGCCTGACTTCAAGACTGGGGGCAGCCCTAAGATGTCAATCTCAACACCAAAACGGCCGATTTTCTATGAAAAAAAGAGGCTCTAAAGAGAATAGTCTTCTTGAGTAATGCTAGATACTCTTTTTTCTTGCATTGAATCAATTGCTCTGGCTGATGAGAGGCATTTCTCTGATTTCTGGACAATGACCCCTGTCGAGAGTCCCGCGCTAACAAACAAACAAGGGTTGAACTGTAGCTTGGAGATCAGGTTTTGATTATCTGAGTTGTTTCCAGTGCATTCCTCCCCTGGCCACACCTGGCTTGAACTTATTATCTCTTGAGTATGCCCTCCATTCCTTCTTCACTTCTTTTCTCAATGCCCGTCGCCCATGCCGATATGGAACCCTGTCCCCCGATATGTACCTAGTACGGCAATTGCATACACACGGTTCTCCAAAAATAGGCAGGGGAAGGACTCCGAAGGAGATCCGACGGTTGGGCCCGCACCCGCATGGGATGGAAGGGTGGTCAGAGCTCCCATGCTTTCCGCTTGCCCCGCAGCGCTCGCCCCGCCATCAGATGGATTTGCAGTGGCAGCTCAACTGCACCTACTGACTGACTGACATGCACATGTGGTTGCTCTTGCTCTTTAAGTGCAAACTGTCAACACAACCCTTGCAGGAGCTATGCAAGTCAGTGGCTGTAGGTATATGTACAACCCTTGTTATTTGCTCCCCCTTTTCTCATTCCTCATCTCGAAAAGCCCCGTCGACGCGTCAACGCCGCATGTGCTCGGCTGCTGTCCGACAGGCCATGATCCCAACAATGATGGAGGACGGGAACGCCCAGACAGGCAAATTTCAGTGCAAATGCCCAATGCCAGGGGGCCGAACCGCCTGCTACAGTTATGACGGCGCTTCCTAAGCTCTCTTACTGGCCCGAATTCATTCCAAGCCCTGCTAAGCGCCCAGCTTGCGAAGCCAATCACGGACGTGCCCAAGGTACCGTTGCATGCCGCCACTAAAATGCCCCTCCCGCTGACCCTGCTAGGTGAACTAACAACCCCTGTTCGATCGCGCCGCGGCCTGCGTATCTGGCCGCATATTGCCTTGCCTGACGTCCTACCTCTCCTCCAAAATTCTGAAACTGGATGCTCTGGATCTTGCTGCTGTGTGAAGCTCTCGTCGAGAATCAGATCTCTTCTCCTTCTCCAAAGGAACTATACTCGTTTTTCTGCACTCGGCGCCCAGCGCTACTTGCGGTGTCGCCGCCTCAGACGCTACCTCTGTACCCCTCTTCCCCGCTTGGATTACCGGGGCACGTTCCCGCTCGCGGTTGGCAGCTTGGGCTTCGAAACCCCGCCGCCCGAGAGCAAGTTATCAGCTAGCAACTGTTCGAAACTCGCCCCTGACTAGTACACGTTCAACCGGGCGAACATGGCTTCTGGATCACGCGACGTTCCCGAAGACGAGCTCTTCATGAGTCGCCCAGCACCCGAAGAATGCGACAGCCCAACAGTTGAGCCTTTGAGAATATTCAAGCCACAGAGCCCCTCGGGCGATAAGGCTTCGAACCGGCCCAAGTACCCACCCCCGTCGTCTTCGTCGTCCTCAACCTCTAAGCCGGCCATCGCATCTCTTCCGCCGCTACCCTCTTTCCCCTTTCCCCCTTCGACCTCTGCTGCTCCGTTACCCTACCCCGATGACAACACCCGCAAGACTGCACAGCCTCCCAAGTCCAGCCGCCTGCCCTATCCAGATGATGAGCGCAAGTCTCCGCCGGCGGGTAGAGTCTACAGTCCGCCGCCAGCTTCCTCAAGCTCCCAGGGGTATGGCGATTCATCGGCGCGCCCAACCCTAAGCACCGGAGACAAGAAAGCCGGCCTTGCCGAGAGGCGCGGAACCGCGCCGAAACCCCTTCAGAGCCCGACTAGCCCTGCCGAAGACAAGGACGAGTTGTTCGCGAAGCCCCTGAGAAACCCTGCAGGCGCCACCACCAAGATCTCGAATGCGTATCAGCAAAAGCCCTATTATCCCCCGCCCCCTGTTGCATCAAATCAAGCGTCGACCATCAATCGCTTCTCGTCCACAGCCTCCAACTCGACAACGCGGGCCAACCGAGGATCTCCACCACCACCGGAGACACCTATCGCCGAGCCGGGTGCCATACCCGGAGGTGGCATTGAAGCACGATACGCGGCCGCCGGCATCTCGGGGACTGCGACTCTCAACAGCCTCCAAACTCCAAGCGCCGCAGCGCAGTCCCGGTTGGCGCAGTATGGTGGCCAGCAGCAAGCTCCAGCCCAACAGGCACGGCCGTGGACACCCACCGAGAGTCCGGGCCAGCAGCCGTACGGGCCCCCGACCGTGTATCAGGGTGCTGATGTGGTGTCGAATCCCACACCGCCCCAGCAAAATCCTTTTACTCTTCCGCAAAATCCCAATCCGGCCACACAGGTGCCGGCAGGGGCCAACCTGCAAGTGAGCGTCCTGGAACAGGACTTTCAACGCATGCAAGCCTCGACTCCTCCGCCTGCCTACACGAGCGTAAACCCGAACGCGCCTTCTCAATATCCGAACGAGAAACAGCGGCCAACGCAACCGAGCTCTAGCGCCGCGAACGTTGCCCCAAGTGTGACCTCGGCTGCGGCTGTCTCGACTGCTCGGCCAAATGCAGCCCTTACAGGCCCTGCTGCAGCTGGCTCTCCCCCTCAACAAACGCAGAAACCTGCCGCCGCCGCTACTCCCGCCGCCGCAGCTGCGACGATTTCTGCACACAATGCTGGCCATCCTGCTTTCGCCAACGAAAACAAGCCGGCGACAGCGCAAAACGGGCAGCCCCTGACGCACACCCCCTCGCTCCTCGCTGCTGCCCAGTCGCCGCCTCCACTCCCTGAAGGCTGGATTGCCCATCTCGACCAGAACTCGGGTCAGTATTACTACATCCACCTGGCAACCCAGGCTACACAGTGGGAATTTCCCAAGGGGCCCAACCCCTTGAACCACGAGCCCGCCCCCCTGTCGCCCACGGCGTCGACGTATGGCAACCCCCTTGGATCGCCCCTTCTTGCTGGCGGAAAAGCTGGCCTCGCCTCACCCATGTTTCACCCACAAGGCCACCCAGGCTATGCTGAGAGCATTCTGAGCGTCACCCACTCCGTGGCTCCCTCGACAGCGGGTTTCACCGGTCCCCCTCCTACCGCAGGCGTTGAAATGTACAAGGTCATGCCAACCAACGGCGTGTACTTTGGCCCTTATCTGCGCTATGTGAATATGGATTTGGAAAAGGGCGTTTGGCTGGGCAGCATCATGATTGTTACCGACGCGCCGCAGCCCCCGACCATCCATATCCACTTGAGCGTGGATCTGTCGCCAAATCCACGCCAGCTTATACCGCACAACATCTATACGCACCAGAGATGGGTCTTTTACAAGTACGACGTGGACCTTCAAATGTCTGATCATGGCACGGAACGGTGGACGTATGCCGTGACATCGCACCTTGGCTGCACCCGGTACGAGTTTGTCGTCGCGGGACGCTACGAAACTGGCTGGCGCATGATTGCGCACTCCGGCAATGACTTTGCGCCGTCGACCAACCAGAACGAGAGGGCCAAGCTCGGAGGCGTTGGGTTTATGTGGAAGGATATCCTGCAGAAAAACGTCGAGTGCGGTGGATTCCATGTTCAGCTCGGCCTCGGCGCTCAGATATATGGGGACCGCCTCTGGCGGGAGGTTCCCCTTTTGAAGCAATGGCTCGCCATGCAGGGGAGGGAGAACCGCAAGAATGCGCCATGGACAGCGAGACACCAGGAGGACGTCACTCACGCTTACTTCCACTACTATACCAGCCACTTCGACCAACCCTTCTTGCGCGAGGCATTTGCGCAGATTCCGCATGTCTTGCAGATTGACGACCATGATATGTACGTCTTTAGACCCAGGAGCCCCTCACTTCATTTTTGAATTCTTGCTGATCATGTCCCTAGCTTTGATGGCTTCGGCTCGTATCCCGACTACATGCAGTCGTCTGCCGTGTTCAAGGGCATCGGCCGCATCGCCATCGACATGTACCTGCTCTTCCAGCACCACACTACGATCGAGATGCTGCGGAACGTTAGCTCTGACATGGATTTGTTTACCATCACCGGGTCGGGCTGGCATTTCGTCAAGTTCCTTGGCCCTGCCGTCGTAGTGGTGGGTCCGGACTGCCGGTCGGAGCGCACGCAAAGCCGCGTCATGGCCGGCCCGACTTATCAGGGAATCTTCCCCAAGGTCGCAACATTGCCGCCCAGCGTGCAGCACTGCATCTGGATGATCTCGGTACCTGTCGTGTACCCACGCCTTGAGACGGTCGAGACGCTCGCCAACACGTTCGCGACTGGCAAGAAGGCCGTTAACACGACGTACAATATCCTTGGTAAGGTGACGAGCTCGGTGGCGGGTGTGGTTGGCGGCAAGGAGGTGGTGCAACACGGGTTCAAGGAAGTCAAGAAGGCGGTGGGCAAGTCAGGGCTTATGGGCAATGTGCTTAATCAGTTTGGCGACATTGACATTGCCGAGGAGCTGAAGGATCTGTGGACCCACGAGTCCAAAGATCTCGAGAGGACGTATCTGATCCGGACCCTGCAAGGGATTGCGCAGCAGAAGGGCATCCGCATGACCTTCCTGTCTGGAGGTAAGGCCGCCTGCTCTTTCTTTCCATCTGACCCATTTCATCCAGCTAACTTTATGAAATCGTGACAGACGTCAACTGCTGTGGTGCCGGCCTCGTGCACGACCCTGCCCACCCAAGCGACCACAAGACAATGTACCAAGTCATCGCCTCCCCAGTCGTCGCAGCGCCCTGCAGCAACTACCTTCTCAAGATGCTGCACAACAACAAGCTACTGTATGTGCCCCAAAACGGTCACAAGTCGACGCACGAGGTGAGCGACACCAAGGAGGACATGATGGAGATCTTCCACACAGACGCCTCAGGAGGGGCCAGGGAGCACAAGAAACTCATGGCAAGGAGGAACTATGTCGCGATTGTGGTGTACGACCCGGAGGCGCTTGCGGGAGGGGTGGCACAGCAGCAGCAGCAGCAGACCGGATATGCGGCAAGCGTGGGCAGCGGGAACTCGGGCGGGCTGAACAAGTTGAGTTTGGCCGTGGATTTTGTGGTGCAAGGCGATGGCGCGTTCACGGCGACGACAAAGTACGGCCCGGTCATTGTGCCGCATTTGGAGTTTGGCCATTGAGCCAGCCCTTTGCATTACTAGGGGTCGATGTTTGATGATGAGATGAGATGACGGCTGCCTTAGCTTCGTAGTCAGTGCTTGTGGTTCTTAGGGGTTGGGTAATTTGGTTGCTAACCTAGACTCCATCTATACGTGGTAGTGGTTCCTGGTTTATATCACTGGCTTGTATTAGCGGATTGTTCGTTATACGTTCTTGCTAGTTAAATAAGATAATCTTCTGGAGATCAAGGGGTTGCTCAAAGGGACTCTCGGAAGCAACTGGCATAAACAGTGTATTTTTCTGTATACCCTTTTCCATGTCATTGCCCATGCAGACATTATCATAGGATTCGATTACCAACTTGCCAACTCCATCTATTAGATCTGTACGTACGCACGCTGTAAGCTTTTATGCTCTTCGTCTACCAAGCTTACCGTAACCCGGCTTTTGTTTTTCTTTTGTGTTTCCTTCCTTTCCCATGCCTACTCCAAATTAAACAGCTTCTTCAGCTCCGCCATGGTATCCTCTGGGCCGGTCACGGTATGACCTATGGTCCGGCTGTCGGTGTAAATCTCGTAGTCGTTGCCGCCCTCAAACGTCTTGTCGCCAAAGAAGTGGATAGTCGTGTACTGCACGCCGCCGGGCTTCTTGGCCTCGTTCTCGAGGTGCTGCAGGCAGTATGTCTTGTCCCAGCCGGCGGGGAAGACGTCGAACGAGATTTGCCCGCCGATGGAGAACCTGTTATTCCCAGTTTGCCATCTGTTTAGTATACTAAGTGATTAAAACAGGGTAAGAAGAGAACGTACGTCAAGCCCAAATGGCCAAAGCGCTCCTTGAGCTTCTCGACAAAGGCCTTGCGCACGCCGTGCTCCTTGTCGTACTTTTCGTAGTCGTTGCGCTCCTGGACCGAGGCGTTGCGGCCGATCGGGGAGACGTTGATCATGCCGTTGCGGAACTCGACAAAGGTGCCCCGCTTGATGGGTATGTCGAGGTCGGCAATGTAGTGCAGGATGAAGTTGACGAGCTCCTTGTACCGCTCCTCGCCGAGCCAGCGGATGAAGCTGTTGGACGGGAGCGCCTCGCCCAGCCGGTACGCCGTCAGCCCGTTCTCGGCGAAGCAGAAATCGAACAGCGACGTCACGTCGACTCCCGTGCTGTTCCCCAGCTGCTCCTGCTGTTTTATCAGGTCGCTGCCCCCGACGAACCCGATGGCTACCTTTTGCCGCAGTCGTGCGAGGAGGTTGAGGATCTCGGGCGAAGCGCTCTACGGGGCCCAGGGAAGGGAGTTGGGTTCCATGTTAGCTGAGGGGAAACGGGTAATTAAAGAAGAGGAAGAAGAAGAAGCAATGCACGCACCCGCCGGGCGGGCGTCAGAGTGCCATCGACGTCAAACAGGCAGATGGTGTTCTTGATCTCGCGATCCGCAAGGGGAGGGTACGTCGCCATTGTTGTTGGATTTAGGGGTCTGGAGTTTGGTAGACGAGGAAGGCAACTAGTCGGAAGATGAACTACACCGCACTGGCAAAATGTAAGAACAATTGAAGTTGTCGGATTTGAGACGAAATAGAAGGACAGTTGTTCACGTTAGACCACCTTGAGGTTCTGTCCCTCCTCCCTCGAACTATCGGTCAAGGGACCAATGACCCCTCCTTGACCGCCTTCGTGTTGGGAAGCAAGGGAAGCCTTGCCCCTCACGACCCCTCCTCCACTGTCATGCCCCACCTGCACATGCATCGTTGAAGTGCTGAAGCATAGATCCCTTGCTATGAGCAGTACATACAATTCAGGGGCAGAAGATGGAGGAAGCTCACCTCGTCTGAAGTTGAAAATACCTACGCAATGCTGTCCTTAAACATGCGTCTTACAATTCTGCCTGGTCTAAGTAATTTTTCAGACACTTGAACGTAAGGATCTCAAGGCGCCATGCTGTGACGCGAACGGGTCTCAGCTAAGATCTCATCGAATTTGACTTTGATTCTATCAGATGCCGCTGCCCGATGCTAATTGGAAAATCGGCCACCACAAAAGACAGTTGATACCGAGCCGCTGGGAAATTGAGAGTAGTTCCACGTATGCCCCCTTTCTTGAGAACATATGACTTACGGGCTCCAATGCCTACCCCTGAGGCTCGTGTGGAAGGGTCCTTGTGGCGGTTATCATGTATGTCTCTAATATACTTCGTAAAGTCGCTAGTTTTCTAGAACCTGCGCTGACAAGCGACGACCATCTTTAGATGGGGTCACCTATGAAACACGGATGAGGTCTTGAAGCTGATGGCTCAGTGCTGTTGTAAACCGATCCAGGAGCTTCTCCAAGATTGTGATGCTCCCTGTCGCGCGTGAAACGAAACAGTCGATTCTATTGAAACCCATGAACCAACTTGCAGCCGCATCGCAACAACAAAACGGCAACCGAGGGTGTCCCGTACACCATTGTTCTGGCAGCGCAAGCCTTCCCAATGTCCCAAATGTGGTTCACCTGCTGTTCCTCGGCATGGAGCTTGAGCGTGCGTATATTGGAGCGTTGTGGTCGATGTCGTAGTCGTCCAGTACGAATGCCGCCCCACATCGACCGGTTGCCCTATTCCAGACAGGATGATGCCTCCGGTCGTCGCAGTTGATATGGGCCAGTCACTGCCGCTGGGCTCGACATTATGACCCTCAGCACCAAGAATCGTTCGCAAACAAACCCTTTCGCTGGATTCCGAATTCTGATCCGGAGTCATCAGGAAGTGAGGCGAGGGTCTGGCCGCCAATAGAGAAAGCAAGACATCTGATGTCTGTCCAAGAGCCACACGTTGCATGGAGTGTGTTCCTGTTCTGGTTGTCCATGATGACAACATCAGCGCTTGGAGCGGCTGCAGCAAACCGCCCGTCATCAGACAAGAATGCCATAAGAACGAGGATGTTGCGACTGAGATAAATGGAGTGAACCATCTGTGATTGCCCGCTGGTGTTCTCCAACTGCTTTCAGGAAACGTCAGACCAGACGCCCGTAAGCTCGGTAACGAGGTTGATGATGGTGCCAATGCTCCAGATGGTAATCAACCCCCAGCCAATCTTGCGGCTCATCAACCAGTTATTGGATGGCACCACAATGAGTAGAACGATGAGGGTTAGCAGCAGTGTAATGGCCGAGATCATCAAGGTGCCGCCAACTTGGATGCGATATGGTTTGTAGAGGACCGGTAAGTCAGGGTGCTTCTTGTGCTTCTTGTTGGCCCGGGCAATGCCCATCCACGCACCGCCGATGCCCACACCGAGCAGAATGTTCAGCATCGGTCCCCCAAAGCATGCAGCCCTGTTGTGCCGTGTTAGTTGCCGCGCAAATGAGTCATGCAGGATATGTGACTTACAGTGCCATGACTGGGTATCCCAAGCGGGCAACCGTGACGTCGGCCACGAGATCGCCCAGCGAGTTACCCACTGCAAACACAGTCAAACCTAGGATAGCTTCCGAAATATTCAGGATGACGCCAAAGGCCTTGAGGACCCCAACTACCTCTCCCGCAATGGTCGATATCCATGCAACGCTGATGATGAATCCGAGGAAGCACAAAAGAAAATGGTACTTGGGCTTCTTTTCCTCGCTGGTGGTCAGGAGGAGGGCTGCCAACAGACAAAGGGACACCAGAAGCGAGTACAGGACCAGTCTCAGCAAGACCTTCCCTGGTTGCTCCAGATCTTCCGCTGTATTGGCCCAGAGAATGAAGACCACGAAGAGCGGCCCAGTAAACAGCTGCACTGCCACAAGCCATCGGTTCCAGCCGGAGGGTGGCTCCAAAGAAGATGCTGATGTGTGGTAAGAGTTCGAACCTGTCGGCTTCATCGTTTGCGGAATCTGGCTGTCGAAGGGCGGATTTCCACTCGCAGGGACCGAACTCTGTCCGTCTGAAGGATATGGATTATCCGGCAATCGCTGTGAGGGAGACAAGCTGCGGGGTGATCTTGTTGAAACAGATCTGGCCCTTCGCCGATACGCCTGCCACTCTGTCTCGGGCTGTATATCGCCGTCGGTTTCTAGTGAGATGGGTGGCGCAGTGTTTCCAGGCTGCCCGAACTCCGGGGGATCAGCGGTATGGGCCTCGAACGGGCCACTTTCATTGTCCGTCTCCACTACCGGCAATGTCACGACGAGAAGGAAGATGCTTGGGACCGAGACGATGCTTAGAAATTTATCCCAGAGCGTTTTCTCACTCCACCCCTGGAGGGTTGGGAAGATGGTGGCGAGAAGGACGTGGGGCGCTGGCAGCAGCTGGTAAGGCCACCACTTGACAGGCCTGGGGTGCTCTGCATGGTCATCGAGACTTGGGAAAGACTGGCGGTGCGCGTCTGAGTGAATCGGGAACGGAAATGCAGTCGGCTCTTGATAGGGCGTTAAAGGAGCCGGAGACTCGGACACACTTCTGAGAGGGGACAAAGCAGGCGACGACTGTGCGCTTGATTGTCGGCTAGGAGAGGGAATCTGGAGTTGCAGGTGTCGAGTCTGCTTGGATGAAGGGGAATCATCTGTCACGCCATCAGCTGGCGAGCCAAGCGGCGGCGCAAGCCTTCCGTCGATGGTGCGAGCTGCTGAGCTAGTGCGGGTTGCCGGTCTCAAAGCAGCTTCAGGTTGGCGCTGTTGCAGACCGTCACTCTCCAGGTTGGGAAGCCCGTTCCCGTATATTAGCGCGCGTTCTCTTGCGTCAGCTGGTGGATGGGCCGGAAAGGACTGTGTCCTCGGGCGACCACGAGGATCGCCTGGACTGGAGCGGGATTCTAGGTCACCAGTGTATGACCTGCCCGGGAGTGGACCCATGTGCATATTTCGTTCCTTCTGTAGCGAAGATAGTACCGCTCTAAACTCTAGTACGCCCACTAGACTGGGCCGGATCGGAGTGATGGTGGTGTTGCTTCGTCCCCAGCGGGGCCGGTTAACACGCATGCTGCTCGCCATTTCGGCAGCAACTTGTATATCTCGCTCCTCGTCGTCCTTATCAGGGGACAACGGCTGCAACCCAACGCCGTCAATCTCAATCCGGGGTCCCTGTTCCAAGGCGCTGATATCGGCAGGTTCGGGGGCGCTACGCGAGCGACCTCCCACTGGCGCGGCTTCGTCTTCATCCGGCTCATCGCGGTAGGGTTCCAGCTCTTCGGCGCCACGACCCGAGGGACCATAAAGGTGGGCGCGGGCAGCGGCATCTCTCATGCGCTTCCTCCTCTTTCGTACTGTGAGCCAATGCCATCCTACCACGACCAGCACATAGAAGAGATAGAAACCGATCATGGTGAAGCACTCCCACAGATGCAGCTCTCCGTCGGCCAGGAAGACCATAGTAAAGCTAATTGCTGCGATAAAGAAGATAATGTCCCGGACGAAGACGCGCCTGCTGACCTTGAACTCGCGGACCAGGGCCATCGAACCGGCGACGACGGCTGTGATGAAGCCAGCAGCGCCGATCAGCTCGCCCACCGCCATACTCCCGCTGTTAGAGCCCATTGCGGCGAAGGTGCTGAAGACATCTGGCGAGCCGTTGCCGAATGCCAGAAATGTGACACCAGCCAGACTCTCGCTCAGCCCAAGCACACTGGAGATGGTGCTGAGATTGACGCTGAAGAAGTCGCTGGCGGCGATGCCGATGGTGGTAAAGAGCAGGCCAAGCCATACTGCGAGAATGGCAAAAGCGACGGGCTTCACACTGCCCAAGGTGCAATAATAGAAGGCCAGGTAGTGCAGCAAACCGGCCTCGTCGTCTTGGCAGTTGGCGAGCACAAAGGCGCATTGGTCGGCAGCTTCGCGAACGGCACGGCAGTCGACATCTAATCGTTGCTGTTGCAGACCTCTTGAGGCCAGAACGGGTCGATCCGCGCGACGAGCGGAGGTCGGTGCGAAGGGGGCAAAAAGCGCGAAAGCAGCGATCACGGTGACGAGCAAGACGCCCGCAGCGGCCGGCCGGCGGCGGAAGCCCTTGTCACGGCTCCGGATTGGGCGGGTTGTCGCAGACATTATCGATGCTGCTCACGGCGGCATGGCGCAGATCTAAGAGAAAAAAAAGCAGATGAGTTATGTCGAAGCGCCAGCAGTGTATGTGTGTGTTTATAGGTAGGTATATCCTCTTATGTATATGCCACTTGGAGCTTGCTGTTGTCAAGACGACGGCGACGATAACTGTAACCTGTAACCGAGCGTCGGGTTATGAGATCATGGCGTCAGACCTGGGCCGGTCCAACAGCAATGAATGAGCGGCCATTGATGAACGCGTGGACACTGGACAGCGTGCGACCCAGACCAAGGGCAGCGCTGCCGACCCCCTGTCGCTGCTGCTATCAAGGAAACCTGAAGCTCCAATTGGGGCCAACAATAAGCTCCCCCATTCAGCAAGCAAACCGACTGCTTGAAACGGCTGGTGCCAAGTCTCGTTGCAGTCAGAGCAGGATGACTGTCCACATCAATCAATTCGTCCCTCTCGTCATTCCGTACTGTATCCAGGAGGCAAACCATACGCGGGTAGCCGCCGTGCGAGACAGGATGGCATGGGCCGTCACTGCAAACTAATGATAGCGGTAGTGAAACATGAGAACATTCCTGCAAAAGAGCACTGTCATGAATGCTTATACCAAGTCAAAGTTGCTACACCCGGGCTGTGGAGGGACGAAGCATGGCGAGTAGCGTTTTCCTCCATGCAAGGCGTAAATCGAAAGATACCAGAGTAAGCAGGTGCATAAGGCACCTAACGTTGCCTTTCAAATGTTTTGAGCCTGGATCCGTCGCTACCTTCAAAAACGTTAGGTAGACAATTGCATGTTAAAAATACCGGTACTTTATGCAGTCAGTCATGCTTGATGGCAATTGCAACTGACAGCTGACAGACGATGACTGGAAACATTCAATTCAATCAGTTGCCAAGGCCCGGTTTAACTACCGTTATCAGCGGAGCACAAAGCGGCTAGCGTTATCAACACGTGCCTTCGCTCCACTGGTGGTCGCTCAAGCCAATCACCGGGCCCGTATCGTGGCTCAACCCGCCAAAGTAAACAAACAGTTTTAGGGTTGCCGCTCTCTCCGAGTCTCGGGTTGACGACGACATTCGAGCGCAGAAGTCGATATTCGAGCGCATCTGTGTGTCTACACCATCAACAGCGACAAATCGCCATAACACGATGCCTCGAGTCGCCCAGGGCCCGCGCAGAAGCGGGAGCAGAAATGTTTCGGGATCACTGCTCGGCTCGCCATTCAAATCACCAATAAAGTGAGTCGCATCGCGTCTTTTAACTCTTTTCCACCCGCAATCGAATCTATCGAATACGCCAGAGGAGAACTGTGACTGAACCGCATACCGCTTTTAGGATTCCATTAAATGATGACGCCCAAGAAAAAGCCGAGCGCTCATACGGCCGCAAAGCCGCCTATGAAGCCCAGATTAACCAGCTCAAGGCGGCTGCGACGAGCACACCCCGCAGGTCAAGCTCAAACCTCAACGACCTAGATCACGGCGGATCGCCCAGCTCCAACCCTCGCACACCACGGCAACGTCGGAGTAATGTCATGGTTTTGGACGAAGACGAGCAGCTTGTGGTGGGCGGCAGGGCCGTTACGCCGCTCAAGAGGGTGCCCATTCTGGCCAACTTTGAGGAGTGGATGAAGATGGCCACCGACAACAAGATCAACGCCGCCAACTCGTGGAACTTTGCCCTGATCGACTACTTTCACGACATGTCGCTGCTCAAGGAGGGTGACGGCGTCAATTTCCAAAAGGCCAGCTGCACCCTCGACGGCTGCGTCAAGATCTACACGAGCAGAGTCGACAGCGTTGCCACCGAGACGGGGAAGCTGCTCAGCGGCCTGGCTGACAGCCGCGACAGCAAGAAGAGGGATCGTGAGGGTGACGAGGATGACGAGGAAGAAGAGGAAGTGGACGAGGACGGCAACGTGCGGAAGAAGCCCAAGAAGAAGGTCTGTCGCGTTTCGTTGTCTGCGCTATTGTCTGATTCGCGATGCTAACCCGATTTGCAGGCCCAAAGGTCATCAGAAGCTACTTTAGCGCCATCGTTTGCATCCCTGCAACTGAAGAAGCTCGAACTAGAGTTCGCCGTCGACCCTCTCTTCAAGAAGGCCTCTGCAGACTTTGACGAGGGCGGCGCAAAGGGACTTTTGCTGAACCATCTGATGATTGACTCTCAGGGCCGCATCGTCTTTGATAGCAGCGACGACGCGGCTGACGCAGCCGAGGCTGCTTCCAAGTCGCGCCGGGGAGGCGACGGTGAGGATCTAGATGCCATGGACATTGATAGCGATGATATGCCCCAAGACCGTGAGGAGACGCCTACGCCCGAGGCAGTAGAAGAGGATGAGGATGTCGAGATTGACGTCGCCGGACTTGGAGCGAGATTTTTCCCGGACTTGAGTCGCCTAGACAGCATGGATGTGTGTCCGTCTCTCAAGACCTTCGACCTCGGCGACCCGTCAGGCTCCCTGGATATCCCGTTTCTGCGGGCACCGGACGATTGGCGCCAAGACCAGGACAAGGAGAAGACCCCTGGCGCGGACGGCATTGGTGACAAGTCTGGTATGTTCATTGACGAGGAGAACCCGCTAGGGTTTGAGGACGATGATGGACTTGGGACCTTTGACTTGGGTGCCGATGTCGACTTTGGCGAAGGCGGCGAGGCCTGGGCGCGTCAGGCTGCCAAGGACCCGCAGATGATACGCCCTTTTGATGTCGGTCTGGGGTTAGGGGATGGCGCAGGTACGGAAGGAGGAGACGACGGGGTTGACATGATGGACGTTGCGAACGGCGACTTTATGGTATCCATGACACATGCCCAAAAGGCCGACAAAATGCACGAGGATATCCTCGGCTATTTCGACCAGGCCCTTCAAAAGAACTGGACGAGTGCCGAGCACTGGAGGATACGAAAGATCAAGGACGTCAACAAGCCGACAGAGCCTACAAGACAACGCAAAGAGAAGCAGCCGTTCGAAATCGACTTTGCGTCACCACTCGACCCGGCAGTCGCCGAGCTGATTTACACTCAAGCCTCGAGTAATTCAGCCATCTCCATGCCGAAGAAGGACTGGAAGTCCAAGTCGCGCAACCTCCTTCCCGACGACAAGCACTTCAGCTCCAAACAACTCCTAAACCTATTCCTCAAGCCCAAGGCCCGCATGGGGCGGCGGCGCATGCTCGGCGGGGGCAGCCGGATAGGCAATATGGACAACCAGCACCAGAACGACGTCGCCGAAGGCTTGATGGACGAGGCCTTTTGGGCGTCACAAAAGCCGCCACAGCTTCACCCGGATGACGGCGCCCCCGGACCCGACGACGACTCCACCCTGCCCCAGGGCGACTATGACGCCAACTTCTTCCAAGACGACGGTTTACCCTTCCCCGGCGGCGGTGGTGGTGGTGGCGACGACGACGACGACATGGACGAGTTTGCCGACGCGCGAGAGCACTTCTCGCCCGAGGCCGGCGGCGGACTGGGACCGGGCGGCATAATGATGACCGACATCGGCATGACGGGCGCCTTCAACGGCCTGACGGTGACCAACCCGCACGACCTGGCGTTCGGGACCATGCTCATCACGCAGAACCGGCGCGTCAGGCCCGAGTACGTGCAGTACGCGCGCGTCGCGAAAAAGGTGGACGTCAGGCGGTTGAAGGAGGAGATTTGGAAGGGGATGGGGATGGATAAGTTGGATGTATGTGCCTTTCTTGTCTTTTTTTTCCCTACCCTCAATCCCCCTCTGCAGTGTTTTGTCTTTCTATTCCCCTTCCTTCCTAAACTGACACGAAAATAGGGCCCTGCACCTGCGCCGGAACAAGCAGCAGCAGCAGCAGAAGAAGAAGAGACAACAGGTGCATCGACAGAACAGAAACAACAAGAGCAAGACCCCGTCCTCAAGTTCACCGACGTCATGAACGGCCTGCAGCGCGTCTACCCGAAGCAGGTCATGAACGACATCTCTACCAGCTACTGCTTCATCTGCCTGCTGCATCTGGCCAACGAGAAGGGCCTGGTGATTGAAAAGACGCCCGAGCTGGACGAGCTGCACATTCGGAAGGACTGGTCGGCCGAGATTGTGGATGGGGGGGCTTGATCGAGATCTGCTTCCTTTTCTATCCCCTGACTATTTCCCTTTTTCTCTATGTTCGGGATATAGAAGCCGCCTATGTCGAGCTGGTGTTGGCTACCTTATGTATGCTCCCTTTTGTTTTCTTCTCTGGTCGGGAGTTGATGAGCGATGCGAACGGAAACACGTATACAACGCAGCGTGAATGAGGGTTGGTTCTTGTGATGGGTGTATTTGGTGCGTCTACGATTAATGATACATGCATCGCCGTCTTGGCTTATGTTGAAAATTCTTCTCCGTCATGAAGATGGGGCGTACTTAGTAGACCTTCAACGACTCTCATGTGCTTCCTTCTCTCCTCTCACCAGCGTGGTCCCCGTTTTGCCGGCTTGTATCCTGTTCGTGATCCTCCGAATCTTGCTCGTCAGGAGGTAGCCCTAGGGACGCCAAGATTGCATCCAGCCTGTTCTCCAGACTTGTCAAGTGCGCCTCGAGAGTGGTGGCTGTCTGCTCGCCCCTGTGCGTCGAGGAAAGCCGTTAGCATGCCGAGGGAGGGGAGACGGGCCACGTGGGAAATGCTTTCCCCAACAGCGGCTCTTTGACAGCTCCAACTGGCATCTTGGGGTTTGACAATGTCTGCCCATGTTGCCTACGCCGAACCCCTCTCGGGACGGCGGCAGAGTACATACGTAGAAGGGCGCCAATATGGGGGAGAATCAAAACAAGGGAAGGGAAAAAAAGCAGCCAGGGACGCTAGCGACGCACGGGATCAATCCGGCCCCTGTCCATAGGCTTGCCAATGCATCATGTTACGTGTACGGCGAGGTGAAAATGTGAATGCAAGTTAGAGCCAAAACTCCGGTAATCAGAAGACCCTGCAGATCTCTGAGAGACCCCCATTTTTCAGGGTCCTGATGTTGCATTCTCGCCCTTGCCGCGTTGTAGTGCGTTACAACTGCGGGGAGGGCTCAAAGAAAAGCCGTGTTCGGCCATGGCAGCGGCGAGGACATGTACAGGAGCGTAGACAAGACTTTGACCGCCTTGTTTTCCTCGTCCAACCCGCGCAAGGATGCGAATGGGGGAAAGTCACACGACCGCCCACGATAGGCTCTGGTCAAAAGGGGCCAGGGAAATTTGACGAACACAGGAAGCAGATGACTAGCATACCTAGCGAGGTCTCTAAGGGTCTGGACCGTAATCCGGAGGGACAGCATGTCAGCAGGGATGATATGCATAATAAACGTATAGGAAAGCAGAGTTGAGCAGGGCTGAACATGGACACCGGGGCGGCTATACAAACCCCGTGATGAAGCTTGTCCAACCTCCTCTCCAAGGGCAGTACACTAGGAGACTAGCAGTAGGTAGGCGATGGGCTCTTACCTGCGCCAGCGTGTCGGCGACCGACGAAGAGGACGGCGAAGACGAAGATGGCTGGGGCGAGGGGTTCCCATTTCGCATGCTGGCCTGGGCCGTGTCCGTACCATCGGCAGCCTCTGCCGGCTTGGCACCGCCGCCAGCGTCCGAGTCGGCGCCTTCGGGCTTTGGAGGAGTCGCTGATGGGGTCATGGCGCCACTGGATTTGGCGACCGATGCGCGGGAATAATGGGGTTGAACAAGCCTTATTGTTTTCTTATTACTTTGCCTTGTTAGCAGAAGTCATCGGCTGAACCACTGCAGAGGAAAGAAGCCATGTATGTACCAGTTCTGGCGGGCTCTGACAGGCCCAGGCAGTTTGAAGATGTCAAAACATCGATGCTCCCCGGCAATGGGTACCGGTAACTTACACCGCCGGTACACGGGAAACTTTGCCCTCACCAAGTTAGGTCGATCGGATCCAGCTAACAAGGCAGTGGATTGCTGGTAAAGCGTGAAATGTGAATGGTGTTGTGTGGGTGAGCAAAGCCGGGTGTTTACGTTACCGGTAATGGCTGCCTCCGCTGGGACAAGCCCCGTTTAGAATAACGTACGATTCTTGCAGCAGGCTATGGCGCTTTGGGAATTGCCGATCAGTAAGGGCTGCCGCGCCAACCGAGTTCAACGAAACTCTTCGCTCTGGTCTGAGCATTTCGGCCGCCTGGAGACGCAGTTGTGAGGGGCTCCAGCCACGGTATATACGCCCAGGAATTCGGGCGGTGCTGACAGAAGTGGTCGAAAGAAGCTCTGTCGCTACAAAAATATCCGCTATCGTCAAGCTGCAAAGTGACAAAGCTAGTGTATGTGTAGGCACGGTTTACCGCAAGGAGATGGGGAACGTTCTAGGCCCTCGGTCGAAAACCTAAGCAAATCGGCCAATCGGGACCCATCTTCCGCTCGACTATGCTGGGCATCTACGAGAGCAAGAGCTCATGACCTCGTGGAACGGGATTTGTCAGCCTGGCAATCGGAAATCCCATGCCCGTTCAAACCGGCAATTTCCACCGAGGCTGAGGTGCTGGTCCAAAGGGCATTCATCAAGCTGTCACTGGGGACTCCCTGAGACATTATTCTGCATGTCCACGAGCCGACAGGTCTGCTGCGTACCTGGCAGTGGGTGAATGGTTTTCTTGTCCGGTTTGTCTGTCCCAAACCGATGAAGAATGCCTGCGACCTTATGTAGTAACCTAGGAATGTCATGTAGGTAGGCTGCAGGTCCGTGGCCCACGGTTGGGAGTCGGAAACAAGGCGTCCCATAATTAACCAGAGGACTGCTGTATGGGTAACCGATGAGAAACACCATACATAAACATACATACAGCGGCATGACAGGGGGTCTCATGGCAATCACGTATTGGGGAGATGGGATTTCTGGAAGAAATCCACATCCACCATCGCATCGCACAGCTCCTCAGCGCCCAGGCCCTTTCCCGCACCCCGCCAGGACACGAGTCCGACTGTCCGACTGCTCGTCGCAGCACCAACGACGGAAGGGAGGCACCCTTCACGTTGACTGCCTCATACGTTTACCCCTTCCAATTGTTGGTACACAATACGTACGTAGTAACGTTATACGGTAGCAACGCAGTCGAAACGAGGCCCAACTTGGGTCTGATCGATCGTTCTTATCCAGAAAGTTGGGATGAGGCAGCTGCCGAACATGCTCAGGCGCATCGCGGGGGAGGGTGAGATGCGACTGGCTGGTTCCCCCGGTCGAGCCTGCCACCGTGACGCCGCAGCCGCTACACCATGTTGGGAAAGGCGGCGGGTAGGCGACACTCGATTGGTTCGTTCTCGTCGGCTTTTCCTCAGAATCGTACGTTTTTTATGTGCCTCCTGAACATCGATGGAGATCGAGATCCTTCGTGGGCCACTCTCCCATCTGGTCCGCTGCCCGACACCGCGGTCACCTTTGATGGCATTATTGCTGCCCGCTCTTCGAAACTGACAATCCTCCACAGAGCCCCGCTGCTGCTTTGTGGCATCATCATCAAGCCTGTGTATCTTCACACAGTTGGCACCTGACACTGACAGAAGGGCCATTTGCCAAGTCGCATCGTGGGCAACATTCCCATCTGTCGGACAGGGCAATGTCCATTGGCCGGCGATGGGAAATCGGGTCGCCGAAAATGGGACTTGTGGCAAAGCGCAGAACTCTGGGCCAAACTGACAATTACACAGTACCGTACGGAGCGTACTCTACATCCAAAGATTTTGTAGACCCGCCCTAACTACGAATACCTGGATAGTTGATTGGATTGATTGTCATTCAATTCCAAGGTCGAATGAATCACTACGGTACACCATGTAAGGGCAGAAGAACGGAGCACAAACTTGCAACAAAGCAACTTCGAGTTGCAAGTCAAGCTGGCGGTGGAGCATTGACCGTCGTTCGATCTGCTCGAACAATAATCCTTAGTCAAAGACCTAGGCCAGGTAGACGGAGACCAGCTGGCCGCTGGTGTTAAGCCTTCAAGGTAAGGTACCCTTTACCTCTGGATACTCGGAATGCGATGCTTGGCATCCACTCTGGCCGTCCCTGTGCATCGGTACCACCCTTGTCTCTGGACATTGCCTACCTGGACATTTTATTTGGGGCATGCTCTGCGTGCTTTCTCCCTCTGTAAGATGATCTGTCTCGTCAACAGACAGCATTGGACTTTTGCCTGATCTTGCCTGCATCGAGCTTTGTTCAGCAGCACGCGAAACCTTGGGCATTCAGGTATTGTACATACGTACATACATACAATCCCACAGTACGACGGCGCTGCAATCGCATTCAGTCAGGATCATCTGAACGGTACAGTGACTAGACCAGGCTTCCTTTTAAGTTTAATCCAGACCTCTGCATTGGAAGTTGAGAGAGGTCTGGGCCTGCTTGTTTCGGATGCATGCGAGCTGACAGATAGCGGAGGAGCAGTCCACACACCAAGTCACCAACCACATTGGAAGGCAGAGAGAGTCCCAAAACCCAGGGACCGATCGAGGCCCCCATCTAATTCCGCGCCGTCCAATTCAAGCAATTCCCTGTTCCGTGTAAGTGGCGTCTACCCAGCATCTTGCTGCATCGTCGTCGTGTTTTGGATCTGCTCATGCCGCTCATTCGTCCCATGTCATGTCTGTTGCTTCCCGCTCGCTTCACCATGTCACCAAGGGTCGCAGACTCTCACACCACCAAGAAGAATGCCATGTCAAGAAGAAATCTGGCTTCGAATTTGCCGTTGACCCACCCCTGACAGTCTATACAGTAGTCGTCTCTGCTCCGGCTTCCTGTCCTGTTCCGCGCCACAAAAATATCACAAGCATCACGACAGAGCTCGCTCCCTGGTTCCCTCCGCATCAATCGTGGAGCCCTGTCACACCACACCGCATCACACACCACACCAACTGTGGCAGTTGCACACAACACCCCAAAACTCGGAGAAGGTCGCAACATCAGACTGTTTCTGCACAGGACACTTGGATCTTTTGCAACACAAGCGGTTCAATCAATCTGAATAAAGAGTCGCGCCCGAACCACAAGATCGTGCTTGTCTGGGACGTCATCACTTTCCAGCCGGGGCCTAGCTCCAAAACAACGCGCACCTGGCTCGACAACTTGACTTGCCGGGGCTGTTGATCTCGGCCACTCAGCATCCTGGAAACGCTGAAGCTCACATCGTCCGATTCCCTCTGTCAAGCTGACGAGCTACCCGTTCAGCCTGGATGAAGCGAGAACTCGAGGCCATTTTTGGGGAGTTGGGTATCACCCAGTATCTCGATGCCTTTCTGGAGCAGGGATTCGACACATGGGAGACCATCTTGGACATTACCGAGTCTGACCTGTACGTGGGAAGAGTGCCTCGGCGTTTGTTGAGATGGGGGGCTTACGGTTATGCTGACCGGGTGAAATGTGGCAGCGATGCTCTGGGAGTGAAGCTGGGCCATCGACGGGTACGTGACCCTCTAGGCAGCCATGTAGTTCAATCTCACTGACAGACATGGTAAAAGAAACTACAACGGCGGATAGCAAACTCCCGCGGGGTCGCGCCTGAAGCGTCCCTGGTGTCTCCGACCCAGCCGAGCATCGAGGAGTTCAAATTTCAGGATGCATGCAGGGCTGAGGCTTCAAAGCCTGAAAGTCGAGAAACAGTCGGCGTCATTATCACGAAACGCAAGTACCGGCGGCATCCAAAGGTAGGTTTCGGCGCCCAGGCCGCACATGCTATTTGACTCACATGAGATGCTGTGGAATAGCCCGATCAAAATGCGCCGGAGCGGCCCCCGTCGGCTTACGTACTTTTCTCTAACAGTAAGATGGTGTTCCCCGTTTCCTAAGGGGCGAGACACTGACTTTCACCGTTTTGCTGAAAGAAATGCGCGACGATCTCAAAGGCCGTAATTTGACCTTCACCGAGATTGCCAAGCTTGTCGGAGAGAACTGGCAAAACCTCTCCCCTGCCGAGAAGGAACCATATGAATCGCAGGCACAGGCGATCAAGGACAAGTACTTGAGAGACCTCGCAGAGTACAAAAAGACGCCCGAGTACCAGAGATATATGGCTTATCTGCAGGAGTTCAAGGCCAAGCATGCCCCGTCACAAGGTACGTACGATGCCCGCACGTCTCTCATTGCATGCCCTCTGACAATCTTTGTTTCTGCAGACAAGGATGCCTCGAAAAGAGTGAGGCTTTCGGACTCGGGAAGCCAAAGTCGTGGCAGCCCCAGCGCAAATCCAACAAGGATGAGCAGGAGTGACAGTGGCACAAGCAGTCTCAAAGGAAGTGAGCCCCCGACCGAACGACAGCAGAGGCTTGACTCTACTGTTTCTTCAGGCGAGTCCCAGAACGCGGGTGCTTCTGTGGCCCCGCCCATGACAATTCCTTCCCCGGACGAGTCTATCGATTCCCCCGTCCTGAGCAACGGCGACCGCTCACCAGTTCCCACTGCGTATCTGAGGGATTTGTCTCGGCTAAGCGCCCCTTCAAGCTCCAGCCTAGGAGACGACCGGGGCAGGGAGCAGCAGAACATTCAGAGGCATCTTCCGTCCCTTTCTGATGTCTTCGATGAGCAGAACCGGTTGCTAGGAACCATGTCACCCTCTAGTGAATGCAACGGATTTCATTTCCCAGTGACCCATGCTAGCAATGCAGGACCTCCACTGGGCTACAACGGCATCAATTCGCGTGGGCCAACGTTCCGAACCGAACAGGCATCGCCGTCGATCTCATCGCAAAGCCCACAAAATCCGCCCTACAGCCATTCCCGGACGCCAGCTGACGGTTCGTTGCCCATCCACGCTCTACTGGCGTCGAGGCCGGAAGCTGCGTACAGACCGGAAGTCGCATATGAGCCCAGCCAGCCACCGCTTCACGCCCATGAGAGCTCCTTCCACGTGGAACAGAAACCGCTGCTGACGCACCAATCCCCGAACGGTGTGGGCTTCCCAACGGCCAATGGTGCGCACCTTTCAACCACTCTCAAATTCTGGAGCATCACTAACTGAGCGCCCAAGGTCATCACTCCCCCCTTTCAATCCCATACGGCCACCTGAGTGCTCCTTCCACGAGCTCCGGCTTCTATCCTCGATCCTCCTCGCCTTCTGCCAGGTTGCCCTATCAAGGGAAGCACAGTGCTAGTCTTGACGGGATGAGCGCCCTCCTCAAAGCGGGGGAGATAGTTGACCGCAGAGCTCAGTGACAATTACCTCGGACCAGCTCGCCATCAATGGCGTACTGACATGTATTGCTTACGCTTGCCGCAACCAAAGCCCATCCTGGTGCTTTTTGCCCACCCGTGGGCGACTTTCCTGGCTGCACCCCTTTCTCCCCCTTATTTTCCTTCAAAGATAGTTTCGCATCTCTGTTGCATTGGATACCCTTTAGCATGGCGGCTTTCCGCTTCGGATCTGGTCTCTACTGGTTTTCAAATATGGCGAATGGTTTGCATTTAAACGGCTGGCAATACTTTTCTTTTATTGTTGAGAAACTGTCCACCACAACTATCGCTGCAGCCGCAAGGCTGATGGTATTAGGCGTTTTTACTAGGTTTCGGAGCATATGAAGACGTTCGCATGGAGCTCACCTGCGACCGGGCGAGCAAACTACTAAGTACTGTTAGTTGTATGTACTACGAGTTAGACAGGAATAGCCTTCGTAGCTCAGCGAAGGGTCTTGATATGCCTTCCAGTAGTTAAGGCCCATCCCCCTTGGTCTTACCCACGCCACCTGTGGACGACAATGGCTTTTCAAGGCCAGGACCGCTCCCGGTGCACTCTGAGGAGTGCGGCTTCAAGAGCTATCCCAGTCAAGTTTTGTTAGATAGTACTAGTAGGTACTACTAGTAGTCCCAGCTTTATTTGCGTCCTGCTAGTACTGGTAGAAACAGTAGGACTAGGGTATACTGACGTCCCGCTGGGGAGAGGCATTCACTACTTGTTACTAGTACCTTAGATTCAAGTTCTCAATGAGTTCCTCTGTCAGTCTGGATACTCCAACATACTAGTACTTGCAAGCAGTTTAACATATAGTGCTTATTACCTGCTCGTACATACATGGCCAACTATACTAGTACAACCACTAGATCCTAGTAGAACTACTAGGTACTAGTAGTACTAGTGCTTGAAAACAGTTTAGTACATAGCGGGATTGGCCCGGCCCGGCCCGGCCGGACGGGGACAAGGCGGAGACAAGGGAGGATGACGGGAGGCATGCTCTGCTTATTCAGTGCACACCTTAACCTCGGCAAGCTTAAGGGAGGAAATCATCGGTCGCCGTAGTCATGCTCCGACGGTACGTGAGGTCATCGAAATGGCACCTGGGTACGGGTGTACATACGTGTGGTAGTGTTACGGTACCAACTGAACAGCAGGGATGATACGGGCACTTGGTACTAGTAGTAGTACCTAGTAGTGCGAGTGCTACCAGGACGAATATACAACCTACTGAGCCTAGGTACATACTGTATACGTGGTATGTGTGGTACCTGCCCTAGGGGGAGTGAGCATATACTAGTACTATAGGTACCTCCTTTGGCATTCCACGTGGAGGTATAGCACCGGTACTTGAGTGGTTAGGGACATGTCTGATTGGGCAAGAACTGTCTGTCTCTCTGTCAACCTGTCAGGTAGTAGGACTACTAGTGATACACAGCATACAAGACAAGGTCCAAGGTGCGTATACATTGTATACATGCTTTGTGTTGCTTGTGGTGTGAGTGTGTGTGACCCACGAAGACAACAGCACTCCCTATCTTCTCTTTCAGATGGGAGGATAGACGGCAACAGTATTATTTAACATGATAGTATCCAGGACCCATCACCTACTGTCAACAGCAGTAGTAGTCCTCGGATGGGTCGGCCGGATTGCCAAGGCAAATACAACCCCTTCCACCCTGAGCACCTGCGCACCCCTTACTAGTAGGCTTCTCGTCTCTACCAAGCCCACACACGGTTTAGATTCGTACATTGGCCCTGCAGCCACATGGTTGACCTTGCCTTTGAGTGCCAATACGCACGTGCCAATGCATCTTACCGAATGAACTACCACTTTTCCAACCCCCAACTCGACTACCAGTGAGTAAGTGACGCCATGTCCTAGTGGACAGCGCGTTGTTCGATTTACTTTTGCCCGTCTTCGGACAGGTGATCAGGTCTCATACAGTCAGTCCCTGAAAACGATCAACCGAGACATCATAAGCCTACGCACAAGGTGGCGGTGAAGCAACTTATATTGGCTTTTGCCTCATGGTAGGCTGTACGTGGATTCGATTTTGATTAAATCCGAACCTGCAAGACAGCAACGCCTTTCCTCCCAGCCAAGGCAAAGAAACAGAAAGGAAACAAACGACAAGAAACCGAAATCGAATGAAATCAAAACCACGATGCCTATGGTGCCGAGTTATAACCGTCCGGGGAGCAATAGCATGTCTCAACCAAGCCCGATGTAACCACCGGGAGCGGTAGCAAGATGAGAGAGTACTGGGGGACTGGGAAGTAGAGACGGAAAGCAGCAGCAGCAGTTGTAATAGGAAAAACATCTCTAACCAGATAAGTAGGTATCACATGCAACGACAGCGAGAAACCTCAGTGTGAGATGGCTCAAGAGACCAGAAAAGGCGTCATGACCAAACAAACCCTCAATTGCAAAGACCCAGAACCAAAAGCCCCAAACCAAGCGCAAAAAGCACATCGATGCTGAATGCAGAGTCCAGCCCGTCCGAGAGCAGCAAACCACACAGAAGTGACGGCCCGCTAGATTGTGCGGATGTTAGGTTCCGAGAGGCTGCTACGCGCCCTACTTAAAGGGTCGTCCTGATCCGCCGTTACGATGGATGGGCTCTCCAGGCCGCCCGAGAGGGCCTCGGCCACCGTGAAGCCACGCGAAGCCAGCGAAGGCCGGCTGGCCGCTGCCGATGCTGCTGCTGCCGCGGCGGCAGCGGCGGTCGCCGCTGTCTGGTGCTGATGGTACGCCGACAATGTCCCATTGTCTCGGCGGCCGCCCGTCGCCGCGTCGGCTGCGCGTGCGAGCTCGCGCTCCCGGTTTTTCTCAAGCAGCTGTCCACCAAGCGTGGCACATTTAAGGATGGTCTGAATGAGGTGGTTCTGCTGCAGCGGCTTGGAGAGGTATTCGTCCATCTGCGCCTGGATGCACTTCTCTCTATCACCCATCATTGCGTGCGCCGTCAGAGCGATGATGGGCGTCCTCTGGCTGCCGAGGCTACGCTCGTACTCGCGGATCTTGGCCGTGGCTTCGAAGCCGCCCTGTTTCAACTGTCAGTCACCTAAAGCAAAGGTTGGACACCTTTTTCTGGGAATCTACCATAATAGGCATCTGAACGTCCATCAAGATGACGTCAAACTTCTTCCTCTTCACCGCCTCGACCGCCTCTTCACCATTTCCTACCACTGTGACTACGTGGTGGTACTTTTCGAGAATCTTCACAGCAAGCCTTTGATTGACCGTGTTGTCTTCGGCCAGGAGGATCTCAAACGAGCGCGTGTTGTCCGCCAACGAAGGTGTGGCCCTATTCTCCAATGCCGGAACCATCCCGTTGCCGAGGTCAATCAGCTCGCACGGCGTTGTCATGTACGAAGTGATGCCCAAGTCGAGGCATGACTTCAGGGCCACGTGGACGACTGGTGCGAGGAGGACAATGGGGAGATACTTGAAGTCGTCCACTGAACGCAACCGTCGAGCATCCTCAATAGAATCGACGATGATGACGTCGTAGGGAGACGTTCCTTGTCCACGCACTTTCTCCAACGCCGGACTTCTCTCGGTGTCGACCACAATAGGGACCAGGCCCAAACGCTTCAACATGTTGACGATCTCGGCCCCAAATCCAGTCCTGCCCTTGTCGATGAAGAGCACCTGATGCCCCTTGTAAGGGTTCAGCTGCTTTGTAATCAGGGAGAGGTCGGCTTCAGCCAGGCGAACAACGCAGGTGAAGTAGAATTTGCTGCCTTTCCCGTACTCGCTCTTAACCCACACGTCACCGCCCATCAGATTGACCAGTCTTTTGGAAATAGATAGACCCAGTCCGGTACCGCCAAACTTGCGTGTCATGGAGCCGTCGGCCTGTTGGAATGTATCAAAGATAAGGTCCAACTTATCCGAGGGAATACCGATGCCCGTATCAGACACAACGAACTCGATCGCATACTCGTCCGGCCCTGGTTGCACTTGGGCCGCCTTCTGGATCGTGAGGCTAACCTCACCATGCTCGGTAAACTTGATGGCGTTGCCCACTAGGTTCAGGATGATTTGGCGCAACCTGAACGAATCGCCAACAACGTGGTCGGGCACGGAACTGTCGACGCGGTAGGTGAGGTCGAGGAATTTTTCGTTTGCCTTGACAGCGAGCGTCTTGAGCGCGTTGAAGACGGTGCCCCGCAACGTGTACGGTATCTCTTCAATAACCATTCTCCTGGCCTCAATCTTGGACAAGTCCAGAATGTCGTCAATGATGGTCAGCAAGCTGTTTGCCAGCGAGTTGACAATATTGAGCATTTCCCTTTGATACGATGTCAAGTCTGTGTCTAGCGTGAGCTGCGTCATTCCGATGATGCCGTTCATTGGTGTTCGAATCTCGTGCGACATGTTGGCGAGGAACTCGGATTTGGTTTTGTTGGCTAATTCGGCGGCTTCCCTGGCCTGCGTGTTCCTCTGGATACTGTCTCTAAGATTGTAGACCATCTGGTTGATCTTCTTTTTGAGTTCGTCCATCTCACCCGAGGCCTCTACTTCGACGAGCTTGGTGAAATCGCCGTCTGTGGCTGCGTTCGTGATATCACCGAATGCTCGCACTTGGGCGGTCTACCGGGCCATGTCAGTCTAAACATTTCAAACCAGGGAGACCAGGAACGCGGTCGCGATGGGGCAACTCACAAGGTTGTTCGCCATGGTGTTTACGTCCGTGGTGATCTCCTTCCATCTTCCTTTCAGGCCGGCGACATCAGCTTGACCTCCCATGATCCCATCAACGCCGACGTCCTTGGCCACCCTTTGCACCTCGTTGCAGAAGATGGACAGCCGGTCAACCATGTTATTGATTGTCTCTTTCAAGACCAGTATCTCGCCCTTGGCCTCGACATCAATCTTGCGGCTCATGTCGCCGTTGGCGATAGCCTGTGTGACGGTCGAGATTCCTCGCACCTGCAGAAGGTTTGTTAGTATGCTAACCTCTCCAGAAGAAGGGATGTGACGGAACGTACCTGCGATGTGAGGTTTCTCGCCATGGTGTTCACATTCTCAGTCAGATCTTTCCATTTGCCCTCAACATTGTCGACCTGGGCTTGGCCACCGAGGGTTCCATCTGTGCCGACTTCCCTGGCGACTTTGCTAACTTCAAACGCGAAGGTTCCAAGACGGTCAACCATGGTGTTGATGGTGTTCTTCAGATCCAGGATTTCGCCACGGACCTCGACCCCAATCTTTCTGGTGAGATCGCCTCTGGCGACAGCTGTTGTGACGGCGGCAATCTCACGCACTTGGGTGGTCAGGTTCATGGCCATGCCGTTGACATTCTCTGTGAGATCCCGCCATGTGCCTTCGACATCATGGACGGTAGCCTGGCCACCTAACCTTCCTTCGGTCCCGACTTCTCTGGCAATCTTGGTAACTTCACGCGCAAACTGTTGAAGCTGGTCCACCATGGAGTTGATGGTCTTCTTCAACTCGAATATCTCGCCCCGGCATTCAGCTTGCACTTTCTGAGTGAGGTCTCCCTTGGCGACGGCCGTGGTGACTTTGATGATGTCTCGCACTTGGGTGGTGAGGTTGTTGGCCATGGCATTCACGTTGACTGTTAGCTCGTTCCACATGCCCTGCACTCCCTCGACGTCGGCCTGGCCGCCAAGCATGCCTTCAGTCCCGACATCCCTAGCCACGCGTGTGACTTCGGCAGCAAATGTCCGGAGCTGATCCACCATGGTATTGATAGTCTGTTGGAGCTGAAGAATCTCACCCTTGGCAGGGCGTTCGATCTTCTGGGTAAGATCACCGTGAGCCACAGCTGTCGTGACCGATGCGATCTCGCGCACTGAGTTGCGGTGTGGTTAGCAGGGCAATATCTTCTCCCCTAAGTGGGATGCGGCCTACCTTGATCAGTGAGGTTTTGCGCCATGACATTCACTAAGAGCCAAGAATTAGTAACGGGCATTGGTAACGGTGGGCATGGGAGAACAGGGACGCATTGTACCATTATCAGTAAGTTCCTTCCATGTGCCGGCGACGCCCTCAATCTGAGCCTGGCCGCCTAGGATACCCTCCGTTCCGACTTCACGCGCGACACGAGACACCTCGCTCGAAAAGACCTGCAACTGGTCCATCATGGTATTGATGGTGCGCTTAAACGTCGTAATCTCAGGGTCCATCTCAACGCTGTTCATGCGGACCTTTTTGGAAAGGTCGCCACGCGCAACAGCCGTGACGATCTCGCCAATTTCTCGCAACGCCTTTTGGAAAGCCTCGTTCGCTTTTTGATGCTTCCATAACTCACGCTCCAGGGTTGCAACCCGCTCCTGCTCAAGCATTGCGAGGGTCTTCTCCTGGAGCTGCTTCTGCTCGAGTAGCTGCGCATTAACGCCGGCTAGCTCCTGGCGTTGGTTGTCAAGGAGTTTCGATTGTCCGTCGACGTGTTCGCGCAGGCCCTCGAGTGCTTCGTCAATGAACCCGTTGTGGGGCAGAACGGGCGGACATACGGGTATTTGGGGCCTGCCATCTTGGGCGAACACTAAGTCGCTTGTCTCATTTGGCGTGTCGGGGAAGACAGTTGCGGTTGTCGAGTTTGCCCTGGTCTCGAGTTGCCGCACCCGGTGGGCAAGCGCAGCAAGCTCACGCTCTAGGCTCGCCTTGTCGGGACTATCGGGCCCTGGAAGCTTGACCTCAAGGAAGGAATCAACAGACGTCCCTGGGAGTGTCGTCGGGTCGACGGCGAGGGATTTGACGAAAGCAGCGACGGCGGCTAGCGAAGGATCGCCGCTCATGGTGGCGGCAATGGACGGCGTCGACGCCGCACCGAAATGATGATGAACCCGGCAAAGGCAACAGAACAAGGCTAACTCCAACGATGTTTGACAAGGTTAGAGCTGTTGTTGCCGGTCGGCGGCGTACTAGAGCCTTTGGCGCGGGAAACGGGCCCTCATGCGGAAAGCTCACGTTCTCCTCTCCCGCTCTCCCGTTCGGTCAAGATTTTGGAGCCGCCAATTGATAAGGGTTGTTGTGCGTGTTGGAGAAAGGTTCAGATGCTCCGAGAGGCGCTCTGTGGGCGGGTCGCGATGGGGTCAACTACCTAGTTATCGGCTAACTCGGTGGGAGAGGGGGCGGCTGGGACGCAAAACGCAGCCTTTTCGGGCTAGAGGCCAAGCAAACCGCCAAGTCGCACAGAGCACATTTGGTATCCGCAAAATCCACACCTAAGCGGAGGCGAAGCATAAGCTTTGTTCGCCCCCTTGTCGTCGTCGCGCCTGAATTTGTTGCGGACGTGTCGAACTGAGTGAGGAGTGGGAAGGAAAAGCCAGGCTCGCTGCTGAAGGTATGCACGACTGGCAACTGCTGTGCGAGGCAGCAAAGGCAGGGAGGGAGGAGAATGGGAAGTCTGGGGGCCCGGTCCGCCCGCCGGGGAAGGCAAGATCGTCACTCCAGCGGCAGCCTGCCAATTGGACTGCGCTGCACCATCCACCCCTTTTGGTGCCTAGCGGTGTCTTTGTGGCTCAAGGTTATGTACATACCTGAGTACTGTGTCAACTATCCTTAGTTGTATTCAGTTTTTCAGTAACTAGAGTTATCCACAGCGGGCAACTCTTACACTTAAAATTCTGTTCTCTTGTCTTCTTCCCATTTCAATCGAAATCTGTTCTAGCCTGGCTGCCAGATGCAGGGACCGCAGATTTTGGGAAGGGAAAAGGCTGCTGCACTGATCGCTACTGACTCGTAGCATTGGTTACAGGTATGGTGGGGGCAACCCAAAACCCTAGACTATTCGGCGTCTTCGCCAGATAGTTTTCACTTCCATTAGATTACTCCGTACCTAAACCATCATTTTTCCCCAGGGTCTACTTCGTACACCAACACTATGTACATACACTCAGTATCGACTGGCAGATTGGATCGGTGAACCAGACTGCCTCAAACCCTATGGGTAAGTGTAAGTCAAGCAAGCAGATCTTCGAGTACAGCATTCGGAGCGCATGCACAAATGCTGCCGCTCGTTCCCGTTTCCCCGCTTTACGAGGCGGCATGCAGTTTCCAAACGCCCAACAGAAATGGTCCCTCACTTGCCCAATGCTCGCCGAGCTCATCGCCTGCAAACGCCACTGCGGGGCTTGATAGTTAACTCTACAGTGTACCTCCGTAGGCTCTAAGCGCACTCTCCCGAAGCTGTTGCAAGACAGCAGCGTGGTGTAACGAAAAGCAGACATGTCTAATTGATCATTTCCCTTTGTAGCCTGCGAGGGACTTTACCCCACAGCCTCTGATCGGTTTCGGGACTCTGGTCGATATCAAAATTTTATCTACCGTACTTTATTGACGGCCGGGGACTGGGCCATGGTCAGGCAAAGTTCAATCAGGTATGTTCACACCCTCGGAAGGCGGCACTGATACAGACTAGTTTCTAGATTCCAACCCAATCCTACAGTATCCCAATCCTTTATTCGACAACACAGCAGGTCACACCATCCAGTTCCTCTCCAGCCAACCAGTCCGGCCAGTGTATTGACGAGAGCGCCCGGAAAGCCAGGCGCAGGAAGCGGATGTGCGTTCATTCTCCACCCGTGATTCCTCGCAACCAATGCCTGTGGAGGTATGGCCCCATCTGTACGGAGTATCCCCGGGTCTAACTCTGGGCAGTTGAAGCTCGGCTCATCGGCTGCCAGCCGCAGGATGCACAAGAGGATTGGAGTCATTGGACGGACACTTCACCGCACAGTGCAACCTGGGACCTCGTGGCACCGATATGGAATTTCCTCCCGCCCTCGCGATATACTGCACCATGGATTCGATGATCGGCAGCAAAGGCCCAGATGCTGTTGAAGAGGCCTTTACATTGGACAAGACGTGCCCGGGGACGTGTCAGCTCTTTCCACTTGTAGTTCTCCCTACGTGTCCAAACTGCTGTGTAGTCCCTATAAGTCAGGGCACATGGCGAGCTAACGGTTGTTGTCGCAGACAAGCCACATACGTCACCTACTAGAACTGTTCCCGCCCGCCAAGGTGAGGCACGCCTCCTTCCATAGCTCTACTGTAGCTCTACTTCGCAGTACAGTACAGTAACACGAAAAGATCAGGCCGCCTATCTACTACAAATGGAGTGCCTATCCGTATGCCGTTCACGACATCGTCAATAGCCCCCAGTTTGACATGTAAAGGAATATATGGCTGTAGGCGATGCTTAGAGATACCTATACTAGGTAAATGTCGCCGGGATAGCCTCGTTTTCCCGCCTCCGTCCAGGACCGCCAGGGGCATGGTGGGAGTTGTCAATGAGAAAACAATCCCAAGGTTCAGATGATGCCCCTTTTTCCCCTGGTAATGGCCGCGTTCTTCGGCTCACTGCTTTGACTTTAACTACATACTAGCTGGTTTACAGTATAACTACACGCAAATCCTGGAAGCGAACCAATCCAGACATAAACTTACCAAAGGCAAACCGATGACACTGACGGGGACGGTGCCCTGCAATGCCCACCCCTTTCCTCTCGTGTTCTGAACCTGCTAACAAGCTTATCCTGGAGAATCGCTCGATTGTACGGGATAGAACCCCTTTCCCGACGTCGCCCTTTCCGCCTTGCTTAGGCGGAGACTCCGTTTTTTCCTCTGTTTTTGCTCTGAACCGGGTAATCCCGTCTGCGCACTGTATTTGCCACCCTCTACACGTGTCACGGTGCTTTTTCTTTCGGCTACCCCGTCTCCAGTCCACAGTCCACGATGAAGAGGAGTTGGAACCAACGGCTGCAGGACCCTGAAAAAGCGGACCCACTGTAGGCGACGACGATCTTCACCCTGGATCTTTAACAAAGCCCCTCAGAGCTCAAAACCTCATGGTGATTGGCGTGTTGGGACGTTTTACGTTCTGATGAAAGGAACAAGAGCGACATCAACGTGAAGTCATGTTGGTGTTAGGACATGACTGTGGAAAGAAACAAAGACTAGTAGGAGAGCATTACCCCTTTATTACCCCTTTTCTTTCTTGCCCATTGGCATACATACTCTCATACTGTGAGGCCGCCAGTTTAGCGATGAATCACATTCAGACATTTCTTCTCAGATAATAGCCCACAGACAGTGTCTGGGCTAAATGACCTGGCCATGCAATCGAGTGATGGAGTGGATGTCAAGTCAGGCAAGACATATACACAGTTGCCTATCTGCACCTTTCTCACATCCTGAAAACCTCTGTCCAGGAAAGAGTCTACATGAAACTGGATTCAACCTGGCATCAAGGCCATTCCTCGATTTTGCTTCTTACTGGATGAACTTGTTTGGTGTCGTGCCTTTATTTGTCCTCATACCTTGCAGACAACAATAGAGGAGTGAGGAGGTAGTATACGGCAGGCAACAACCTATTGATAGTTCATTCGGGGGCAAAGCAAACACCGGTTTGTTCAAAAGCAGCCGATGTTTTCATCTATATGAGATGAGTGAGGCTGCAACATAGGAAGGAGGCAATGGGATCCCTGGCAGGGCAAGCATCTCTTTCCATCGTGCTACTGGCGAATCGCTGACCCCTTGTGACTGGCGACGTGAGTTTCTCTGGGCAAGTGAGTGCAAAGGGAACAAAAAGCCATGCTTCTCGTGTGTGAGAATAACGGTTGAAGGTTAGGAGAGTCGGGTATCCTTAATGGGTCGACAAGAAATGGACCGAGGCCAGTGACCAAGTGGTTGCTTTGTTTTGGCCAAACAAACGGCTTATCATAGGTACCTGAATGCGCTATGACGCCACGCGGTATCCGAGGTACCTGCCTTCCTGCGCTCGATAAGCAATACCTAACCGACTGAGCGACTTGAGCGAACTTTACCAAACCCTCATTCCCTTTCAGCTTTCCATACCAACTGCTGACCACCGCTGACCACCGCTGAATCGACGCTTGTTGGGCGTGTAATGAATTTGTGAACGAATGTCGATGACTGGTAGACTACTACCAATGATGCTCCCTCCTTATCCTGCTCTACCGACTGCTGACCGTCGCCTCAGGGACCGTTGCTGGCAGAGACAAGGAGTGAACAATTAGGGAAGCCATTAGGTTGGCAACAATGTGTTTCAACCTCAACTGGCGCTGGTTTGAGTGCCCTTTTCGATCTTCTTCCCCCCAATCATCACCTGCAGTACAACCGCAAACCACAGCAACAGAGGAACAATCAACAGGAAATCTTCAAGTTCCCGCAACGATGGCTTCTACCGGTGGCCGAGTGCAGGATCCTTGGGACGCAGAATTCATTGCCCTGCGCAACTGGGCACAAGGGGATGACGGGGTTACACTCACCAGATCGCCACAGCTCGGAGCTGAACGCTATCGCGTCAAACTGACCGTCAACGCAAACCATAACAATGACATCGAAGAGAGACTTATTCCTATTATCCACGGGAGCGACGCTGTCAGGGAGATGGATCTCGAGCTGCTATCTGGCTGGTGGCACTGGCCTGAGTTCACAATACTTGGAAACGGGCGTGGCCACAAACTGAAGACCTGTGAGTGGCAAGCAAGCTTGTCAACAAACATACTACCTAGGTGTACTGACTGTTTGCTCTCACTGGCTTGTAGGCTATTTGCGATTCTTTGGCGACTATAAGTGCAGTACTGGCCTGGTGGCTCATCAGTACATCTTCCAGTTCTGGACACTGGAGTCTCTCACTATCGAGAACCACCCCGAGATGGTGGAGGACTTTGAGCCGTTGGACTTTGAGTTGTCCAAGGTCGGCCGCCCAATCACCCAAGGGGCTAGCAAGTTGAAAACCCTCCGTGTATCGGGTGTAGATATAATGACACTGATGCCTGCTCTGTAAGTAATCGCCTCTTACTCCCGGGACACAACTAGGGAGGGATGCACTGGCAGCATATGACTGACATTGTTGACAGCGCTTTCTCCTGGCGGTGCCTGGAGACACTGCAACTGGAGTTCACCGCTCCAGGTGCGAACGCCCTGATCAGAAGCTACATGCAACGTGGCACGGCCGAGCTGCTCGACGAGGCCTTCAAAGTGCTCTTTGACAAGCTGCGCCACCTAACCTTTTACCACCATTATCTGAACGAGTACCGTTGGGGAAAATTTAAGGCTCTTGAGACGCTGCGCGTCCATCAGGACCATATATTTCCGACCTACCGCCCGGTTTCGATTGCGCCGCAGAACACACTGCTCCCTTCGAGCCTTCGCCACCTTACGATTCACGGCTGCCAGTTCGCCGAGAAAAAGCAGGGCGATGCCAGCAGCCTGGAAGAGTTGCTCCTTTTCCTGGCAGAGGAACTGTTATATGATAACTCGGTTTCCCTGGAGAAGATTACGCTGGTCCTCGCAGGCGATTCGCTGCCGGTTCCTGGGGCAGTTGTGGAGGCGCTCAAGGGATCGCGGATCCAAGTGGTCATTGTCCCGGCCGGGACCGAACCCGGTGCTTTCTGAGCGAGTGCGATTCCAGACAGAGCCCAATTGAACTCGAAGAAAGGAAGGATGCCCGTAGGCTCTACATCCTGAAAAGAGACTTGGTGAGTCGGTACAAGGAAAGGCTACCCGTAGTGATCAGCGCTATGGCAATCAAGCGAATTACAAGGAGGGAGCAATTGTTGATGGGCCACACCACGTTGTCGGAGATCGGCCAGCTGATTGAGTATCGACGAGCGGAAGTCTCTACTGGGCACCAAGCACGGCTTTGACAACTCGTTCTAAAACGAGAACAAAGTCGACATGGCTGGTGGACAGTGGAGGCCGGGTGAATACGAGGAGGTGCCGAACGACGAATAGGACTTACGCCAACAAGGCCTGGAAAAGGTTCCCGCGTGTTATCACGACTTCCTGGGTGTGTTTAGCAATGCCTTAGGTACTAGTAGTCGGACGCAATGCCACCATATCGTCAGCACGTCGACCATAAGATCGAGCTCCGGCCAGAGGCACAGCCGGGAGATCTGGGCTACAGTCCTCTGTACAAGAAGTCTTTGGATGGACATTATAATGTGTAAAAAGGGTCCTACGTCTCGTCGATCATGTGAAATGAGGTCCTGTACAATCGGGTAGGTACTGACCCAGGACAGCTGAAGATGGGCTGCGTCGAACTGTGGTGACCACAGACGGTGGCCAGCATATGCCACTAAAAGTCTTTCTAGAATGTACCTTTGTCTGCTGGGAGCTCTGTTAAGAGGGGTAGTCGAGAGGATGATTTTTACGTACAAAATTTCGGGGGTCACTAACAGCGGTCATGGCATCTCGAAGTACATGCAGTACCTGTCCGCAACAAAGTTCCGTGGTCCCAACAAGGTCTTGAGTGGAAGGCGCAATGTAGAGGGTCACCTACCTAAGTAAAGGCAAAGGTAGACGTCATTGCAAATCATCGGCCCTGCATTGAGCATCTGTTCTATATCTGACAGTGACAGTGATAATAATCGCGGCTGATGCGTAAACCCAGGAAACCAGAAGATTGCCTTCCCTTTCCAGCGTGGGATGTGGTGCATGAGATGCTTGTTTGCCCGCGGAGTCTTGTTTCAGATGTTAATGAGCATCATATTGGCAGCCTCGATGCAGATCCGATGTTATTAACCGGCCGCTTCGGTGTGTGGCCTCCGACCGCTTTGCAATCTGGCTATATTGTCCACGCAACCAGAGCCGCAATGCTGGGTGAGATAGCCAGGATCATGGTAGATCATGGTTCCTCATCCACCCATTAAGTTGAGCCATTGGCAATGAGGATCAATGCTTGTACGGCTTGCTGTACTTAGATATGTCGAGTCGGCGACTGGATATCGGGAGATCGTCCCGCTTGGAGTCCGGCGCGTTACCTTGAGAGCATAAGCGACGGGGGTGATCTCAACGGCACCTTATTGCTACGGGACCGAGGGTCCATCAACACCCTTGTGCCTGCTATTCCATAGCCTCCGAGTTTATGGACGGACATCTGACTCGGCCAAAGCAGGCCAGGATGACATGGCACGCTCTAGGAACCTCAACTATAAAAGGGGGCGAAGTCCCCGATACTTCCACAGCAGTCAGAAGTGAGAAGCATCTGCAGTGTCCGCTCAGTCAACCCTCCTGCTGATCCTTTCTCCTTCCTGATCGCACCCGACGTGGCCAACGCCGTCGCAATGTATCGGACAGCCGTAGCACTGTCGTTCGCCACCTTGGTCCTTGGCCAGCAGGTGGGAACCTACACGGCAGAAACACATCCTTCCCTCCCCATCGAGGTCTGCACAGCGCCTGGGTCTTGCACCAAGGAGAACACGGCTGTGGTGCTTGATGTTAGTGCCATGGACTGAGTCCACAATGCAAAAGATCACCACAACTGACTCAGGGGCGTCCTCCTCATAACAGGCCAACTGGCGATGGACACACGTCACGACGGGCTATACCAACTGCTACACAGGCAATGCCTGGAATGACACGGCGTGCCCGGATGGCAAGACGTGCGCTGCCAACTGCGCCGTCGACGGTGCCGACTACGCCAAGACGTACGGCATCACAACCCCTGAGCCCGGGGCGCTCAAGCTACAGTTCGTCACCAAGAACGACAATGGCCAGAATGTTGGGTCGCGCGTCTACCTGATGGCGAGCGACGACAAGTACCGCCTCTTCAACCTCCTCAACAAGGAGTTCACCTTCAATGTCGACGTCTCCAAGGTACCGTGCGGTGTCAACGGGGCCGTCTACTTTAGCGAGATGGACGAGGACGGCGGCATGTCCCGCTTCCCCGGCAACAAGGCCGGCGCCAAGTATGGCACGGGCTACTGTGACAGCCAGTGTCCGGGGGATATCAAGTTCATCAACGGCGAGGTGCGCTGACCCCTTCCTGCGTGTTCGCCTGATACGGGACGGTATTGACTTAGAGTGCATGTAAACAGGCCAATGTTGAGGGCTGGGGTGGCGCGGATGGCAACTCAGGGGCAGGCAAGTACGGCACGTGCTGTGCCGAGATGGATATTTGGGAGGCCAACCTCGATGCCACGGCCTACACACCCCATCCGTGCAAAGTCTTTGAACAGACCAGATGCGAGGGAGTGGACTGTGGTACTGGCAGTGATCGATACGCCGGCCTCTGTGATAAGGGTGAGTGTCGCCATGGCCTAGAGAAAAAGTGGGAGGTAGAAGCTGACGAGCCTAGATGGCTGTGACTTCAACAGCTTTAGGCTGGGCAACAAGGAGTTTTATGGCCCCTCCAAGACGGTCGACACGTCCAAGCCCTTCACCATCGTGACGCAGTTCATCACCGATGACGGCACTGATACTGGCACGCTGAAGAGCATCCATCGCTTCTACGTCCAAGATGGCAAGGTCATTCCCAACTCGGAAGTGGTTGTGGAGGGCGTCGATGCTGTCAACCACATCAGCGATGGCTTCTGCGAGCAGCAAAAGACAGCCTTTGGCGACAACAACTACTTTGCCACGGTCGGCGGCATGGCGGCCATGGGCAAGTCCCTAACCAAGATGGTGCTGGTGCTGAGCATCTGGGACGACCAGTAAGGCAACCCGTCGCCCTCCAGCATGAGTATGGTGTGACTGACATCTATGTCCCCAGTGCCGTCTCCATGAATTGGCTCGACAGCAACTACCCTACCGACGCTGACCCGAGCAAGCCGGGAGTGGCCCGTGGCCGTTGCGATCCTGAGGCTGGCCTCCCTGCGACGGTCGAGAAGGAACACCCTGACGCCTATGTCATTTACTCAAACATCAAGCTCGGCGCCATCAACTCGACGTTCACGGCCTAGGGTGTCACTGGCTTTGCCGTTTGCATCATTAGAACCGGGACCTGAAGGCAGGATAGAGAGGTGCATTTCCTAGATCTGGATTACCTTGCAAACAGATTGTACATACATAGACAAATATGTCGATATCAACCGGAAATCAGGCATGATAAAATGATTGTCAGAATCCATGATAACGCAAATGCACTCTCTGGAGTCAAACTTTCTGGGGCCGCCGACAGCCTCGTTGGCAATGATCCTGCAGCAGCCGACACTGCAATCTGGAAGACAGCGAGTCGGGTTTGACATGGGACTTCGGGCAGAAGCGGAGAGCGACTAAGGTACCTAGCAGAAAGGATCTGTATGCAGGTCAGGATGCGGAAGTAATTGGGACGAAAAGGCAGCGATAATGCCGTCGACGGCCGACACGTGGAGTCGAGCGAGTTGAGCGAAGAGTGAAGAGTGAAGGCGGCGAGGGCGGGTACTGTCGCCCGACATGTCGGCAGTCTATTTGGCTCGCATAAAATCATTTACACTGCATAATACACCGTAGATGATACGGATACACAGAGAGAACTCTGACAGGTAACAGAAAGGTTGTGTTGCAACTTGCCAGACCTCACCTGCAAGTTGAGATGGCAGCAGTGAGCCATGATTCGATGAAGTTGGTTGTAAACTTGCGAAGTCGGCTGCCTGGTGGTTGAAACGGTGATGTCTCTGTTGGGCTAGGAGGCTAACCTGGTAAGGGCTAGTGCGCTTCATTTCATCCAATCACCGCCTGTCTTCGGGTGCTTGCAGCTTTCGATGACAGCTGAAGGAGGGCCCGTCGGGGTTGGGGACGGCCCGAAATGGCGCCAGTGATGAAGTGGAGAGGGCTGGCGCTTGCTGAGTTCGGATGGTTCAGGTTGTGGTCATCCAGCGGCCCCCACAGTGGACTAGAGGTGGACATTCATCTCACCTTAGCAGGCTGAGGAGCTCCACAGGCAAGCAAGCAGTGGGCGGGGAGCTCTATCAGCGGGCCTTGGCACTCCTGCTGCTTGGGGGCAGGAGCCAAACCCACCCCAGCCTCTTCTGTAGAACAACACAAACATCCATCAACAAAACACGGTCAGACGAAAGTAATCGCAAATAGACCGATTGATTTAGATACCCGGGACCGCGGAACAGACGTCAATCCAGTACCCCCTATCGCATGAAGACACAGAATACCCGGAATTTACAACAAAACATACGCATACCAATGAATGAACCTTGAGGGATTGTGAATCTGTTTCTTTCTGAGTGGCCAAGAGAGAATGATGCGAGAGCCCCGTCGGCGGAGCCCCGAGAGCTCTCGCCGCCGACGCGCCGAGCGGAGGCATTCCAGGGGCCAGCTCGCAGCCGCTGATGCTGCTATTGCCGCCGCCGCCGCCGGTCCTTCGCCGATGCCATTACATTCGTCGCAGTCGCAACAAGGCCGCGCACGATCCGATTCGAGCACCTCGTCGTCGTCGTCTACGTCGTCCTCCCTCGTCAACATCTCACGCAAGAGCCGCTTCGGCATACGCGCCTTCTTCGCCTCGTCGTCTGTCAAGAAGGTCAAGAAGCGCCGGTCCTTTCGCAAGAAGAACTCTTCGTCCTCGTCGCTCGACAGTGACCTGGCCTATGGCGCCGGCTACATATCCAGATCCTCGTTTGAAGGGAAGCAGCCAGCTCACCAGCAGCATCATCAACACCAGCCACAACCCCATGCGCATACCGTATCCCATTACCACCAACAGCACGTCGCGCACGACGAGCCCCTGGTCGGGCCTGATGGCCGGCCCGCACTGAGAAGGGCACAGACAGACGAAGAGATTATTGCCCTCGGCCGCAAGCTCTCGGACCTGGCACGAGCCGAAAATCTCCGAGACCTCGAGCGCGCAGGCAAGAAGCGCCCGTCCCGCGTCGCCGGCGCGGCCGCGGCCCTTTCCGAGTTTCGTCGCCAAACTTCGCACGGACACAGTGGGCCCCGTGGCATCGGCTCGTCCAAACCTCTCGGCAGCGGGTCGGGTAGTGGCTCGGGCGACGATTCCGACGACTGGGAGTCGGCTTCAGACTCGGACTCGGACTCCAGCGAGGGTGACTCGGCTCTGGCCTACGGCTCCATGCCCAAATTGTCGGACCCGCATCTTCCCATTTCTGCCGTCGCTGCCGCCGGCATTGTGGGTGCTGGCGTTGCTGCTGCGTCGCACTACCAGCCCAGCGGACCCCCGACCATCATCGCACAACGCCCGCCCGAATCCATCCGGCCCCCGGACCGCAAGAGCTCCGCTGTCGACCCGGCACTGTTCGGCCCCGTCAACTCCCTGCGCGGCTTTGTGAACACCCCATGCGGTTACCGTCCCGGCGAGTACCCGCGCCCATCGCAATCGCAGATCCAGATGCATCCGTCACCGCCGCAACCGCTGCCACGTCTTGACGAGTCTATTCCGCAACAGCCCAGCAGCGCTTCCATCGAGGCCAGACCGATGCAGCATGTCTATCCCGTCCCGATGACCGACACCTCGCGCTTCGAACCCGCTACTACGGGTCAGAATCGGTCGGGCGTGTCCGTCCCGATTGGCGCTGCAGCAGTTGGGTTGGTGTCAGCAGCTCCAGCCACGCCGACGCGCCGGAGGGGCGACTTTGCTTATGATCCTGCGCAACCTCCAGCTGCCCACTACTCGCCTGCACATGCGCGTCCCGAACCCATCCCAATCCAGGCTCCGAAGCCTAGAGTGCCTGTCTCCCCGCGCCTGATTGGCGACGTTCTCGAACAGGACCAGCTGCTCCAACAACAAGGCAGTCCGCGCCGATCGAGAAAGTCACGCGAAGACAGAAGCGTGCTGGATAATGTCGCAGCTGGCGCGCTGCCGGCTGTGGCTGGCGCTGCGGCCACTGCTGCCCTGGCTTCTGCCATTAGTGACAGAAGAAATGAGAAGGGCTACGATAAGCGGGAGAAGGGGGCTTACAGACCTGATGACATACCTCGGGAGAAGAGAGAAGACCGGCCGCTCGAGAGGCGGGATTACCGACAGGTGTACGACGACAGCCAGTCTCGCCAAAAGCATGACCGAAAGACCGTCATTGAGGCCGATGTCTTTGGAGGCTCACCCTCTGTCGCCGGACAGTCGGCTTCACGTTCGGAGCGCCCGGATCGACGGGATGGCAGGCGCGGAGATAAACGCGACCCTGATTATGATCGGCGACGGCACACGCGCGACGAGCCAACCTACGGGCGTCGAGATGGCCAGCGCGACCTAGAGGACCGCCCCCCTCACACCACCTCCGACACTAAGAGCAACGTCGAGACTGTAGCCTCGGCAATTGCGCCTGCTCTTGTTGCCGCGGCAGGTGCAGCTGTGCTATCAGACCTCAAGGGACACCCTGAGCTAGATGAGCTCCGCGAGAAGGAGGCCCGCGTCCGTGGGGAACGCCTGCGCTATGAGGCCGAAGCCGAGCGCCACCGCCAAGCGCGCGAGCATCGTGAAAACGAGGTCCGCCTTCTTCGCGACCAAGAGGATGAGCGCCGTCACGGGCGAGGGATTCCTGGTGAAAAGCAGCGTCAGACTCGCTACGGTGAGGAGCGTCGCACGGAAGATCAGCCCGAGCGTGCCGAGCGGGACCGTCTTGTCAGGGATGCCGAGAAGCAGCGCGAACACGATGGGAAGCGGCAGATTGAGTTACGCGACGACAAACCTCGTGATGACAAAGAGCAAAGCCGCGGCGCTGAGGAATGGCGTCGCTTGAGGGGCTCGGTCAGCGTTGTTGCTAAGCCGGAAACATCCTCTGCCAGCGAAGAGGCAGCCCAACGACTTGAAGGGGAGAACGCGCAGCCAGACTCGGACCCTGCAGCAGCGAAGCAGAGCCGCGAAGCGAGGCGTGCCAAGCGTGAGAAGACCCTTCAACTGCTCCATGAGGTTCAACGGCAGATCGAGATTGAGAAGGAGAAAGAGCGGAGACTCGAAGAACTCAGAAAAAGGGCTCTGGGTGAAGATCATGACTCTGAACCCTCTGGCAGTAACAAAAAGGATGCGCCGATCGACCCCTTCCAGTTCCAGGTTCCAGATGATGCTTTTCAAACCCCGGTCTACAGCACCCCGAATCGGCCTCTTACCCCACAGATCTATACCGTCGAGCGTGAGCCTTCTTGGGCTGGTTTAGATGACGATGAACCGATTGAGGAGCGGGGAAGACAGCCCCGCCGTCGCAGCTCCTTGGAGAATGAGTTGCGTGATGCCCAGGAGATTGGAGAAGAGGCCAGCCATTCTACCATCCCCGTCCAGGCTGGAGCTATCGCTGGTGCTATCTCGGTAGTCAAGAGTGAGCACGAACGTTCCCGGTCTCGAGCACGCGAGCCTCCGAGAAGCAGAGACCATGAACCGGTGCGGGACCCCGTGCAGAAGGCGGCGGATGAATACTACCGCAAGAAGAAGATTGCCGAAAAGATTGCCGAGGAAGAGATTCGCTCCCGCAGTGCCTCTCCGTCGCCTTCGGTCGTGGACAAGTATGACGAAGTCGAGGAGCCGATTGTTCGCATCGTTACACCGCCCGAGATGAAGCGCGCCTCCAAGAGCAAGTATGATGGGCCAAACGCCGATGTCCGCATCGATAATGTCATCATGCCACATGACTTGCACAAGTACCAGGCTCCTCCTGCCGCCGCCTCAGGTCTTGGGTCCGGGATGGTGCCCGTCTTCAAGTCGAGAGACCCATCGTGTGAGCGTGAGAGGCCAATGCTCATCCTCGTCCTACCGACCCCGAGCGTGTCCCCGACCCTTGAGAGAATGAAGGCCAAACAGGCTGCTGCTGTTGCCGCCGCTAACGAGCCATCCTCGGAAGAGGAAGCCAAGGGAAAAGGGGAGCGCAAGCCGAAAGTCATTATTGGCGCGCGGGGCGAGGTGATTGAGGCTCCGCACGATTATGACACCGGGCGAGTGCAAGAGTCAGAAAGTCGCGATTCATCCCAAGAAAGGCCTCCTTTGAAGTTCAAATTCGGCGGCGCGAAAAAGAAGAATACCTGGAGCATGATCGCTGCTGCCGTTGCGGGGGCGAGTGTAGCGGCCAAGGCGAAGGAAGAGAAACCTGCCGAGACTGCAAAGACTGCCGTGGGTGAGGGCAGCGGCGACGCAGAGCAACCACGGAATGCCGAGCCGACACATGAATCAAAGCCGGAGGTGCAGGTAGCGTCAAAGCCTGAGATAGGTGCGGCAGTTGTTCTGGAAGCCAAGTCAACGCCTGAACTCCTTCCGGAGCCTGCGGCTGAGACTACCCGGGACATTGTTCCTGAACCAGCACAAGGCCAAGTCAACCGGGAGCCTGAGCCCATGTCAGGGCCGCAGCCGGAATCGAAACCAACGGTACCGTCCTCACCTTCCCGAAGATCGATTGCTCTTGACTTGGATGATGAGCCGCCTCAGGTTGGCCCGAAACCACCGAGCCCAAGAACAACCAAGATGCCGGGTGCCTTCGGGGATGATCTCGATTTTCCAGCTACCCTCGCTGCCGGTCTGGCGAGCACCGGATTCGACCCCAACATGGTCATTGACGATCCTACCTACCGGAGGCGAGACTCACCTCCTGGCTCGAACGAACCGTATTACGTGCCTCCCTCTGCCGAGACCGTGACAGATCTTGGACTTGCTGAACCTGAACCCACTCCTGTCATGGTCACCGCGGAGCCACCTCGGGAACTGCCCGAACAAAGATCTCCTATGGGCGACTGGGAGACGAGTTTCCCGTCAAGTAGGAAAGGCCGTCGAAAGCGTCAGAGTGTTGATGTTGACGTGCTCCCTGAAGCCGAGCCTCACGCTGTCGAGGAACACAGGTCTGCAGGTCCGACAGAGACTGGTCAGGATAGAAGAGATGAGCGCGCTGAGCGGCCTGTATCAATTGATACCGAGAAGACAGTCTCCACTGCTGACGTCTTCGAGGTTGAAAAGGACGACCCATTCGTCGTCGATGCCGACGAGGAGTCGACGAAGAGCTCCAAGAAAGCCAAGCGCAAGTCCAAACGCGACTCGGCCTCAAATGAGTCCACGACGTATTCGACGCCTTCGTCTGAAGTGTCTATTGCTAGCTCAAGCAGCAGGAAGAGCAAGAAGAACCGCCGCAAGAGCGTCAAGGACGACAACAATATACCGGAACAAGATGAACCACCGGATCGACCTGGGGACTCGTTCCAGTTCATCGAACGGGAAGTAAGCTCGGTGGTATCTGACCCCATTGGCAAGCGCAGCGGCGATCACACTAAGCATGGTGAGGAGACAAAATCGGTAGTGTCCCTCCCAACCAACGGTACCAACGGGCACAAGGAGAGCTCAATCACAGAAAACGGAGACAAGGGCAATTCTTTTTTAGGTAATGCCGGCACCTTTGGCGCAGGTGCCGGCTTAGCGGGAGCTGCAGCTGCCATCGCGGCTCAGTTTTCTCGCCCAAATGCCGCCCAGGATTTTGTTGGGGAGGAGCCTCTCCGACTAGAGCGCAGCGTCAGCTACAGCTCGCAGATCATCGACCCGGAAATCATTCCGCGCGAGATCAAACCAGCTATTGATCCTCAATATGGCGACTTGCTCCCACTTCCTCCCAGCGAACCTGGTTCACCCAGTTTTGACCTCGAAGAAGAATTCCCCCCTCTACCTGAGAGCCGCCCGGACACTCCTCCGGAAAGCCGCAGCCGCCGAGCTACCATGACACATACTCGACGCCGCAGCGCGTTTGAGACACCTATCAAGACACCTAGCCGCACCGCCGTCCCTGTCCAGTTTCTAATCGGCCGTGGCTCGGTGCCGTCTTCTCCTGCCTTCAGATCTTCTCCCCTACAGTCGCCTGTCGCGCCAGCCCCTGAAACTCCCCTAAAGAATCGCACGCGCCGACCCACTTCTTGGGAAGGCCGGGAAATCAGGCCGCTCTATCTCATCGAGAAAGCCGGCTCAAGCGCACATCATGCCGAGGAGCCCCAGGTCTACCCCGAGCTTCCGCCGAGTGAGCCGCCCTCGCGTGAGTCTCCAGGTCCAGAGTTCGACTCCAGAGAGACCGACGTGGATTATCTCAGCCGTGGGGTTACTACGAGCACCGCTCTGCTAGATCTCCACCTCGATACTGCCCTCACAAGTCAAGACTGCTTCGGTGAACCGCTTGGGTCCGGGGAAACCACGCCGAGGGCTTTTGTTCCCGCACCCGAAGACGCTTCCCCCTTTGCGGCGTTGCAAGAAGCCACCCTGCCGCAATCCCTTGAGCTGGACAGTGAACCTCTGGACGAGTGGCAGTTGGTTGAGGACTTGGAGGTCCTGCCGCCGCTCCCTGACAGCCCGCCTGAGTCGCCTACGGTTGCAGAGGTTCCCGCGGCTGTTGGTTTGGTTGAACATGATGAGCTGGAGCATCTGCCGCCTCTTCCAGAGAGCCGTCCTGTGTCACCTGTCCAAGTGGAAGTGGCTCCTGCTGCCATTCAAGCACCCGTCGTTGATGAGCTGGAGCATCTGCCGCCTCTTCCAGACAGCCGTCCTGCTTCACCTGTCCAAGCCGAAGTGGCTCCTGCTGCCATTCAATTACCCCTCGTTGATGAGCTGGAGCACTTGCCCCCTCTTCCAGACAGCCGTCCTGCTTCACCTGTCCAAGTCGAAGTGGCTCCGGTTGTTGCACTCGACTCCTCTTCAGGTTGTATTGATGCTGGCCGAAATATACCCTTGCAACATTATGAACTTGACCTAGACTTGGAGACACTACCTCCGCTTCCGGAAAGTCGCCCTTCCTCCCCTATCGAGGGAGCTACACCTCGGAGTACGGACGTCGAGCTGCTTTCGGCTACTTTATACCCGGCCGGTCCTGGTACGGAGACTGCGGCTTCTGTGCGAGAGCGAGACCCTGACCGAGAATTAGAGAGCCTCCCTCCCTTACCGGAAAGCCGCCCGAGCTCACCTGAGCAGCAACCAGTGGATCTGACGCCAGTACTAGCCGTAGAGTCTTGGCCAAATGCCGATCTCTCAGACAATGTCAGCGCTGATGCGACTGCTCAGATGCGACAGCGAGAAGACTTGGAAACATTGCCACCGCTTCCTGAAAGTCGCCCAGGCTCGCCTACTGAGTTGTCATCTCCCGAGCTTGCTGTGCCAGAGCGTCCTGCGACTGTGGTTGTCCCAATCGAGCAAGAGGAAGCGCCCGTTTTGGACTTGGAGAGCATGCCTCCTCTCCCGGCAAGCCATCCAAGCTCACCCGCCCATGTGCCATCATCCCCGCTCCTTGGTCAAGAGCCCCCGTTGAGTCAGGCACACCCAATGGTGCAAGAAGTGGATCGTTCTTTGGATCTGGAGAAGCTCCCTGCTCTCCCTGACAGTCGACCTGGCTCCCCTACTCTGTTACCGGCCTTCCAACCCAGTCCTGAGCCTATCTCTGCTACAGAACTTACCTTGGACCTGGAGAAGCTACCTGCCCTCCCGGAAAGTCGCCCTGACTCCCCCACTCAGTTACCGCCGCCTTCGCCTACTTCAAAGTCTCTCCCTGCAACAGCAAGTACCGTTCCCGTCGCGGGAGACGAATCAGGTGTCGAGCAGCCAGCGGCGATGGAAGAGCGAGATTCTGCTGAGTTTTCCTCACACCAGATACCATCTGATCAGCTACCGGCAACTTACGAAGAACTCAAGCACTCCGGATTCCAAAAGCGGGCATTGAGTTCCCCGCCACGCCATAGCCTCGAAAAGGAAGGGGCTCTAGAAGCAGCTGACAAAACCGAACATACCCTTCTCAGTTCTGCTGCAGCTGCCAGTGCTGCTACGGCTAGCGGCATTGTGGTGGCACACATGCGCCACGAAGAGTTTCTTCGGCCTGAGATGCATCATATGGACTTTGACAACAAGATGGACATGCCGAGCCACGAGAGGGCTGAGAGTGTCTATTCATTCAATGAAGATGCTTCTACTGTGGCCGCCTCCGAGGCACCGACATTCATGTCTGGATCGACATTCTACGAGACGCAGCAGGAGCCTGTGGAATCGGTACAGAGACCGGAAGCGCTCAGCTTTCTTTTTGGCAAGAGGGCGCAGAAAGCTTCGGTGCAAGAGGATGACTCGGCTGCTGTTAGTGATCGTGCTTCTTCCAAGAAAGGCAAGAACAAGTCAAAGGGCAGTCAGCGCTCAGGAATCGAAACCGGGGCGCATCTCGAGCGTGATCTGGAGCCTGAGACTCAAACCACAGAGGACGCACAAGTCGCGCAGCTTCAAGAGGACCCCAACCGGCCTGCCGCGCAAGCGGATCAAAAGCCGGAGGATGCGCTTCCGAAATTGGAGCGGTCCGGGAGCGTGTCTGCAAAGGGGAAACGGAAAAAGAAGGGTAAGAAGGAGGTCTCTTGGATCGATCCTGAGCCTGAGACGACACAAGCACCGAGCCGAGCTGGCGATGCCCCGTCCGGGCACGCAGTCTCTGACAGCATGTGGGAAATCCCAGGGAATCCCCTCACTGGCCTACCCATTGCTAAGACGACTACTCCTGTCATTTCTGATGTATCTACTGCCGAGCACGACATGGCTACGAATGAAGAAGTTCAATTACCCACCGCTGAGCATCCTACTGTTGATTCGACTGGTTCTGACGCGCAACCTGAAGACCTGGTTATTGAAGCTCCCGAAACCGCGGCACCCGCAGCCTCCGGCAAGAAAAACAAGGAGAAGGGAAAGACAAAGAAGTCAAGTGCTAGGCGGGAGGAGCCTGGCATGGGTGCAGAATTCACTGGGCGCGACTCCATCGCTGGGGACGTGGCAGAATCTAGCACGGCGGACAACGATGCTGATCTGACACCGGGGCCTTACTTGACTCCACCACTGCATGCGGCGGCTGCGGAGGCTAGCGGGATCACGGAGCCACGCGAGTTGCCTGCAGCGGAAGAAGGCTTGGCTAGCGGCGGGGAGCCTGTGCAAGGAATGCTTGCCGAATCCGCTGAGGTCACGGCGGCGGCTGAAGTTGACCTGAGCCAGGAGGAGCCCGATTCTGCTGCAACGGCCGCTTCGCCCATCACTGCAGATGTCAGCGTCAATGTCAATGCCGATGCCGATGCCAATGTTGAGGAGCAGCGCGGCCAAAAAGGCAGCGAGCACGAGACGAAAAGGAAGGGAATCATTGCGTCGATTGCCGGCGGCTTGGGATCTTTCCTTGGCATCGGAAAGCGTGATTCACTGCGAGAGGAGCAGGAAAGTCAAGATTCGGCGTCTCGTAATGCAAACATGAAGCCGGTGCAGGGCGCTGAAAATGAAAACACGGCTCCAACGGTGTCCTCGGAACCAGATGAGGCGGAACCGCGACAGCGGAGCGTGGAGCCGTTGGAGGTGCCCAACCCCCCACCCCAGCCGCCAATTTTAGGCGACTCCAGCAGCGTGCATGAACCCACTATGACGGACAAATCAGTGGACGACACGGCAAGCAGCACGCTAGACACCGCTGTTTCTCCGCCCAACGAGCAGGCCCCTGCCCCTGACCCTGTCGGCTTGACAACGTCGCGGTCAACGCCCTCGGATGATGCGCCCATTGAGGCCATTGCTGGCCGCAAGGATCAGCCACTTGCGACACAAGAAGGTGAACGGCCAGACGAGGTTGCACTTCAATCACCAGACCAGTACGTGCAGTCTGTCACAGGATTAGAGGAAACCCCCCAGCAGCAGGAGCAGGAGCAACAGCAACCCCTTGACGCTTCTATTGTCGATGTCGCTGGCGAAACAATCGATGCCATGGGAAAGAAGGGCAAGAAGCCGCAGCAGCGTCGGGACACCGCCACCACGACCACAACCAATGTTGCCCAGGATGGACCAGCTTCTGAAGTCACGACACCAACAACACTATTACCATCAATCGTTGACAAGGCTGGCGAGCAAGAGACCGGACATGACTTGCAGCAGCAGAGCACGAGCAATGACGTGACAGAAGTTGTCCCGTCAGAGGCAGCGTCGGATGTCTTGTCTGCCGAGCCGGCTTCTGGTAAGAAGAACAAGAAAAAGAAGAAAAAGAAGGGCGGTCAGGACGTTGCGGACAGTCTGGGTGAAGACGGTGCGCAAAAGGATGTCTTGGAGGCTGTTGAGGAGCCGAAAGCTGAACCCGCTCCGGAGCAGAGTGGCCAGACTATCTCGGAGCATCGCGGTGAAGACGTCGCGGAAAAGGTTGTCCCTCAGGCTGTTGAGGAGCCGAAAGTCGAGCCCGACCAGGAGCAGATACCCCCTGCAGAGCCAGTTCAGATAGAGCAAGAGGGGACTGAACCGTCACAGGACGTCGCGCAGTCTGGGCCAAGCGATACTGGGAAAAAGGGCAAGAAAAAGAAGAAGAAGAGCAAGGAAGCAGCCTTGCCAGTTCAGGACCTAACACCGCCTGCCCAGGAGTCTGAGCAGACACCGGCCCCTGTGGAAAATGAGCCCGAGGAGCCCAAGTCTGTGGCTACGGAGCCCGAAACTCAACAATCATCAAGTTCACAACAAGCCGAGGTGAGCGCAGCGGGGGAGGCAGAAGCTGGACTCGAAATCGACTCGTCGAGCGGGGCCGAGAAGGGAACGGAAGAAACAAAGGAGATATCACTTCCTGCTGACCAACCACCAATTCCTCCTAGCGAACCAGTCGCCCAAGACCAGGAGAGTGACGATGCGCCCGGGAACGCGCAGAGGAAAAGGGAGAAGAAAAAGAAGCGGCAGACTGTCACGTTTGCAGAACCTCTTGAGGAGCAGTTGGGCTCGTCGCAGCCAAGCAGTCTCAGAGGTGAGGATAACAAGCAGTTGAGCAACGACTCAAAGGATACCTCGGAGGGTTCTTCACAAGAAGGTTCAATGCAGGAGCAGCTTCCACGGCCAGAAGCACAGATTTTCACCGTCCAGGTTGGTGACATTGCTCCTCAATCCGGTGTATAGTATGTCGCTAGAGTCAGAATTGACATTAGATTGAAGCAGGAATCTGCCGAACCCCCAGTCACTGTGTCTCTGGATCAGCCAGCAGAAAATGAGACTCTTGTCGAACACGCCGCTGAACCGAGCAGCCAGCTAGCATCTTTGTCTGATAAGCGTCAACTACAAACTGAGCAGTCTCAAGTGGTTGCGGATGACAGTAAGTCCATATAAGAGTCCTTGGAACGCACAGTGAAAATAGCATCAGAAATCTAATTTTGTTGTTATTTCAGAGTTCCCAATTGACAACACATCAGTGGCCGCAGCGGAAGACGTGTCGTCAGTTTCTTCCAACACGTCTAAAGGCGATGGAAAGAAGCAGCGCAAGAGTCAACAACAACTGGCGACGGAAGCTGGGCCAGTGAGCATCGAGCCGACGGCGGAGTCTGCCCCCGGTGAGAAAGGTGACGACAGTGTAGCTTCTGGCGCTGCAACCCCACCGGGAAGCACCGACAGCACCACTGAACCAACGACAAGTGGTGCAATCAGCGCTGAGCCAGAGCCAATAACAGCCGCAGACCACCAGCCCGGGCGTGCTCATGAGGATTCGTTCGCTGGCGCTGTCCAATCTCAGTCAAAGAAGGACAAGAAAAAGCGCAAGAGCAAAAGTGCTCAAGATAACCTCAACTTAGAGCTGTCTGCTGAAAATACCTCTCAGTCATCGACATGTCCTGTTGCTGTTGATGAGACGCAACCCTCGGTGCAGTCATCTATACAGCAAGAAAGCGCTGCCCAACTGATTGAGAGCGAGGCCGTTGTCACTCAGTCGCAAAGAACCGCGGCCGCTGAAACGGGAAACGAAAAGTCAGCAGCGGCGCCATCGCGAAGTGCGGCACCGGATGAGACTTATTCAACCAGCCTGCAGGAGGCTGCTTCGGCCAGCGATAGTAGTAGCAAGCTCAGCGACACCGAGCCTCAGCCCAGCTCCTCATCCGAGGATATGGCCCGCCAAGCCGAGGATGCCAGGTCGCCCTACAGCCTCCTCAACAAGAACAAGAAGAAGAGGAAGAAGCCAAAGGCAGACGCAGACCCATGGCCAACGGCATCTCCCGAAGTCCTTCGCCCGCAGGAGCTCGACTTCGAGAGCCGCGAGGTAGAGCGCATGCTCATCCAGCTCAGCACCGTCGAGGAGGAGACCGAGCCGCCCACTGAGTACGCCGAGAGTGACGGCCGCTCGCTCGTGTCTGAGGCTGACGCCAAGTCTCTGCGCCGGCGCAAGTCTACCGTCTCCGAGTCCGCCCGCACCGTCACCTCCCTCGTGGATTCTGAAGCCCCTTCCTCCCAGGCCGATGCCGACGCTGACAGCGGGGAGAGCAGCCGCGCTTACTCGCTCAAGAAGGCGGCCGGCAAGAAGGAGAAGAAAGACAAGAAGAAGCGTCGCCCTTCTGCCTGGGAGGAACCCTGGCCGAGCAGCGAGGCGTCAGGGGCTGAGGAGCTTGCCGAGACGCCTACTCAGGCGACGTTCAAGGCCTCTGAGGAGTCTCTTGCGGGGTCTGAAGCTATTGGGGAAAGCAAGGCGGCTGGAGAGAGTGATCAGGTTGTTCAAGAAGTGCCCTTGGTCGAGGAACTCCAAATTAGCAAAGAGGAGCCTTCCCAGAATGATGTGCAATTGATGCCAGAGACGATTTCTGAACCGGTTTCTGAGGCCAAGCCGGTCGCTGAAGATGCCGTTGCTGCACCGGCCACACTGGAGCACGCCAGCCTCGCCCCCGCCCAGGAAACCGAACCCCTTCAGGAGTCGGAGAACTCGTCGCAACAGCAAGAGCCGGAGGAGAAGCAGGCTGAGACGGAGATAAACGTCGAAAACATCAGGGAGGACGAAGTAATGAAGCATGCATCTGAACCTGAGGCAATCGAGCCCGCGCCCGAGCCGGAGGTTGCGCCGGTGCCAGCATCAGGGCAAATTGCAGACGAGCCAGCTCCTTCCCCGGCCGAAAGCGCCCCCGCTGAGCCCGCTGTCGAGCAACCGAGCGAGCAGCCAGCAGAAGAACCTTCTCTTGAAGCCGTCACCACTAAGAAATCCAAAAAGGACAAGAGAAAGGCCAAGAAAGCGGCCAAGGAGCAGAGCGAATCTAGTTCTCAGCCTGATGCTGCTGAAGAAAAGCCTGCGGCGCTTGAGGTACCTGCATCTGAGGATGCTGCCAATGCTGAGGAGCCTGTTTCTGCTGAAGCACGCGCCCCTGTTGAAGAGATCGCCACGGCTGAACCCGCTTCTGTCGAGTCCGCTCCTGTTGTAGAGTCTCTGCCTGTGGAAGAACCTGCTCCAGAGGAACCGATTGTCACCGTTCAACAGCCCGAGGAGCCGGCGCCAGCAGAAACACTGGAAGAGCCCAGCAAGCCCGCTGATCTCAACAGCAGTCCCAAGGTTGACGTCCGAGGAGAAGCTTCTGTCAAGACTGAGGCTGAGGCTGAAGAGATCCCTCTCAGTCGCAAAAAGTCGAAGAAGAAGGGCAAGAAGAAGGAGGTCATTTCACTAGAGCCCGAGCCGGCATTTGGAACTGAGAACCCTGCTGTCGAACCGTCCAATGTCTCTACACCTGCTGAGAATCAGGCGTCTGCAGAGCAGGCAGCTGCCACTCTTGAGCCTTCCTCGGATGTTGGATTGCCAGGTGCCGAATCGAGGGATGTCGATCAACCCAAACCCGGACCCTCTTCTGACGTAGTATCTCCCGCTATCGACAAAGTCACCAGTGAAGCTCCTCCCACCGAGACCAAGGAGCCAGAACCGGCGCAGGAGGTCCCAGAGCATACGGTTGAAGGTCTCCAGGAGCCTACAGAGACCGAGGTTCACACCCCAGCTGAAACCCCCTTCGATCTGCCCACCAAAGCCAAGAAGAACAAGAAAAAGAAGGGAAAGGGCTCCAAGACCACCTCCGACTCCGAGCCAGCGTCTAGTGTCGCCTCTCCGGTGATCGAAGAGCTACCTCCGACCGCCGAGCCTGCACCAGAAGTGTATCAACCCGTTCAGGCATCTGAGCCGGTCTTCGTCGAGAACAGTCCTGTCCAGCAAGCACAAGAGCATCAGCCGGAGATAGGACAAGAGGTCCCGACTGAGAAGGCACAGGATGTCCCGGCCAAGAAGGGAAAGAAGGACAAGAAAAAGAAGAAAGGCAAAGGCGTCAAGGTTGATGAAGCTGAGCCTGCTTCTTCTGGTGTGGCGACGCCGGTGGAGGATGCCGCTCCTGTGGTTGAAGAGCCCGCCCCTGCTGTCGAAGGACCTGGGTCTGCCATTGAGGAATCTGCTCCTGCTGTCGAAGAAACCGCTCCTGCTGTCGAAGAACCCGCTCCTGCTGTCGAAGAACCCGCTCCTGCTGTCGAAGAACCCGCTCCTGCTGTCGAAGAACCCGCTCCTGCTGTCGAAGAACC